TCTGTAGGGGCAGATGGCTGTCCTACTCCTGCGCAGTCTCCATCCTCTTCCTCTTCAGCTGCTGTTGACCTGGGCTTCCCTTCGGCGATCCACTTTAGTCGTGCATTGCGTAGGGTAGTTTTGTGCCCGGCCTTTTCACACATAGCAAGGGCGTCTACGAAAGTAGCTTTCGGGAAGAGGTCATCGAGCCATTCCTGGTAGAAGGAGAGCAGACGAGCGGCATCTGAAAACTAAGACGGGTTATATTAGCCAATTGACCACAACAGAGGTGTGACTGGCTTACTTCATGGCCTTTTCCTTTCAACTTCAACTTCGATGCGGTCTTTCGCAACTTTGGAATGCCCTTGTCGGATAATAGTCTGGCATCATCCAGCTTCACACGCGGAACCCTGGCCTTTTTGGTGACATCAATTTCCTTGTCAATACCCAGGGTATCTGGCTCTTTGCGCTTCTTGTTATTTGTTTTGTTCGTTCCGGCCGTCTCTGGGCTGGGGGAACGGAAGGGGTCGTCATCATCCCAGCCCGCAAGGAATTCGTTGACGAAAGCGCTGGTGTTGTTGTCGTTGTCTTGAGCTGGCATAGCGAGTGCGTGTATCTGCGTTCGCTAAAAGGTCCAAAAGTGATGGCGATGTTGAAAATTATCGATTAAAGTGATGGGAGACGTGAGACGCGTTTTCGCAGCTTCCATGACGCGTCAAGCAACTGCAAGTGTAAGTGGTTGCGGCTTGGCACTCAGCACTTCCTTATGTACTACCTACCTAGTCTGTGGCGCCGTTGCAGGGGGTCTCGAGCGCGTGTGGCTCAGCTTTCGCGCTCCTGGGAACGACGGACCTTTGCCGCCTCAGGCATCAATACGGTTTACGGTACGAGCTCCAGCCCTCACTGTGGGCATCCCGCTGAACGACTCCATCGACGACGACGGGACCTGAGTCGTGAGCTGCTCCATACGTTCGTGCTACCCCATCGACGACGCAATCATCGGCCGCCGTCACAATGTCCAGCACTTCATCCCCGACGTACACGATCAGCAAGACACTCAATACCAAGTATCCAGTGGGTTTCGCCAATTGCATCACCATATCTTGACGATGCGTTGCGCATTCCATCGTCTGGATCGCAGCAAACCCTTCAAAACAATGTTCAGGTTGCTGACATCGCATCCCTACCTTGTCTAGCTTATCGACAATGACCCGTACGCTTCTTCTCTCTGCGGACACTGTCCAACGACGTTTCCCACGACATAGTCCCATCTCGAGATGCGCAATTCTGACCTGAATAACCACGACACAGGCACTTCCGCCGTGTAATCGGCTACGCTCGCCCGTCCGATTATGTTCACGGCACCGTTGCGGGGGCTGCCGGCCCCGGCCTTCTATATCTGATGGAGAAGATGGCACCATCAGGTGTTGGAAAGGGTGGCTTTCCCAAGGCGATGCGACTGGCGACCGCCGTGGGTTTCTTCGGCGGCTTTCTCTACTTTTACCAACGATCCATTCGTACGTTGTCCTCGTTCTTTTCAACATGCGCATTGCTCCTCAAGTTCACCGCAGTCCCAAATGGCAGTGGTTGCAGGGATATCCCGGTGATAAGAGGCTCTGTTCTTGACAGTGCGCTAACATGGTAACAGTCCGTTTCTATGGCATGAGCGAGAACGCCCGCGAGGTACAGATGGACATGCGTGAGATGGTTGACAAGGTCAAGGCTGGTCAGCCACTTTACGGTGTCAGTACCCTGCCTGTCGATGTTCAAGGCATGGCTGCTCGTCAGTCGAGATACTCGGCCCTTTTCTTCGCTGTCCTCCCTTGGTTCAACTTTGTGAACCACAACCAGCATGGTGTCGACACAGCCAAGTACTACCAGCAGGCCGAGAGGGAGTTGGAGGCTGAGCGCTTGGGCAAGGGAAGCTCGTCGTAAGATACGAGCATGGCGGAAGTCAAATATGAAGGCCGGGAATGGTAGTCCGCCAGAGGGTGAGAACAGAACCTTGTTAGGCGAGAGGGCTGACCTATCGGATGATGGTGTAAACATGGAGCTTTAAACGCTGGACCAACAGAACAGAACGCAAGTTAACGACCATCCCCTACCCTGACCTTTACGCGATACTTCAGGAGGTGCGTTGATTGGCTGGGTTGTTAGAGGTGTTCATCACCAATAGAGAACTATGGACAAGAGGGTGCGCTTTGTGTTACGTTGATATTACGGCAGCCACTGAGATTTCGGGACCTGCCTGGTGCCGCAGCCTCGCTGACGTATCACTTGACAACCTCCCGATGAATCGAAGATTGGGTCTGGTTTACTCGTCAAGTCTACAATCACGACAATGACAAGATGAGCCATTTACAATTCATGCGTTTCTCTCTACTCTTTCAATTTGCCTCACCCCGTTACTTATACAATCTACTCAAGACTCGGACGACATAATCACTATTCTAGGAATCAGCACGTTAGACATTCGCCTGTTGCCCTCGAAACGTGTTCATGTGATTACACCTACACCCACGGGTCTTGAAGTTGATCGTCAGAGTTTCTTGGTTACATTTTCGACAACTGATTGACGACCGCAATATGTTAACCCAGGCTATATGGTCTCAGCCGCAGTCATAGCCGTCTCAGGTCATCACCAAGGTGTGTCTTGCACGTCAATGTCCCGATCGATCATTCGGCGAGACCCGCTCACCCTGTCCCGTCACTGTCAGCCAAAAAGCCCCCATCCCGCCTTCCCATCACACTTGCTCGGAACATGATGTCATTTATCTTATCGCCAAACACAACTTCTGCCTCAACACTCACGATTATCATAGAAGCCTGCAAGGTATATCTGGCAAATTCGTGTCACCGTTGATCACCGGGTAGAAGTTTCATAGTCTGTTTGAACCCAAGTGATGGATTTCAAATGACGTGGCTGGCATACTTGGGATGTTTTAACTCGTTTGCATTGGAACCAGAACCATCACATGCCATTGGCGCTGTTCTCCTGGCCCTCAACAACAGGAAAGTGGTTTCGGAGGTTTTGCGCATGCACTAAACCAGCAGGTGCAGTGTAAGATCGACGCAAGTACAAAATGAGCGGCATGCCATGCACTTACCTTCACTTCAGTCCATCCACAATGAGGATCGTAAATATCCGGCACCTCATCCGTCGCTCCCCAACCACAGTCTTCAATAGTCCTCCAACATTTGTCCTCTCCCCCGGAAGACCCTATACAACAACCAAGCCACCACCTCCAAAGAAAACAGCAACCACCACCCCGAAAATGGGTTCCGCCACAATCAACCTTCCCACCATCCACCTCGACACCACCCTGACGGATCTCTACAAGCTCGCTGACCCCTCCACCGCGCACCTCCGCCTCGGCCTCGTCCTCTGCGGCGTCAACTCCGCCATCGCCCTGACCCCTTCCTTCCCTCGCAACAAGAAATATCTTTACCAAGACAGTCCCTTTAACAACATCCCACCCGCGGAACTCAAAGATGCCACCGCATCGTCAACCACAACAGATCTTCAACGCTCCATAGCTCTCAAATACCTTTCGCTCATCCCCCAACGCGACGCCTTTATCACCGGCGGCCCACACACCCCCACCATCTTCTTCAACGTCTCGCCCGGCTCCGCCTCGCAAGAGGCGCACGACCGGCACGAGGCCGAAGCGACGATTGCTGTTCTGAGCCCCGAGCAGAGGCCGAAATTGGTATTCTGTTCCGGACCCGCCGAGATACCTGTAAAAGAGCTAGGGGTTGATAGGTTAGCGGTCAAGGTCATGCTTGATGACCTTGAAAGAAAAGGGTATCCGTTGGTAGTGAACCAGGAGACTCAGTGGTTTCTGAATAGCAAGGCTGGACTTGCTGAGTCGGGGCTGCCGACACCGAGGGCGGAGGTGGTTGATGTTGAGGGGTTTGTACCGCCGTTGGCGGGTGGGGAGTGTTGTGAGGTTTGTCGGGCGGAGGATGATGTGGTGGGGAAAGGTGGTATGAGGCTTGTCCCTGCGGGGTGTAAAGGGGCCAGGGGACGGTGGATGCGAGGGCAGATGAAGAGGATCGTGAAGAAAGTGGATGCTAGACAGGCACCGTTTGTGTTCAAGACCCAACAGACGTTTGGCGGGGCGGGGACGTGGGTGGTTAGTGACGAGGAAAAGAAGCGGGAGTTGGTGAAGACGTTAATGGATGATGAGACCGGAGTGTTGAGGAAGCTTCTGTCGCAGGTGACTGCTAAAAATCAGCAGATGAAGCCCGGGTCGGTGGTGCTGAGCGAGATGGTGCGCGATCCCGTGGGGGACTACGGGGTGACATTTTTGGTGGGGAAAGAAGGGGAGGCGACGTTTTTGGCGGCGTCGGAGCAGATGATTAACGAGGATAATGCGTGGATTGGGAGCACAATAAATTACGCGCGCCAGGAAAGGCTGAAGAAGAAGTTTGAGGGGATCATGAGGCAGACTGCTGAGTGGGTGGGTAAGCATGGATACATTGGACCCGTGGGGATTGATGTTTTGGAGACGAAGGATATTCCAAAGAATGAACCGGTTCAAGGGAACGGCATCTCTTCAGCGGATGGCGAGAAGACGGCGCATTATATTGTTGACTTGAACGTGAGGACGTCGGGATCACTGGCGTTGCCGTTGCTCAAAGGTCACTTTACGACCAGGGGTATGACTTGTGCGAGCAGTTTCTCTACCACGCTGCGGGGGTCGAGGAAGCAATTCATGGAGACGTGGAGGGAGGAGTTTGAGACTGGGCGGATGCTGATCATGGCATGGTATGAGGATAGTACAGGCAACGAGGAAAAGGAGGTGGAGAGTATTGGCGATGTGGTGGTGGGCGGCAAGGATGAGAAGGATTTGCAGGATCTGATGAAGAGGGTGAGGGAGAGTACTGAAGAGGTGACGTTTTGATTGTTCGTTAGACGAAGAGTTAGATGGCTCAGTGTGCTGTGCTGTGCTGTACTTCTCACGGCAGTTTTTCTCTCGAGTTGCTCATGGTCGAAATGTGGCCGGAAAGTCTAACAAACTTCTGGCTGATTCACTTTTGAAGGTTCGTCATCTTCCAAATTTACCTCCTCCATGGTTCTCATGTAATGGGGTGATGCGCAAGGTTTTTCGTCTGTTGTGTGATTCATCACTCCATAGTCTCTTCTTCTACATCTTTTGGCTCATTTGTCACTGATCGTGAAAGTAAACAGATACATATTATTGTTCGTCGACCCTCGCCCTCCTCCTCGTCACCATGGTCTTCGAATGGATCATAGATAGCTTCCCCCCCCATGGTAGTTATGGGTCTCTTCGCCGTCTTCCGGATGCCATTCGGGCTTGTGAAGTTGCCCACGCGCCAGTTTTATGCACCTCATAACACCACTTCGAACCCTACCATCGGCGCGTTGACGCCCGAGTATAACGCCGTAATTGCATTGTATTCAACGTTTTGGGGGTTTTGCGTTGTCTATATCTTTGTCTTTACCTGCAAGACTGATGCCGTCCTTGCGCTACCGCATGGTCTCTCGAAATTGAAGTTAGCGTATTTACTTTACGCAGACGCAAGCAAAAATCAAGGGTGTTGGTCGACAATGCAAATGCCTCGTTGCTGCTTCTCTACATCATTACCCCTACCCACGCCTTCATACAGAACTTAGTAATTACGCGGAGATCAAATTCGAGAGATCGTACGGAAATCTTTCTGCTGGTTAGGTATTGTGGCTTGTTGGGCGCTGAGCGGGGCGTATTGGAGGGTTAACCGAGGAGGGAAAGTTTGAGGTGGCGGGGAGGTTGCAGAAGGTGAGTTCTGCTCCCTTTCATTCAGGACAGATTTGATGATTACGTAAATGCTCCTTCTCTCTCCGTTCCAACCTTTCTTTCTTGGCCAGGGACGTGGTGCCCTGCTGTTTTATGTAGCTCTTCTTTACATGTCTTTCATTACTATGAGATGCGAATCACTGTGAACCTTCCCGTCGGCGACCTGAGCCACTTCTGGCCCAGGACTGATGTTGAGCTGGCGGCTGCGAAGCATCGCGACTGGTGTGATGGCGAATGAGTGGGATTCGATTCGAGGAGAACCTATCTACGAGAATAATGGAGACTGGAGAGCGGTTGAGAAATATATAATCCATGTACAGTGGAAGACGTTCAGTCATTGATGCATACTCGTAATAATTCGGTGCAGTCTGGCAACTTGATCAAATCTGCAATGCACTCTGCAGAGTATAGTCCCGAGGCGCCGTATGTACCCATCATGCACATCAAGCCGGCGTGTTCAAGTAAATAAGCTGGATAAGATGATGGTCCATTGGACCTCCCGTGCCTCTGACGTTTTAGAAACGGCTGATGATCGATGGATATTACTTGACATCATGCGATCTCTTCCTCAAAATCTCAGCTGTGACAAGGACATCACCTACACAGAGAAGGGGTGTGTCTCTCCGCTTTATTGCATCACTTTGGCCCTTGCGATTGAAACAGAGTGTTCATGTCGTCGCTGTGCAGCTGTTGCAACTTCCCAGGGTCCACTGTCTTACAAGTCCACCGATGGGTGGAGGTCCGCAGTGGGGTCAAGGTGACAGGCAGGCACCGGGGCTGCTTCCCTGCCGCTAGACGCTGATTCGCCGGTTCCCCTCAAATTCGATGAAAAGGGAAGGCGCACCAGCACGAATTTCGTCAGTGGTTGCAGGGGCCCTAGAATCAATTTCGTCATGACTTTCACTATTCTCCGTCGCTCTTACCACTGCAATAAGTTAGGATGATCTCGATGGGATGCATTGTTCACTTCCATGTCTGAATGAACGTCAGTATAAAACAAGTTTCCTCTCTCGAGACGGATCCCTCTTTTCCCCCTTTCCTTTCCTGACCTTAGACAATGATTCAATCTCTACCCACACGCTTCCTCAGACCCTCCACCAGGACTCTTCTTTCCATAACCAGGACAAGAGCACTTAACACCCCTACACGAACCACTCTAGCGACCGCGATTAGTTCATCCAAACCTTCCAGAACCAGTCTCCCATCCTCTCTCCACCAACAGTCTTACACAATGTCGACCGGAACCAAGTCGGCCTCCGCTGCCAGCCACGCCGAGCTGAACCGCAACTCCCTCTTCAACCTCGCGGGCCGCGTCGCTCTCGTAACCGGCGGCGGCACTGGCATCGGGCTTATGGCCACACAAGCTCTCGCCGTCAACGGCGCCAAGGTGTATATCGCCGGCCGCAACAAGGAGAAGCTGGACAAGGTGGTGGAGATCTACAACAAGGACGTCGAGGGCGAGATCATCGCCCTGCAGGCAGACGTGACTAAGAAGGAGGACATTGCCGCTCTGGTCAAGGAAATCGAATCCCGCGAGAAGTGTCTCTGTATCTTGGTCAACAACGCCGGCGTTTCCAGCTCGAGCGTAACCACTGAGGCCAGCGACCCCAAGGAGCTCAAGCACAACTTGTTTGATAACGAGAACGCTACATTCGACGACTGGACGGAGACGTACCGCACCAACGTGGCTAGCATTTACTTCATGACCTCCGCCTTCTTGCCCCTCCTACAAGCTAGCACCGAGCGCCACCCAGGCTGGTCCGGCACTGTGGTCAACATCAGCAGCATTAGCGGCCAGGTCAAGTCAGCCCAGCACCACTTCAGCTACAACGCTAGCAAGGCGGCGGCCGTTCACCTGAACCGCATGCTAGCCGCCGAGATTGCCAACGCCGGGCTCAAGATCCGCATCAACAGCATTGCGCCTGGTCCCTTCCCTAGCGAGATGACGGCCGAGGAGAGTGACGAGTTCCAGAAGAGCCATATCCCCAAGGAGAAGTATGAGGACAAGTACCCGGGTGCTCGTCCTGGTCGCGATATCGACATGGCGCAGGCGGTGCTGGCATTAGTGTCGAACCAGTTTATCAATGGCGAGACGTTGGCCGTTGATGGTGGGTACAAGTTGGCTGCTGGACTCTAAAAGGGGTGTTTGATAATGTTAATGTTAATGGAGGAAGGGATGTTATTTAATGACATGATTGCATGTATGATAGCGTGTTATCCTGTTCCTGAGCGGTAGCGTGCCCCAGGGACAGAACATCCGGCTAGGAGCTGGATGGAGGTCTATTGACCCAGCATTGCGATGCAAGGTGTAATGAAGTACGACATTTACCTTTTGACATCAATCACCCTGCCATGAACAGTGCAAACTCAATCACTGCGTTCTTCGTTGTACATATTACCATTACAAATGCCATGTCTTTCCGAAGAAATTATTTCGCCCCCTACGTACTAAAATCATGTTGGTTTGTAATCAGCGCGGGTCCAAAGAATGCGGAAGGATTGCTCCTCAGCATCACCCTGTCAACCGAACTACGTCGCAAGAAAAATCCAAATCCACCATCCACACACAAATCGAACTGCACTGATCTACGCCCAGTTCAAGGCAAAGTGCTGAAAACTCTGTCACGGGGAGGACTTTGTGAACGGCATTGGCGAAAAGCACTTGTGTTAAGATAACTATGTGTATCAAGCGACAGTCTGCAAGCATCATTTTTTTACAAGTCGAATTGAATTTGATGTTCAAATGAAAGCACAAGTTAACCATCAAGAAAGTAAGTCCTCACGAGGTGAATTGCGTCTGTTTAATTTGATCTCATTCATTCCATCATAAAACGCTGTTCAATAGCTACATTCCCGCGCTGTGATATCGCGCTGTACTTTCGCGCCCTCCATCCCGTCGTGAATGTATAAACCGTTCACTCATAAAAACAAAGTGGATGGCACAGATTCTACCCATGTGCTAGGCCAAGTAAAAGCAAATCATATGGAACAAAGAAAATGGGGGTATAATGTCGTTAAAACCGTTAGCAGTCTTCCTCCTCCCTCCAATCCCTCCATGTTGTGCTATGTTGTCCATCTCCGGTGACATGCAAAAGAGTAAGTAACAGAGATCCTTCCTTTCTCCCTTTCCGTAATTGACCGATTCCATGAAGAAAATCCCGTGAACAAAATTTCTCCGAAGCGAAAGGGGTCAGGCTGTCCCAGACAAAGCAAGGTAAAAAAAGAGATGTCGTGATACGAGTGAGCCAGGGAGGAAAAACCAAAGCCAGAGCCTACTGACCATACCAACCGACCCAATCGATAATGATCGTTAAGTACCAGCCATGAAAATGCAAAAGTGTTCGTTATGTGACCAGGAGCAATTTTGAAAAAAAAGAAAAGGGAAAAGCAATAACTAGTGCAAGAAAGTAGAGTGATTCCACAAGCCAAACTCCGGGGGTATATCCAGGGCCATGAAAAGGGGGTAAAATCCCGAACCAAGTCATCATTCTAGCCAGCCGTTTCACCAACCATACCAGTGAGTGGGGTGTACCATGCGCCAGGAAAATGCCAAAATGAGCAACCGTGGAAATGGCAAGTTATGAAAGACAACCCGATTGGACAGAACCATTGCATCCAGGACTGGAAGCTCTCAATTATACAGAAACCTCTCAATGTGCTTAGGGTCAAGCCAGCCAACCCTTTCGTACGCCGTCCACAGCTTCGATGCCTTGTTCACATCGATCTTGCACGCTTGCTGAGCGTCTGTCTTGCGAAACTCCTTGCCAATCTTGGCACACTCAATGCGTCTCATGAAGATGCGCCTCTTGCTCGTGAGATAGGTCGCACAATCCAGGCGAAGGGCGGCGGCAAGGCTGAGCTCCTCATCATGGAGAAGGGCCCTATTGGGATCTTTGCTCAAGTCAAGCGCGTTACCCTTCCAGTCGACCTTCAGACAGCCGGGTGTGTTGGGTAGCGTCAAAATGCTGGGTGTGTAGTCGGGAAGAGCGTCGAAATCCTTGTCCTCCCTGTTTGGTGCCACTGTTCGCACCCTAGGTTCAGGTGTGGCGCTAACACGTGCCGTCTGTCGAGAGTGCGTAGGAGTTGCCCGAATCGGTCGAGGGTTTTGGGCCGGTGCCTTGGTGACTCTGGGCTTCTGAACGCGGCCAATGCTGCTGGTTCTCGCCACCTGAGGTCTCGGAGCCGGAGCCGGAGGTTGAGCGGCGGGCAAAATCGTTGGAAGCTTGTTAACCATGGGCCGTGCTTTCGTATGGTTCTTCTTGTCAACTCGCAGATACTGGCGCTCCTTGCGAAGCCAGTCCCGAGGATCCTTCTGCCACATCTTCAGGCACTCCGACTTGAAAAAGAGCACCAGCTCGTACTCCTCCGGCTTCGGGGGCGATGTGGCGCGTACAATGCTCTGGGGTCGAGAAGCAATGTGATTGTTGACCAAGTCATCGAGCGGCTCGGCTGAAGGAACCGATGGGACGAAGAGCGGCTCAGAAGGAGGACTGGCAGCGGATTCGGGAGCAGGATATAGGATCGGGTCGTTGTCCGAAATGGAAAGGCGAGGGTCCGTTGTAATTGAGTTTCTCGCCCTAGTATAGGGGGAGATGGGAGGAGATATGGGCGGGTTCGGTCCCAGCTGCCTGCTTGCAGCGGACATGGGCTTTGAGGGTGGCATTGCGGCGTCACGAAGGTTGAATGTCTCGAAAGGAGCTGGACCAGGAGGAGACATGAGGTTGCTGATGTCAAACGGCCGCTTGGGCTTGGAAGAAGTCGAAGTGGATGACATTGGCATCATAGTGTAATCCATTGGGAACAATGCTGGCTGTAGGACTTTGTCGTTCTTGCCAGACATTATGGCAAGGTTTATTGCCCTTTGTGAGATGCTGAGGGATGGAATGTTCGTCCTGCTGACTTTGGAAGGAGCGTAGTACTTGAAAACGTCTCGGGCGGATATCGACGGTTGATGGGAGATGTATGGAAGGACTGGTTCGTGGATTTTGTATGGTGGTGTTCTTCGGATGGGTGGCGAACGATGGGTTGATAGCGTCAATGGGTGACGAAGATCAAGGACCGATAGGGTTTATGAGTCGAGCTGGTGCCTGGCATGAGCTTCAATGGCAGTGACTGGTGGACTGGGAAGATCCTTGAAGGTTCCAATCGGTCGCGAAGATGATAGCCGTCTGGGAAAAGTTGTAGAAGAGGAAGAAGCCGACAGTGTTCCTGGTGATCAAGAGGCGTTTAAGAACAGTCGGGCAACGTCAGGCAGCCAGTGCTTTGTGCGATTGTTGTTTGGGCAATTATTGTTCGTCAGGGTTTGAATAGCGTTGAATGGCCGGATAAGGCCTGCGTTTTGCTGTCAATTCGACGAGTGCTACACAATGCGAGCCAACACTACATGATCCTGCGTCTGGGTATTGTGCGATGTCTTCCTTATTGTTCGAGATGCTTGCCACCATTCGTTGCCATTCGGGTTGGCGGGGGGGTGGTTGAGGGTATCGAAGTGGAACAATAGGAACGTCTCTATTCTGGGCCCCGGTAGCAAGTGTGGAGTAGTGGTTTGAGATTCCAGCGGCCGGGACTTGGTCTGGTGCTGAGATGACAGTTGAGGTCCAGTCAAAGTTCGGGCTGCGCTGCGTTTTAACGGTGCACCGTGCAGCCCCAGTCTAGCGCCCCGCTGCTAGGGGTTGGTAGGGACACTTTGTATTAGTAACGGGATGGAAGGTAACCTTGATGAGATCCCGTCCGTCAATAGAATCGAAGCAGCTGGAACCCGGGAGGGGAAGGCTTGCGTCGGCGGAGCAGGCAGTGCTTCCCAATTGAAACCTGAATAATAGCGATAGCTGAAGAGCGTTCATCCAATTGACAAGTCAGCTATGTAAGTCAATGGGAAGTAACAATAGCAAAAATTGGAATGGTGGCGGGGTGGAGGGTGAGACGGTGGAAGAGAAAGAAAGAGGGGAGATTTTGCAAAAGAGGTAGCAGAGCAAGCAGAAGTAGGTTAAGGTAGGAAACCGAAGAGAGGCAAAGGCCCAGGGCGGTAGGGCATACGGGCATCATGTAAAAAGGATGCCGGGCATGTGCAAAACATGCGGCACTACAGCCAGAAGGAGCGGGCCACCCCCTCCCACTGCCATGTCCTGCCTCCCTCTCTGCCTGCTTCCGCTCACCTTCATCGCCGACAGATGCACCAAAAGTTCCATGTCGAACTGTGTCGGCACCTCCTGCCACGCGGGGGCATAAGCGGCCAAGGTACCCAAGCCAGCAAGATGTACCTGGACAAGTATAGTGTAGCTGAACTACCTGTACCTAGGTAGGTACCCCAACTTCACAGTCCGTCGGTAATCCGATTAGGATGCGTGCGGGATATGCGATGCGATACAGGTTACACACCGTCGGACCCAAAGATAAAGAAGGTCTGTGACCTTCCCCATCACAGTCAGGGCAGCTGAGACTCAGCATGATATTGATTTGTCGCAATGGCAATGCTTTCTTGGTTCCCGTCAACTGGAACTTATGGATCCTGACCTCATCAAGTCATCCCCTTCCCATTATCCCATACAAATTCCGGCTGCTGCTCTAGCTTTCAATGCTACATAGGCTCCAAGCGACTGACGCGGCCATTGTACTTAGAACCTCACCTGGGGCACGGAAACCCAAAAAGTGGGGCAGAGGGCATGGGGCGCTTACACTTGATTGAGCTGAGCATCCTGAGGTACCTGAGTAGGCTAAGTGCAAACATAGGTACTGCTACATACCATATGGATCCCTTCATCACTCATCATGTCCGCTCTTTTTCGCAGAAGGACGGACTCGTGTGCCTGTTCGCTGTGTTTCTCAAGTCCCAACGTCTTCTTCTGCTGCCTTGCTTTACCAATTGATGCACTGCTGGATTGCGAAAGAGTCATTCGCTGACCTTTGGAGTCACCCTCTTCCTTCACAGGGTTGCCACGCCCCGGTCCGTAAGCCATTGAAGCCCGCTTCAAAGCAAGCCGTGACTTGGGACGCAGCCAATCCGGTGACCACCTGCACGCACTGTAACTACACATATCCCTTTCAGTAAGGCAAGACTGAGACATGGCTTGGCACAAAGTCCGGTCAGGTACATCCTTGAACTTAGTTTGAGAGTTAGTACTTGGTGGTGCTGTTCACAAACCGGCCATGGACTCTCAAGCGATCATCAGTCGGTGACATTGGAGCCTCAAACCCTGGCGCAGATCAAGCCGACCAAAGGGAAGCAAAGCATGCCAGTTTGTTCCAATAGCTCCATGATTTCCAAAACTCTGCGTACATGTATTGTAAGTTGTTACCTGTCTCTGCCAACAGTAGAGCTTGAACATCAGTTAACATTTGCTTTGTCCACTACAATGCGTAGTGAGGCATATCTTGCGCTTGCGATGGACGGATTTGCTGCAATGTCGTACAGATGATTATAATCAACATGTGTTGCCTTGGTTGATTAAAGAAACTTCATTTTGTTTCCGATCGTTGAGTAATCGGTGCCGCGTCCTGCAAAGGCCAGACGGGAAGGGAGTTTATTGGAGGTGTTTGGACGAGCCTCAACGTAACAGCGAGATGGTGTCGGCTGTGGCGGGAACCATGCTAACAACGACATGGTCTGCGAGTTCGATTGATGATATGATGACCCATTGGCAGGACCACGCTTCTGGAGTTGTCAAAACTCACTTCATCATGCAAGCATGCCTCGTTATTTGATGCAATACCTCTCGCTGTCGTGATGAAGCCTGGCTTTTGGCGAGCATGAACTCCGATGCGTCCGGTGCCCGGTTTGCATTGTACGGCTGCAACCCCAACCCTAGAGGTAAGATGTCAGTTCACTGCCATCCAATTTCAAGCTCCAATCGCGCCATTCATCGCTCCGTCAGGTCGTAGCAGTTGGTGTTATCATTTGGGCAGATATTCCAACTGTATTGGGCATCCAGCGTGTCGCAGAAACGGGGCCTACAGTAGGCGCAAACGGGTGTTTCGGAGACTGGCAAACGCAGAATTGTCAAAGAGCCCCACTGGTGCAGTTCAATGGGCACAACATGAATCATAAAAAAAAAAAAAAAACGAAAAAAAAAACCGAAAAAGAAAAGAAAGAAAGAAAGACGGACAGCTCATCGCGCGGGGGCAGTGTATCCGGACTATTCTCGCCAGTATTTTGCCACATGCAAATGCAAGTACGACTGTGTAGATGAAGATTTGGATGGGAGGAAAGCGATTGGCCAATCAGACATCGACCACGGGACGAAGGACGAGAGCATGCAAAGACCGCTGCGTACCGAGCGTACCTGTATGACAAATTGCGAATTGGGAGCATGCTGGAAGGCAGATGATGTCGATGGCATGGCACTGGTGTGTTGCCTTCATAAAAAGTGGAAGCGAAAGATGGTAAGGTGAGTCACCGATTGACCTTGTCGCCTCCCGCTCCAGACCGAAGGGCCAGCATTGGATTAACAACCACCTTGGCCTCCATGGTCCATAGCTGTTTGGTGAAGACTAGGTATAGTGGAGTGTGCGAGTTTCGCGGTTCGTCGTTTGTTTTGCTAAAAGTGCTATGCACGCTACTACGGGTAACTAGGTCTGGAAGTGAGGGAACTTACCCCGCTATCAGCTGCGTTATCGAGAACTACCTTAAATGAACGAGAACTGGAAGTGGCAGTGAGGTATAAGGTGTACCTAGGTAGGTACCTCTGGCTCCCTTGAAGTCCCGCAAAGTACTCCTTCCACATCGACGACGGGAGCTACAGACGGATCACCACAGATCACCGAGTGTGCTTCTATCATTCGTCTTACCTCGCTCACTTTAGCGATATATCCCGATACTGTTCTTCTCCGCACTCAAGCCTGATGGCCTCCCCCAGAGGCATATCTACCACACGATGGAGCTGTTGAGAGACCGTGCTGTCGAGAGCAGCATTCAGCAGCCTCAACGGCCCATTCGCGTCCTGCACAAGCCGCCAGTCCTTTCCACCTTGGTGGGCTATACATCACGTATGTGGCAGCACGACAGAAAGGCTCCCCGTCTTGGATACCACAGAAACGTTTGATCGTGCCTGTCCAGGATGCCACGTACCCTTATCGTCCAGCCTGCTCATCGAATTCCCCTCCTCACTGCATGAAGGCAGGCGATCAAGGGACTGGCATCCCAAGCCTAACCAAGATTCTATGTATCAAAAGCAACCAGCGAAAACGCACCGCGGGGTCGACCAGCCTCCAGATGGGCCTCTTCTCCCCGCAGCGCCCGCGTGTGTGTGACGGCGCGGAGCCGGACACGCGAGCATCCACTCGGCCGGCTCTCATCCCGGTGGACTTGTGGGCCCTCCCGTTGACCTTGGACGGACCCCGCTTTCAACCCCTGATCATCTCAACTCAAGCCGTCCATTCAATCCCGACCCCGACCTCTTGACCGACAATGGCGGTGACAGGCTCTAGATGCATCGAATGCTGGCAATGGCATACATACCGCCAATGAGGCAAAGGCCTTTGGACAAGACCGATTGCCAACCACCAAATAGGCAAGCAATCTTTTCAGCGCTTCGATCCTGGCGTGCCTGGGCTTTGGGCTCCAATATCCTTTCATCTTCGCCCTGGACTACAGACCAAAACTCCATCCAGCAACAAACAAAGACATATTTTCATGGAAGAGACAAACTCATTATCAAACCCCTTCCAACAGCAAGCAAACAAGTCCGAAATCAGAACCAACGTCAAGAACAAAACAAAACATTGAGTAAGGGAAAGATGTTTACCTTCTAACAACAATGATGGAGCCGGCATCAAACTAAATTCCCATCTCCAAGTTCTGTTTATTGACCTAGCATCCGGGGTTCATGCATCGACACAATGATTGCTGCCCCGAACTGGCGCGTTGGACACAGTTGGTTGGTCAACCGGAATTTTCTCCAGCTGACAGACAGATCACAACCCTGGCTCTGGTGTGGTTCCCCTTGCAGATACAGGGTTCTCGATAGCGGTTGACGCACTTACACTTAGAGCACTGCCCCCCCCCCCCCCCCCCCCCCCCAGAACGACCAAGCATCTAGTTTAGGTGCCACATGCCGAAAAGTGTTAGGAAGGAAGAGAATGTCCTTCGAATATTTGGGCAGCTCAGTTTAAACATGCGCATTGTGCGCTACACGGTCAGATTCGACGAATACTATCTTCCTACAATACTTTGCCATACTCGACACCTCTTCAGAAACGCGTCTGCTCTCTCAGACTGACAAGCCAAGACACGCCTCTTTCTATCCCACCATACCAAGAAGAGCTTGAATCACGCCAGATGAACCACGCAGTAAGGCGCGTTTATCGATCAATCTACCGTAGTGTGTCACCACTCGTAGTATTTTCACATACTATGCGTCCGCGCATCCGCCTGAACAACAGCTCGCAGCCGACACACCATGAATCTGTCACCTGACTTGACAATCGGACCTTGCCAATCTTGGCTACCCCTCGTCATGGGGTTGACCTTGGTCCCGTCACTCGTCTCACTCCCACTCACCAGATGTCACCACCACCACACCCACTTGTTTCCCAATCGCCTCTAATCCGCTTTAGATTGCGCTAAAGATGAAAGTAAAGACGAGCATGAGGACGACATTGGACTCATAAGACTCGACCACGAGGACCATCCCGTTCCGCTAGACTCCCGGAAGAGGGTGTAATGACAATGGGAACTGCGATGAATCCAAGGCATGAGGCCCTCCTATGCTCCATCAAGCACGGTATCAATGGCTTCACTACGTACTGTTGCTGAGACTTCAGACGTATTCATTAGCTCGATTGACTAATCGTAGCTCATGATTGACAGTGACGAGATGTTTCATCGATAACAAGGCAGCCAATTGAGGCCATGTCTGCCCTAGCATTGGTCACTGGCCCGCTCGCCATGTTTCTTGTATCGCCTCTCGGGGCGTATCCTAGGGCTGATTGAGCGGGTACATCGACCATTCACGGCCATCTGTCTGCCTCTGAAGGGTTCTCGCTACCCTAAGAGGTAGTTTCCTACACTACGCTCACCCTCTGCCATGTTATCAATCTCATTGCTGTACACGATACGTACCTCGAGTACCAAAAAGTGCATAATAACACCTGTTTCACATGTGGTGGTTGTGACTTGTTGACCCTTATGTGTCAATCAATATGGCAAATTCACAACCAGGAAGCAGATAAGGAATCGGAACAACCCAACCATGGACTCTTGTGGCCTATGGCCTGGCATAGGCTGCTGGAGCAGGTTCTCCAGAGCCTCAATGCTCCGGCTCGCGCAACACTAATAACAACGTGTTTGTGCTAGATTCGCTCCCCATCGGTGCCTTTTGACGTCGTTGTAGTTTCCATGGCCGCATGTCCCGTCAAACATTGAGATTTCCATAATGAACTGTAAATCTGTTATCGGTAAGCATAGTGGCATGTACATGCTTCCTTGGCACTTGCATAAGGATGAACATGTCTCGCCCGGAGTCACTTGGACGGGCTAGCGATGCAGGGTTCCGATCATCAATTGAGATTTCAGCATGTTGCCTAATGCGTCTGAATCGATCGGAACAAAACGTGGAAAGAGAGATATACTACTCTTTTCTCAAACAAGCCAAGTCCTTCCTTCTAGACAGCAACGGTCTGACATGTTGTTACATACTCTTAGATACTAAGCAATTCCAATACTGTTGATTTCTTTGTTCGTTGCAGTTAGTCTCCATGACAATATACAAACCAACAGTCCACTCAATATCCTGTACACCAATAACTTCATGCGATCAGGCTGTCCAATTCGCAGGCTTCCATGTGATGTCCGTTGTGCCTGACGCCTCCCACTATATCTATGTCATTCTTTCTTTGTTCGCGTTCTTTGATACCGTCGGCCCACATACCTCTTCCCTCTACACATTGTGCTTGTCTTGTTTGGTACCTACAGTACAAATACCGATTAATAGAAGCAGGAGCACCTAACAATACCAAGGGTAGGTCACGCACCCAAAATATGAAGAGGCACGTACATATTAAGCAAGTTATACAATAAGTTTACCCATACACCCACACCCACACCCACACCCGTGCAACCCGCGGTCTTCAAATGTACACCCCAGGGGCCAATTAACCTGCCAACAACCTATAGCCAAGGACCAACAGACAATATTTCCCATCTCTCACTACCTGAGTACTACTAGCTACCAACAACAACGATAATGCCAAGCAACGGAAGATTCGGATACAGTTCCAGCCAGCTTGTAATTGAATACCAATATTGACAGCAGAGGATAGACTCCGATATATCCCTTGAGACCGGCAAAGGTTAGATCGGCCTAGCGTATGTAGTGTGCCTCCGCTACCTGATTGATTATACATATATACAACACCTAATACTATGCGCAAGTGACAAGTATAAACTCGGAATGAGTCACGTTGACGCCCGCTGCCAGGAACATGACCGGAAGAGGCGCGGGGGTTTGGTGCAGCCGTAAGGCGTACGTACAACCTACAAGATGTACGTACTGTGTAGATACCTACACTACTTGATGGTTGCTCATGGGCAGGGAACCGAGATGGGATAATGGTTACTTGAGCAAGGTGAGGGAACAAAATGGGAAAGATGCCAGATACCTACACTATCGAAGTATCACTGAATGGGTTGAACTGGAACAAAGGAAGCAGTATGAGCTAGTATAATAGAAAGTAGCAAATTTTGCAGCCAATACAATACCTCTTTAGAAGATGAGGGATGAAGAAAAACAAGGAAGCTTGGAAATCGAGCAGATGGAAGAAAAAAAATTCAAAAAGATTATTTTCATTGCGCCAGCCGCGAATCGAACGCGGGGCCCATCGATGGCAACGATGGATTTTACCACTAAACCACTGGCGCTATATGAACTGAATGTTGCAAAATCGATTTAGCAAAAGTGCCCATGTACCCACCTCAAAGCCTACTCATAGATACTGAAATGGTCATCCTCCTCCGAACTCTCTCCTCCTTTTCCTTATACGTTTTATCAGTCATCCAAGGAAAGCAGCACAGACTGTCTATTCCGTGATATTATTCCCTAGTATGGATACTGGAAAATCGCATGTACATATACCATGCTATGCCCGTTGCTGCAGCCGAAGTGAACAATGGAACTTCAACAAACCCGGGAAATACGCGTCGCATCGCATCGCATCGCGACCGCACAGATTGGCTTACTTACATATCGACTAAGCCGGAAGCTTGACGGCAAAATACCTGTGTAAATGTGCATATCAACGGGAGTGAGCAGGTCGCGCCGGCGGAGCAGGTACGTATGCGCTACGTAGCTGCGTGCAATAGTCTGCCAGGCATGCAGTAACGTACTGAAAACTCGCGGACATCGGATTTTAGGTCAGCAAAATATTCACCATGTAGCTCCGAAGCAGGTCATGTGAAAAGCTAAATGCAATGCACACAGGCCGAAGGACAAACAAACCCCGTTGCAGTTATTTTTCCCTCATCCTGCTCCGGCTAGGTACATACAGATGCTTCATGCACAGTCAGCGAAACAGACTGTAATCATCTATGAGTCTTTTGTAGTTGAAAATCCCCAATTTCGATGCAGACACGCTGCTCAGACTGCTTTGAACATGACAGATATGTAGCCGGTTCTAGGAAGGTTTCTTGGACCTGAAATCCGATGTTCGACATCTTTTACGGTAGGTATGATGTTGGATGAGTGAGTGCTTCATCGATGTTGTGGGACACTGGCGATGACTGTAGCCATCAGGCTAGGTAGGTATCTTCTACAGTGACTATGGCCCATGTAGACTTTATGTGTGGGAGTAAAGCCAGGGAGTGATTGTCTTTATTACCTTTCTCCAATGCATTGGTATCTTGTGTCTGCGTGTGAGAGAGAACAAGGTCTACCATCTGATTCCAGGTCCCTCAAAGTATACGCCTGTCCTCCACATGCTAGGCAGCCATCGGCCTGCTTACACATTGACCAAGCTCGGTCATGTTGGGGAGGTGTCGGTCATCTTCAAACTTTCGCAGGAGGCGGTTTACCGCTTTCTACCACCGCCCAAAAAGCTGACTAGTCAACCTCTTGACCAAATCACATATCGACCGTTCTTCTTCTCCACGCGGTTCACCGAGAACCTGGTGCGAAACTGGGGAGCTGCGGTACAGAAGTGTGTGACTGACTAACCCGATGGGCAAGCGAGTGACACACAGAATGGAATAGCCTCGACGCAACGCAAATGGTTGAGCCAATGGATGTGTGCAGTGTAATAGAAGACTCCGGAAGCCACGGTGAAGGGGGACTGAAATTTACCAAGAGAGATAAGCTGAGGACCGCGCGTCTGGTTTTTGCCACTACCGCGGAAGTCTGGGAGGCCTCCCGGATAAATAATGATCATCGAGGTTTAGGTTGCCGGTAACCATCCTGGTTTGGTCGTGTTCAAGAAGCTTCTAGAGGGTCTCCCTTGTTGTCCGTACTGGTCATATTGCTGGCGGTTCTGTAAACTTCGCGCCAAGGGGCCAAACCATGATCCATATTGTCAATATGCCGAGCCATGACGCACGCATTTGAGTGACACGCCAGATAGGACGTCAGAGGCACGAGGTCCCCCATGCACCTGCCTGTTCCTGGATAAGGCTGCCTAGTTGTCTTCTGCGACATGTATCACAGGGGAAAGCAGGGCGTCGTGTACGCCGCGAATAAGCCCACTCCTGCGAAACATGCGGGATAGGTTGTTGTATGAACGGCGCCTTCAGTCGGGGGTTGTACTGGGCAATGTCCCTGTTTAACGTAATGTTGTGTCCAGTGGGCTGAGTGCGGTGGGGCCAGACTTCGCTTCTTGGTGTTTTGGGATGTTGTTGGAGGTCCTTGACTGATCTCGACAATCAAGCTTTCTAACACTCAGAGGCTTTGAAGTGGCCTGCAGAGAATGGCAATTCAGGCGAGAGGTGTGTCGGATTGCGCATCGAAGAGAGTTGTTAGCAACTAGGTAAAGTCATAAACCATCAAACTCTCGCCCCCACCTCTCTTTTCTTTCAACACAATGACCATTTCATCGTCGAATCCCACCCAGTTCCTACGTTCATCCCAATCGTATTCCAAATCTTCTTTGTTGTCCAATGCAAGGCCGCCGCCGCTGGGAGGAGCCGAGCCGCTTTTGTTATCACTTGAGGCAGCAGGACCGGGTTTAATCTCGATGCTTCGGCTGCCAATTCCGCTTGACCGTCCTTCAAGCTCCCAGACTCGCATCTCTTCACCCCGTGAGCTGACACTAACGGCCTTTCCCCGCGCCGTTATCTCGGCATTGCTAATTCCCGATGTGTGGCCCCATAACCGAATACCACGTGAGATGGACAGCGAAGAGGCGGTTGATGTGCACATGTGCAGCACAAGGGTGTTGTCAGGCAGAGTGGCGAGAAGATAAGGGTGAGTGTAGCAAAGTGTCGTAGGCCCGACTGTCACTGGAGGGGTTCGCGAGGATGGGCTGTCCGGTTCTCGAGACCTAGCAACAATTTCATGTAAGGGTGTTGCTGGTGTTTCTTGCAGCCCACTGCCAGTGTCTAACGGCATGGTGTATGCTGTTTTTGTTGTAGTGATGTCAGGAGCGGACTTGACGCCTGTACTTGGGGTGCGGATGTGCATGTCCTGAAGACCGATGGACCAGCCCCTCCGAGTGGGAAAAGTGTAAGCTATTGAGGCGACGGTTGTCAAAGCCATCTTTCGTATGGATAGTGCAAGGGGAGGTCTCGAGGAGTAAGAGTTGAGTGATGTGAGCAAATATGGCGCTGGAAGCGGATCGGTATCGTGTTCAGAGGCACCCGAATTCTCCTCCATTGAACCACCCGCTTTTGTCATCGTTCTCGCCTCGCCACCCGCCCCCGAGTTCTGAGCCGATTGGTCTGCCGGTGGCTCCTGGGGTACCTCGAAGGTATAAAGCGATACCAATACCGCTGCCGTGGCCGTCAACATGTAGGGATACGATAGGGCCATCGCAACGAGTTCCCCATTACTCGACTTTTCGTGTTTGTACCGCCTTACGAGACGGTTCTCGCCACTGAAAAACCTCCAAACTCCAAAACTCCCATCCAGGAAACCCACTCCCACGTCCAATATCCCGTGGTCCAACTCGTGGTCGTCCATAGCAATACAGCTCGGCGTAGAGTCCAGCCCGTCCTCACAGAGACTCACTTGCGCCAGCAGATGTCTGCTCTTCAGATCCCATGCGCGCAAACCCGACACCTTATCCGCGGTGATCGCAATCCCTTCGACCACTTTTACGAGCACCTTTCGCTCCTGTTGTTGATGATTTCCCTCTTGCGTCGTGTCCGCCGTACCCCCTATCCTCAGCTCTTCGACCGCGCATTTGCCCCTCGACCAATTGTATCGGATCTTATACTGCCTCTTCCAGTTAACAGGCTCCCATTTCCGCTCTTGTGACCGTTCGTCGACTTCTACGCCTAGTCCGCTATTGTCGAAAGTGCTTGGCTCGTCTCTCCTCCTCTTGATTCCAGTCTTGATTCCCTCCTCCTTCTTTTCTTGAACAAGTCCACCACGTCGCCCATCAGCCCATAGTGTCCTTCTGCCCGAGTAATGCAATTTGTGGCCGGTACCGCCACCACTGGCCGTGGTGTCTCTGAATCCCGGTATCCTCATGGCGCGCGGTAGCACGAAGCGCGCGTAGTATAAAGCCTTCCATAATTGCGAATCTCCAGCGAGCTGGTAGAAGCGGCGCGACACTGGGGCGACGGCGAGGAGGTGTTGGAGTGAAAGGAACGATAGGATGCGAATGAGCAGCTCGTCTGAGAGAGAGGAGAGTAGATCGCGGGATATGCTATTACGTGTAGGGTCAGAGTCGGGCTGCTGAGCGCGCGTCGGCCGCCTGGCCGGCAGGGCGATGTCGTCGTCGACGGGATGGGAATTGAGTCGTCGGCGTTTCGCGTGCGGCAGAAATTCGGTGTTGTCGTGATCGCTTTCGTCATGATAGTCGGATTCATCGTCGTAGGCAACCAGAGGTTGTGTTCTTTTGCTGGCCATTTTGCACAATTCGCCGCCCTTGTATTCTCCAGCCAAAAACCAACGCTACTAGAAGCTGTTTCACGGGCATGCGCGAGCAGGATCCAGGCTGAAGAGCGGACGTGGTTGATTTGAAGCTTGCGGACGAAGTTGCAAGAGCTCAAAGGACAAGAGGAAGATTCAAGACACCAGGATGTTTCGTCGTCGCAGTTCCCGTTTCTGGGTAAGTGGCAATGCCAAGCCTTTTGGGTTCAGGGGTTCCATCCTCTTGTATGTACAAGTAGGATTACACAACAGCATGCGTACATGCTACGTTCTAGTGTGATTGCTAACGGTTCTGCACTGATGCCATATTTCAATTGAGCTCTATACTAACAGACACTAACTAAAAAAAATGCATACCACTCTCCTCAATAAAGCTGACCAGGGAACGCCCCCTCGGCCTTCAACGTGGCATAGTATAACTCCGTTTCCGCAAGGATCACCATCCGACCCTTTCCAGCAAACTGGAAGTTGGCGACCGTGCTGCCGATCCAGATCTTTCCGAGCAGCTTTCCGGACGGGTTGTACACATGCACGCCGTCGCCGCAGCCCGCGTACAGGTTACCTTTGGTGTCGACGTGAACGCCATCCGGCACACCAGTCGCGATGAAGGCGAAAGTCTTGCGGTTGGAGAAGGTGCCATCTTCTTCAACGTCATAGCGGTAACTTTGTGTGAAATGTAATGTCAGAGCAGTTGTTGGCTGGCGACTAGACGACAAAGATGGCAGAACTTACATGCTCGATGGGAAGGATGAGTTACGCCCGAAGAAGCCCTGGATGACACCGGTATCGGTCACGTAGGCATGTTGGCCGTCTGGGGAGAAGGTGATGCCTGGTATCATAGGTTAGTCCTCTCCCTCCAGTGAAGAACTATAGACGGGACATCCGCTTACCGTTAGGCATATTAAACCCATCAGCCGCAACGGCCACAGCCCCAGATGTCTCGTTGAATCTCCAAACCTGCTTTTGAATGACAGTCTCGGGCCGGAAATCCTGAACATAGCCGTAGGTAGTATCGGTAAAGTAAATGTCTTCGGTGCGCGGGTTGATTGCAACGTCATTGATGGAGTTAAACTGACGGCCAAAGTAGTTGTCCAGGATGACCGTGGCATTATAAGGAGCATTTGGAGACATGGCATAAAGCGCCGGAGCAACTCTGCTGCCCTGTCCCTCGCCGGCGAAAAGGATTCTGTTCCTGTAGTTTGTTGCGCCTAATGAAGCAGTTATTATCACACTGTTTCCCTCTTTTCCCCTTTTGACCCAATCCCTTTGGTCACTTCTCTTTTTGTGGATAAAAGACATACCATTGGGGTTGATGATAGCAGGAGTCGCTACGGCCAAGTGAACGTCGACCTTGCCAGTGGCATTTCTCTCCGCCGATACATCAGTCGTCACTTGGGAAAGCGAGATCCTTTGAATGATGGCCGACCTGTTGAGCCCAGTGCCGGCGGCGGGATCACCCGCGTTTTGCACAAAGAAGACGTCATCCGTGGACGGGACCCTAAAATCCTGACCATCAGTTTTTTGTTGCCAGTTATCTTGCCTACAGCATAGTTCGGGTAAAGACCTACCAGACAGCAGCTTCATGAAACATCGGGTTAGTTCCCGATGACTTAAGAAGCGTAAGAGTCGGGTTAGCTCCAATAATATCCAAAAACTCCTCATCGTAAATGTGGAAGGGCTTCTCGAAGAGGGAGTCCTTTGTTGTTCCAGGCGGGATGAAGAGCTGCTCGCGCACAAGGTGTGACAGGTTAACGGGGAGCATGTCGAAACATGGCGATTCTCATTTTGGCAGACGTACAGTACTATAATTGGCTACAGGAGGAGGCGGCACGTCCCCCAGAACGTTGAAACTCTTTTGGTTGATGACCTGTGCCTGAGCCGGAACATTGTTACCCTGGGCAGTGGCAGTTGCCAGGAGCAACGCCGTCGCCCCGGAGAGGAGGGGCGCGAGAGACGTACGACGAGCGTGGACCATGATGATGAACTTGATGATGAATAGGTATGTGATGGAACGATAAGATCAGTCAGGTCTGTAGTCTTCGACGGCGTATGATCACCATGTATTTATGGGAGTCAGTCGTACTTTTCTCGATCAAGTTCGGTCAAGTGTAGGTAAACTTCACCGCCGACATCGTCATCGCCATCGCGCACCGGCTAAATCTATGGCATTTGGTCCCCTGCCAAGTTGTGGAACCACCACACGATGATCATGGACTTGTTGGGCTTCGCTTGTCGTCCTTGTCCTCAGCTACAGTCCAAGGCTGGTTTGTTTGTTTAAGTTGATATTTCTTGGTACACTGGACCCTATCCTTCCCAAGTTGTCTTATGTCTTACAAGGACAAAATGAAAGGCCCAGCACGGATCGGAAAGGCATCAACAGAATCCGAGGTTGACGAAATAAGCATCGAAAACGGCAAATTCAAGGCGAAACTACATTTTAACCACAGAACCACATGAATTCAGGAAATATAGAAATACCCGGATAAACATACCCGGGAAACTTGACCCGAGGTCTCGAGCTAACGATCAAACCAGTTCTGGACTGTACTAGGCCAGCGCTTCCCCATCTCGACCCCCACATATCTCGGCTTCTTCCAACTTGGCATCGTCTCTCAACAGCCTTGGGCTAGTAGGCTCTCCTGTACTCCTAGCCCTATACGAAAGAAATGGACTCCGATACGTGAAGTGAGACAAAGGTGAAATTATACCCTACTGATCGGCGGTTGAGCGATTGGCTGGCCAACCTTTCGTGGTGTATACCTCTAGCCGGTTGCAGGTGAAATAATGGGCATCTTACAGATGCTTTTAGAATGAATAGAAAGGTATTAACACAGCCATCATGGAATCGATCTCGGGTTTCGGGGTCGGAAACCAGGATTACAGCTACCCATCACATTGATCGTAGAGGTATCAAGATTTACGGCTTGTCAAGCATGGTCACGAATAACTCATATGTGACGCTGTGATATATTGTAGAAAGCTTTTGTTTTGTTCCTCACCGTGACCTTCCTCCAGCCCAATGAGCTAACCGCTTCAGTCATTTCTAGATCTAAAGTACCGAGATATTCCAGATCACTCACCAACTTCCGGCGATCTGACAGAAATGTTTCGTATATTCCTAGTCGACCATTCACACTCGCCTATCTTAGTGTAAATTCCGGCAGATTGTGCCCATCCTCATCGCCACTGCACCAAAACCGCCCTTGTCCCTTTGACAGAGACAGAAACCCAGGTTGTGTTCGGAGCCGCTGTAGAGCTTTAGAGATAACGTTGCATTACCATACATGGTCCGCAGCTGCACTCCCTGCACGGTAATGCAACGGTAAGGCTCTTCCAAAAAGCTCCTTACTGCTCTGTGTTCGTTGGTATAGCTGTATTGCTATACAGCCTTAAATATAGGGTCAAGGTCCTTTAAAAATGTTAGAAATCTGGCATATCGCGGTAAGGATCCTGGCCTTCTAATTGGTCAGATGGAGGATTTGGGGTAAGTGCAGGTGGTTGCAGCAACTTGCAGATTTTTACTGAAATCGAGCCGAATGAGAAAAGTGTAACTGTAAGACTGCACCTTACAGCCACCAAAACTGGGTTTTCTCTACAGCAATACAGCGGCTCCGAACACAACCCCAGCTACCCAAAAATAAGAGCTACAATGAAACCGACCTCAATCCCCAGAGAAGATAAGGTACAACATACAGATTCCGTCCCCGGCGTACCACAGCCCAACCCTCAATTGTGGCAGCTTGCTGGATTCTACAAGAGATCGACCATCGCCGACTTCCTCCTTATACGCATGTCATTTACCCTCGAATGCTTCCATAGGACTCATCACGGCTCGGCGTAGGTATACAGCCACTTACTCGAACACACATGCGTCAGGTCGGACACACCCACTCACTCCCTCAAACGGACAGTCTCCATCACGAACCCATTTACGCCATTCTTGAGTTCACCTATAAGGTACATAACATGAAGATACCTATGTCACCCAGAAAGCTAGACGAAGCAAGACTGCCTTTCTCCCGCGGCAAAGATGTCGCTCATATGTTGCTCACAGGCTGCTTATCTCCAATGGGACCAGAAAGGCGGCATCAATCTGCCGGCTAAATGACAGCACACATGTGAAAACAACTGAACACTTTTTCCAGGCTGATGGCAGGACCAATCTTGCTTTAGCAAACGTATTCACTTTGACTTTGGCGGCTTTTTTATTTCTTTCTTAATTTTCCCTTTTTCTCCTTCTTTCTGATTTTCATTTTTTATTTTTCAAGCGCTAACCTGGGAAAAGAAACTCCCGGGGAATGAGATGAGGTACTAACGAAGTCGCGACAAGATCTAGATGAGCTAGGATAAGATGCTAACATTGCGCTAATTCTCCTCAACCTTCCACTTTTGTTGACGCGGCCTTGGCAAGGCAAGTTTTTGAAATCCATATGCAGACACTTTGGCAAAACCAGACATCATATGCACCATTTGTTGGGGTAACATACAAGAGCGTCATAAGCCGTACTATCGGGACCGCGCGGTTGGTGTTGGGTGGCCATGCTCGCGTATGGAATCAACAGATGAACCCTTTGTCTGTCGCCCAGCGTTTGACGGGCTGTTTCTACAAACACACCCCGTGGCGGTTGATGCTCCAATCGAGGCTCTGTGAAGCACTCAAATAAAGCATTGAGCGGATAACTTCAAGAACCTAGCTTGCCGCCAGCCCTCGCCCACGGATTGGAGATCGCGTCCAGATGTTAATTCAGGCAGTACACGATACTCTTAGCGATAATTAACGACTTTCGGTTCTTGAGGGAGGAGATCAACGCGGTGGAAGTAAAAGCTGATCATGCTTCAATATCTCCTGGCCGTGGATGAGATAGTTAGGTAGCCGCCGAACGCTTCGATTTCGAGCAGCTTCAGTTTTCAAATAGCATATCACCAAAGACATGGCTGGCATATAGGCGCCTACTGAGTCTTTGTGAAAGTGATTGATAGGCCTTCTGATCAATCACGTCACTGTCTCGACATGAATGTTCGAGGAGTGTCTCGTGACGATGCCCACCCATTGCTGCTTCTAAAGGCCCTCATGAAGGTATAAGAACAACGACTTCTGAGGCTGACGGCTATCTGAGCTGCCATTAATCCCATACCACCAGATACATCAGTAACTTTGCTCATTGCTTCCCTTGATGATTTCCATATATTTTTCGCTTCCTTACGGACCGTCATCAAGTCTATTATAAACAAGCAACGCCCATTACAGCCATAAAACAGTACTCGGAATGAACGGAAAAACCAGTCACGTCATGAATTCTCTAGTAGGAGCCAACTAGTTTTACGGAACAACCAGTCGGAGATGCAAAAGTATGATACTGTGTTCGATACGTACGTGAGTCGAAGGGTTCCGGTTGTGGGAACAAAGGTCAAAGATAAACAATTCTTGGACATACTGGTAGGCTCAACGGAAGGCAAGGAATGGGTCGTGCGCTGTTGGCAGCGACAAAGAGTGGAAGCGCTTGTCTCCATCAATGCGAGAAGCTCTGAATATCCTCATTTCACCGATCATGCGGGCTTGGATCGGATGAATTGTTTACAGAAAGAATTGTCGGTACCTACCTCTATGTACCATGATGGAAAATGGGTCTGATGGGCAAGGGGCATTGGTTGAGACAGATGATGTTGGATATGGTAGCTCGAGTATCTTTCCTTGTTACGCGGTAGGGTCAGTTGGAATGGAGATCATGGCATTTGTAGACGGTTGTCACTATGCGCTAGGTCGTAGTGTTGGTTCAAGATAAGCAGCAAAAACGACATGTCTTCATTATGACTTTCATAATTTAACCTGAAAAGCGTGGTGACAAAACCATGAATTTGTTGTGGAATGGGTGATCATTTCTAAAAGGAGGATTGTCGCTCGTTGAAGACTGTCTGAAAAAGGGTATATTCAGTTCTTTACCCACCTGTTGGGGCGGTGAGGGTAAGTAGCCGGATATGTATGAAGACATGTTCTCAAAAAAGGGAAAATTCAAAAGTCCATGACTGTCCCAACTTACAAAGATAAGGTTCAGTAATAGATAGTGGTGGTTATAGATACTCGTTAGGTCCTGGGAACAGTTTCTGTGCGCATGGCAATCCGGATTGATCATTCTGATGGTCTCGATCTAGCGTCACTTCAAAGACGCGAGGGTTTGATGAGTTGTCAAACACTTTGCGACAAAACTCACTGATCAAGGTAATCCTTAGCCTCTGTTCATGATGGACTCGACAATTTCCGTGAGCCATAGCAGGAAAGACGAAGTGGTAAAGGTAATCTGTGAGTGAAAAGCATGAACACTCGTCCGAAATGTGAAGCCGCAAACATTACGATCAATACTTTGCCTTCCGACAGAAGCCTGAACAACCAGTTTCGAGAGAATGGCTATCGAGGCACTACGCTTCTCTCTCTCTCGCAAAACATAAAAACGGGTGTAGGCCTGCCAGGAAATGACGCTGTATGCCTGGACAACACAAGACAGCTCTGGCGAATCTGTAGGCCACTAACCCAAAGTACACCCAATACTGACTTCAGCTCTAAATTTAACGCCAATGTCGAGACGCTTCGCTTATTCGGGTTTCACCCTTCCCAGCCGTGACCGTGACTGGGATGGGTACCAATCCTCTCCTGACCCGTACTACAGAAACACCAGGGCCGAGTCCTCATATAGCCCTACCCGACGGACAGTAGGCTACCGTCAATCCTCGAGTGCCTTCTATTCTCAGGAACCGAGACGTCCCGCTGATGGGACCCACGGCCAATCATCCTTCATCGACAGTCCTACAAGACCGCGCGGCTCAAGGAGAATCCTCGACGACTCGGATTATGATGCCGACTATTCCGACCAGTGGAGCGGCAGTGCTGCAAGGGGTCCTGCGCGATTCGGCGGCTATGGCTTCAACGCAACGCTGCGAGGATCGAATCTACACGGTCGTTCTAGGGTCCAAACACCGCCGGCATCATTCACATATGACAACTCGGAGGCTCGCCGCTCAGAAAGCGGTTCCGATTATAGCGGCGACGTGATATATGCCCGCCGCGGGCGCAGTCCGGTTCGTAGGGGGTATTCGCCTTCACCAACTCGAACGCAGGGATCGTTCTGGAGCAGTCCGGGTCGCGATCGGGGATGGAGTCGGTCAGCTCGGGTGTTTAGACCGCCGTCTCCTGTCCGGAGGAGCTGGATATCGTCGGATCCCCCGCGCCAACAGAACAATACATCCGGCCGTCGGTCGTACATATACGATGACAGTCTTGGAGGTAGACGCAGTGGGACTTGGAGTGGCTCTAGTCCCTCCCCACCGCGGAGAAACACAGGCACGAACCAGGGTAATCTTCGGTTCACTAGTTACGCGAGCGAGGATAGTCCGATTCGGTCGCCACGATCACCAGATTCTCAGACTGCAAATGGGTGGTCGGACTATTTTCAGCCGACAGAGTCGAGTCGGTACCGCGGGTACTGGTGAAGGCTTGATGTCGCGATTGCTGCCATCGTTCGCCGAGAGATACTACTATGATCTTGTGACCTGTGATGCTTTCGTGTGAAGGAGGGCGTAGGAAGACTGTTGATTGGATTGGGTTAGAGGAGTCGAGCTGTGGCCAAGGCAGGTCATGCCATCGAGCAATGTTGACTGTTTGCGAAGAGCGTACACAACCTGGGTTTTCATTCGTTAGAAAAAAGCTAGGAGTCAAAAAAATCGATGTGTTGATGATAAGTTCCTAGAGTGAAGTTCAATACCAGAAAACTGTGATTTGTAACGAAGGAACGTTGAAAGTGGTTGCGACGAGGGGGGTCACGTTTATAGTGGGACACCCATCGCGCATGCTTATCAGGGAGATAAGAAAGCCCATGGGATGCCGATAAGATAAGATTGCTGCATTACATCATAGCACGGCTTATCGGTTCTTTAGGCATTCTGAATGCCCTCACTTTGCCCCAGAAGTAAACAAACATACTGACGGTGAGTACCGAACTAGGTACACTTTGATCTTCGACATCCAGAGATAACTATAATAACGAGATTTTTTGAGTTTTGCCAGCATCCAGCGATTCATAAACGAGTGACCAACCAGAGTTTGAGGGACAGAACGATCGAAATCCAACAACAAAGCATCGTGTGCGGCACCGGCGCTGGAAGATAGATCGATTCGTGTGTGCCAATACTTTCTGCATGACGCTGGATACAGTGGATCCAACTTAAACGTCTTTGGGTATTCCAAACTAACATATGCGCCCTTTTTCCCGGAGCATGAAGACCGTCTGATCATTCTAACCGTGCGTTACGGATACACGGAAATGTTGAATTTCAGACAGCGGTCAAGGTGAGTCGACCATTGGAGGATGATTGTAATGTCGACTGTTTCTAGTCTGTCTCCGTATCACGGGAGTAGCTTCATCTCTTCGCATTACTTCAATTCAAAAGGTGCATACCAGACCACTTTCGCCCCAAACCCAAAAGTGCGATGCAGACATCGTTCGAGATTGCGAAAGAAAAGGAAAAGTCCAGGGATTTCATCGAAACTGTCTTCAGCAAGAATCGATGACGGTAAAACTGGCAAAAAGCTTAGGTGCCCAGGTAAGCTTGTGGAACGAACCACAATGCTCCAGCTGCGCCCTACGAAAACTGTACCTTGGACACCGCGTGCCCAGCAATGTTTTCATCAACGGAACCACTGCGCCATAAGACCACAGAGCCCGCTGTGGTATTGGTGTCTGATACCCGACCTTATACTGGGCCTGCCGGTTTCTCTCAGCCGGGTGCTTGTGGCAGCTGGCAGGGCATGTTAGGGGCTGTGCTCCTTCCTTAACCACCAACGTCCCAGTGCGTGACGCGTACAGCTCCAGATGAGGGGTAGGGGCACTCAGGTTCGAAGGTCCAGATGACACAGAGAGGATGCCAGCAGCTTACAAGTAGATACCAGGCTATTTGGGACACCGGAGCCTACCGGTGGTGTCTGCCCCACAAGGGAAGTGAAAGATTGCAACATGCCTCGTGGTCATCTAGAAGCTGGAGGTTTCAGGCAGGAGATGGTGGTTTGAAGCCTCTGAGACCTCATTACTGCATCGACATCGTAAGCCGAATAAATTTGGAAGGAAAGCAAGAAGACTACGAATTGCTCCGGCTCGTGGGGCTTCCTCGCAAACATGCTCAAGTGAGGGATGATTGTCAAATGAGAAACATCAAGGGACTGCAAAGCCCTATGATTTTGATACTAACTTGATTTCAGCATCGTTCCTGTTATCTTTTTTTTGTTATTTTCAGATTTAGAAAAGGCACTCTGCTGGATGATTCTGCTCAAGAAACCGAAGCTCATGTCCCTCTCGCGTCTTCCCGCTGTAACATGGAATCTCCAGTGTGGCCAAGTATCGACCTCACGCAATCATCCCTTCCCTTCCACTCGTTGTTTCTGAAGCCCCGTCCTTTCCCAGTTTGGCTCCCGTTTCTCATCAAGATTGTTCTATGTAGTCCTCATCCCAGACACCACTATTCACACCTCTCGGCACCCACCTTGCCCCCCTCCTGTCAGGCCGCGTCGGAACATACGATCCTCTCCGTAGCTTTCCTGGATCCCTCGAACCACTTGCCAAAACCTCTGTTGGAATTCGTGCCACGTCAGCCGCCTGCGCCTTCCCCTTTCCCTTCCACTTCTTCTTTGTGCTCAGCTCATTCCCCTTCACAGGGGCAGCATCATGGTCATTTTCCTCATTCCTTCTTTTCACATACCACTCTCCATCCACTATAGCACCTACTCCGTCCCCCCACCGCCGCAGCGATGCGGGTACCTCGTTCTTTCCCCGCCGACTCCACCGCTCCGTGTCCACTTCCTGGGCTGGATGATCACTTCGAAACAAAGGCAGAACGCCCATCGGTACGAAAATAGGTGGAGGAGGCCCCTTACACTTCCGTACCCCGCTCCGTTTTCCCCGTCCCGAAACCCGTTCCAAATTTCCCTTGATATCGAAGTCAGAGTCGGACTCAGACTCCGGTGGAATTGGCGGGACCCAATCCATACCGGTTCTGAGAGTCTCAAAGACTATCTTTACTACCACCTTGATCCCGCTTGCTAGGTTGACCATTGCTTTGGTGAAGACGGGAGGAAGGCAGAGGCAAAGATACTGGTCGTTGTCATAGAGGCATGGGAAGAAGCTGACTTTCCTTTTTCCTCGTTCAAAGGTGGCTGGTTGGTAATCACGATTGTTCGGCAGATATGGGTAGGTGGTGGGATGCCGTATGTGGCCTGAAGGTAGTGATGGGAATGGTGATGGTGGTGATGAAGAGAGGTGCTGTGACGGTGTGCATGCACCGCTTTCTGTTTCCAGCTCGCTTTTTCCAGGGCTTGAGTCATTGTTATGTCGATTATTGTCTAAAGAGCTGGAGTAGATGACAGGGATTGGTGATTGTGGAGGCGTGCGGAAGGATTGTTCGGAAGAACCTGGGGAGGAGGAGGAGGAGGAACCACCACCCTGGCCGAAAGGTTGAAGTTCCATACAGGCGGATATTTTCATAATGGTGGTTTAGTTGACAGAAGAAAGCAGGCGTTTGTTCGTTTTCCGTTGGTATAATATCAAGAAAGTCGTCCTAGAAATTCCCTTGTTTGACTCTTATGCGCGGGATTAGTTACCAGTTGAGACACTCCTGTAAAGAAAACCCTTCTGCTCAATGTATTGACCTTCAACTTCATTTGGGATCGCTACTCCGGATAATCTTTCAATCTCCTGTGATTCAATCAAATATTATCGCATTGGGATGGATAATATGAACAATTTGAACATATGATGCATGCTGGCGATGAGACCGCCAGAAATGCACATCTCGAAACGGTCACATGGACGGACAATATCAAGTACGTACAGACTAACTGTCATTTTCTAAGCTGTTACTACTCCATTCAAGAGCCATCGGAGATTTCTTACGAATGAAACAATATGTTCAGGTCCTAGAGAGTCAAGTGTCTACCAAGCCATCATCGTTGTTGTGGCTTGCAGTGGTGAGTGAATCAACTGACATTTTAGGACAGGAAATTGATGCATGTGTAGCATTGCTTCTTTGATCCCTAAGTTTCTGACATTGTTTGACTTCATTCACACCTGTACAATGCTCCATCTGCCCCTCATGTCCATGATCAACACCACCGAGACACTCCTGGCCCACGCCACACCTCCTTCGGGATAAAACATTCCACTCGCAAAGACCTAGCGAAAACCTCTCAAGACTTACCTACCCACCCATTTCCCTCCTATAACCCCTCTCACTTTGTCCCTTTTGGCCACCTAAGCCCTAACTCCCTGACTCCCCAACAACCTCTGCACCGCCGCTTCGAAGCCCGCATTCCTCGCCGTACCGAAATCATGATTCCAGTACGCATGCACATCGTGCACCGTGATCGCGCTCGTCGGGCTAGACAGGTTCGAAGGTTTAGTAGGACTATAAGCAAACGCAAGCCGGTTGCCGCCGTTGGGCTGGATGTAGCGAACCGCGCCGCCGTCGGCTGCCCATGAGGTGCAGCCTGTACAGAGGGCGGTGAATTGCCAGTGGGTCGAGTTGGACTTGGTGCCGGTTTTGAATAGAGTGTAGGTGGCGGTAGTGTAGGTTTGTGGGAGTGTGTGGCTGCTGAATTGGAGAAAAGGGGGAAGTCGTTAGTAGGTGACGTTGGCGGTTTTGATTTCGGTTGGTCTGAAATTATCACAGGTACATGTATGCACCCCAAGGCGAGGATGGGGAATATCGATGTGCATTGCATCTATGTCAGGCGCAAGAACCAGCGTCAAGAGGGAAAAAATGAAAAGAAAATGCGGGCTACCAGTTCCCATATAGCCGTCATGTAGGTATGGGAATTGATAATCCGCCCGCATTTTCTTTCAGCACAACATTGCATGTACATGTGAATCCATCCATACGGATGGGAGCCAAAAGATTGAAAACCTGTGCATGTGATTGTGCATGTGATTGTGCATGTGAACGTATAAGCGTAACTTACCTGGCCCATCTAGACGACAACACTGGTTGATTGTTTGACCCTCGCCAAAAAACCATTAAGGGGTTCTTGGTCATTGAACCGCCCCAAGCAAGCCCGGCCCAGCCGACGTCGTTAGGAACGATCACCTGGACTACGGCGTCGTAGGCGGAGTTGCTGGAGACGTTGCTGGGGATTGCGATTCGGAAGGTTATCCCTCGACCGTCGACCTTGTACAACGCAAAGTTTTGGGAGTAGGTGAGGCCAGTTTCGGCGTCGTGAACTGCAACAGACTCGGCAGCAGATACTGTTTGTTGGGCGCATTAGTGCCTCCCAAGTGAGTCCAGTGGATGTAAAGGATTCCTGTTCGTACCGCTGCGCAGTAAGGTCACGATGACCGCGAATAGTAAGTTCCAGAACATTGTCGCTTATAGACGCGTGACGTCCACAAGAGAGAATTTCAACGCTGAGTAGGTGTTAAAAATGCTGAGCGCGGCAACCAGACAGATGAGGGTATTGAAAATTTCCTAGTCGAAACCCGGAGAGTAGAAACAGAGCGAGATGAAAAGAATGACGGAAATCATTGCTCTAAAGTATGCGCTGCTGATTCTATGAGTTGACTTGTTGTTCCTGCCAAGAAAGTCAACCAGAGTGAGCCGCCTGTTATCGTCGAGTTGTTTTCCCGGTCGCGGTGATACTCTGGTCAGGATGTCGGAGGCAGATGTGTCGAGCCGAGGGGGTATAGCATATGTACCAATGGGCGGGTGAACCGCGTGATGCCATTTTTATCGTCACTCTTAATCTACAGAACCATGGAGACGTTTCCCCCTCGAGGTGCTCCTTCCAGGTAAAGACCAAAACTGAAGATCGCATGCTGGGCGCTGATGCAGACAACATATTGAGCGTGGGTGAATCCCCAATGTGAAGGCGGCGAGTGGTGGAGAGGGTGACAATTTGGGATACCAACTGACTTTATCCGCAGATTGAGGTAGAAGCGACGGCGACATATGAGAGGCCAGGCTCGGAGGTTGAATGGCGGCTGATATTGACATTACACCCCATGGTAGCCTCCAAGACCCGCAGATCCCAGAATTGGAAAGATGGGCGTGGCTTTTCCTGGTTTCGGCCAGTGCAGGCATTGCGGGAGTGGAAATTAGAATCAAGATGTCCCGAACTGAACTATCGAACTGGGTAAAATATTGTACTATTTCGATGCGGTTCATTTGTGCCTGCATGTTAGCTATACCAATACGTCCAAAATATTAAAGAAGCAAATATCGGAAAGACCGCCTTATCTATTTTGTTTGTTCGTTGCCTCTCAAAGGCCTTCGGCAGGCAGAGTGTCCCTTGGGATGTGCTTTGAAGCGATTGCAACTTGGTCTGATGATGTGATCCCGAGAACAGAACATGAACTACCCGGGATACACCACATTGCGTCTTATCCAGTCCTGCCATCTCGAGCTTTGGCAGGACACGTACTGGTAAATGGTTACAGTAGGCTTTCGTTAATGAAGAATGACACTGTGTTGTTGATTGTGATCCTTCGAAGCATGATGCAGCCGTGATCCGGCATATGCCCCATGCATTTTCATGTCCTTCAACCATGGTAAAAGTGCGACTCGCGTAAGGCCCTCGAGTTCTAGACCTTTCTGCACTGTTTATTTTGAGTCTGCATGGCTGTCCGGTAGATGACGGCATTCTACCCTCATATGTCCATGGTCCAGGATGTCGGGTTAGTGGGGGCCTTATGGCCAGTGTACAATTGCACGTTGACACATGCAGTTCTCAGTCTTTGGATTGAACATGCAGTGGTTTGAAATGGACGGTATGGATTTCCGGACCCCCAATAAGTGTTTGGTGTTTCATATGATGCACGTGTTGTCCTCGTACATGCAAGACCGTTTTGGTTTTGATTCTCGACTGGGAGCATGAAGAGAGCCGCAAAGGGAAGGGAAGGCGGGGAAAATACACCGGAACCTTTGACTAGTAGTTGATGCTGTGAGTATCCTCCCGACAAACCATGAAAGGTCCTGAACCTATTATCTAGACCCGAAAGATTCCTCGGTTGGTACATTTCCGGGCAGGACTGGGCTGATTAGGTGCCTTTGAAGCTGTGCAGCCACGCGAAAGATATGTGGCAGAGAAGACTAGTGGCGAAATTGTAGCCACTGTCAGATGGACCGCGAGAACAGAGATGGGCGCAAGAGAGGTTGAAGACTTTTACCAACCGAGGTATTGTAAGGCACATGAACGATGAAGCCGAGAAATACAAGGTCATGGAACGTGATAATCCTTGGTAGGTACTTGAGCTAACGACTTGGTGCGACAAAGGCTGCGCAATGGATCTGCGCTAGAACTGTTTCTCAGGAATTGGAGTACGCAGCGCGCACTTTGCTGTGCGATAAGCGCTTTCGTGATGCTGATGATACGTACGTCATGTGTAGTGATAGGTTTGGTCATGGGCGAAAATTGATGTGGGCAATGCCAATTTATACTAAGTACTTAAGCCTTGAATGGCAGGACGCTCGGGGTTGCGATCGGTCAGCTCGAAAATACGCCGTGGTCCTGTTGGTAATGAGTTGACTGGCACCGACCGAGCTTTGTGAAGTGGGCTGAAGGTGCGTCGGCGGCTAGCGATCGATCTCGGCAGTGCGCTTGAACCGGCAAGTGGAACTGTCAAATGGCCCGGCTCGGCGGGCAGTCCGGCCGGGTGGGGCGGAGATCCCGTTCGTCGCTCGGTCCGGTGCGGCGGTAGGTACAGTACCTAGAACTACTGCGTACACTAAGGTACCTTTGTGGGGCAGTTCGGATGGGTCTTTCACATGCCCCTCTGTCTGGCTTAAAGGTCCGTTGACGGGAGTGACTTCAACTCCCAGGGCTGCCATGCTCCACCAAGCCTCCGGTAGCATGTTAAATGGCCGTCAATGGGCTCATAACTGGGGGCAATGATCCCAATGAGTGAATTTTTTTAACAGTCATCATTCATCGTTCCAATGGCATCGCGTTGTTCGCCAAATCGGGACTTGGATCCGGTGACCCAAGGAGGGCACCGGGGGGGGGGACGAGGAAATATCGGGTGAGTTTGGTCCAAGTGCACGGTTTACGATAATTTTTCGAGATGGTTTGTAAGTACCTATGCGGTAGAAAGGGCTGGGGCAGTACCGTAGCACTAGCAATTTACTCCACGGCCATTTCCGGTCACACGTTTTGCGGGCTGCTATGGTGGGTCAGTTCTGGATTGTGGGCTTTCCTCGAAATCGAACCATTCTCCCAAAACACAGCAGATTCCAAGCCAATCTCGTTCGCTTGACCTGCTCGACGAAAACACACCCAACCCAAAAGAGGTGCTATTCCCACCCTCGCCAGGCCCGAACCCACGGTAAACGGACTGAAGGGATTTTGCCAAGCATTCAATCGAGTCAACGTGCAAATGTTTCTCCGCGATTGACGCCCTCGCGGCGGCTTTCAACGGTTGTTCTCCAATCGGCCATGGCACCTTCCACCTTTTGGCACCTCTCGTCCACCTTCGTTCGTATCCGCTTGACCCATGACTCCGGAGCGCGGTCAACCGCGACTACTACAATCCCCATGACCGAGCACGGCAATGACTGGGAGCAGGATCTCGATCTGCTGCAGTCAGAAACGGCCCATTACCCCCAGTAGAAACCTTCATGATATTCCGCGCTTTCACCACCATCGGGTCTCCGCGCGGTATGCCAATATGTTGGGTTGACCGTCGAGCCACTAACCTCAGGATCTGGGAGCAGCGTGATGCCGTGACCCATTCAGCAAATCCCAATCACAAGTATACACCATATCTACCGCCGTCATTGTGTAGTATCTTTCTGACATGTGAGAAACAAAGATGATCCGGATTTCACCTCGTTGCGCGGCAAAAATAGCCGTCCCAGGCATGCTCGGCATAGCCAAATCCCATTTTGAAACAGACCCGATCGTAGTCCATATGCGACTTGTTGATGACTGCATGGCAAAGCTTTGAAAGCCCATGGCAGTTGTCATGTCAACCGGCGCCGAGCACTCAAAACTTACCCGACCCGGACCCTAGGGGCACCAAAGGTCCTCGATGTCACGTTTGTGCAGAAGTGTTGGGGAGGGTAGGGACCAGCCTGGGCCAGTTGGGGCAGGGAAGCAACTTGGGGCTGTTGATGCCGAGGCCACGTCCCGGAGAGCTCCGAGGTCTCGATGTTGAGCCGCTGCCATGCTCACTAACTCGAAAGGCCGCCTATGACGGACCACCGGCGTTAAGATGGTACCTCGATGTGCTCTCAGAACAGGGCTCCAGCCGAATACATAGGGGCCCACGGGGTCCTCTAGCCCCTGTAGCGAAAGCTGGCTTTAGCGACTTGAGGTGGACTTTCTATGCACCCTGCCACGCCCACCTAGCCCAGTGCGATCCAGACCTTTTGCCGTTGATAGTTGGATTTTCGGGCGCAATCGTATGACTGGCAGGTGATGCAGATCGCCCGTTATGAGGTGGAATGTATGTCTGCTGCAAATGCAATGCGCCCACAGCCCCATGCGGTAGTAGCTAGACGAGCGGTAGTAGCTACACGAGCGCGCGTTACCGAACGATTCCGACTCATTTGACTATGTCCCTTTAATATCAAATAGCCCATTGTTCTCTCTCGATGGCATATAGTAGTTGTCATTGCATCACCAAGATCACCCAGAAAACTCAAAACACTACAATCCAGACGCTTGTTCATCACCAGACAAGCCGTCTGATTAAACAGACAACACATCAAACGCTCGGATCGCTACCCCCACAATCTGAATGCAAAACATCAAACACACCACACCCCAAACCAAACACACCTGATTTTGTCACCAGATGGACATCAGGACAACAACCATGGACCAACCCATGGCCTTCACGTCGTACACTACCGTGCCCTACAGCACTGGCCAACTTGTAAGTTAACATGACAACATCCGTTCACAAACCTGTCCATGGCGCAAATGTAGGCGACTAACAATTGTTACAGCAAACCTGCCCTGAATCTTTAACGGACTTCTCGCCAGTTGCCCTTTACGAGGACTTCAACAGCACCGACTTCAATTCCGACTCTGCGGGATCCCCTGTATCGCCCATCTCCCCTGTGCCAAGCGCCACTTCTTTCGGTTTATTTTCGCCATATGGTGATGATTTGTTTAGATGGGGAAAGTTTGAGCGTGAGCACTTTGAGCATTCCCCAGAGTCTGAAGACTGCTTCAAGTCTGAGCCCTACGACGGAAGCCTCATCTCGACCCTCCCACCCCGGCCTCTTACCGCCAGCCCATCTATCAACCCCGTTGAGCTCTCGCTAGAGGTGCCCACGACTACACAAGACCTTAACTTCAACTTCGAAGGCACAAACACCAACTCGCCACTGTTCCAGTCTCAAGTCATGGGTGTAACACCCCCCTCGCAACGGTCTACCCCGGCTGCCGTTATTGAGCCACAACCACAACAGCAACAACCTATCGAACTTGCTGAGGATGTGAAGCGTTACCCCTCGCGCAACAACCTCAAGCGCAAGTCTTCCTGCTCTTCGTCTTCCGATGAAGAGGAATGTCGCCCAGCCAAGCGCGTCTCCCTATCCCCGCCGCCCAACTCGTCCCACAGCCCACCGACTAAGAAGGAAAAGAGCACTTCCCCCCCATCCATGACGGCCCCCAAGAAGACGGCCCACAACATGATCGAGAAGAGATATCGCACCAACCTCAACGACAAGATCGCAGCGCTTCGCGACTCTGTTCCATCTCTTCGCATCGCAGCCATGCGCATGGAGAGCGGCAATTACGATGATGAGTATGAGGGCGAGGAAGGGGATTTGAGCGGTCTGATTCCGGCTCCCAAGCTCAACAAGGCGACCATCCTCAGTAAGGCGACGGAGTATATCAGCCAGCTTGAAAGGAGGAATCATGGTCTGGAGACGGAGAACAGTGCACTAAGAGGAAGGATGGAAGGCTTGGAGATGCTTTTGATCAGCCGTGGTGGCGGTCCTTCCGGTACATTTGTGTGGAATCACCAGGAGTGGTCCAGGTGAACATGAGAAGCGGGAAAAAGAAAAATACGGCGTGGAAGTGGAACTTCAGTTGCATATTACCGGCGCACGGGCGAGGGGAAAAAAATGGATTGGAGCAATTGCTTTGTGATACCAGCGGGAGTTTAGCGACTTTCGATTGATTTCTTGGAAGGATATCGCTGGGGTGCAACTCAGAAAGACTTGCGGATGGCGTTGAGAATTGCTAAATTACAGGAACACTCCTCACTCAAATTCGACGTTCAAGGGGCATCTTTGAGCCCCTGTCTACTATACTATCTGATCTTGCCGAACTGTGTTTGTGACACTGAATTCTGAACCCATCACTTTCAATAAGGCATATACTGCGTTTGCCTTCCTTCCATGAATAAAACACTGCCCTGACCCATATCTCTGACACCAATGGTGGACTATGTTGAGATTGCTGTAAAATTATTCGTAGTTCAGTGACGGGGTTTTCCGACTCGCCGATTCCCAAGCTGCCATCGAGCCGCCTTTAACCAGATTGCACCTTCCTAACATCTACCTGCACAGCAGTGAATCGCGGCTTGAAAAGGACACTGGTGGAGAATAAGAAGAGGGATATGGATGTGAAGAGTGTGAGAGGCGGAGGTGGTTGGAGGTACAAACGGCAGGAGTAGAGTAAAACGATGGAGTCTACTGTCGCAAAAGAGATGAATGTGTTTATGCCTAGTTGGTCACTCAACCGTCCATGTATGGTGTTTGAGGAGACAAAAGCTTCAGATCTTTAACCAGAGAGACGGAGTGTCGTTGGGATGTGGAATGTAAAGGCACGTCCCCTCCCGCTCAACGGGATGTGCCTAGTGCCCGTGCTGCGCTCATACGGCATGCATCACCGCACGTCATGAATATTGCATCGATGACGAACTGTACTGCCCGCGATTCGTCCACCACTTAAAAGAGACGAACGTCACCCAAACATCTGTTATCACTGTTGACCAAAACAACATCAACACACAACCGACCGCCATGCTTCTGGACGTGAAAGCATCTCAACGCCTTGACTCTAGGGGCAACCCAACAATTCAAGTAGAAGTCAGGACCGCCCATGGTACGTTTCCAACCCACAATTCCCTCCCCGACAAACTTTGTCTGCAAGGTGGGCGGCCTGACTAATTTATCGCTAGGAATTTTCCGCTCCCTCGTCCCGTCCGGTGCTTCAACTGGAGTCCACGAAGCCGTCGAACTCCGCGATAATGACAAACGCAAGTACGGAGGAAAGGGGGTCCTTACCGCAGTCAACAACGTCAACGAGATCATCGGCCCGGCTCTGGTCAAAGAGGGCTATAGTACCCGTCGCGACCTGAAGCAGATCGACGGCTTCATGCGTGAACTGGACGGGACCCCGAACAAAGCCAAGCTAGGTGCGAACGCGATTTTGGGAGTGAGCATGGCTTGTGCTAGGGCTGGGGCTGCTGCTGCGGTAATTTTCCTTCCTTGATATTCCATCGTTTTGTTCCGTGCCACCCAGGTTAGGTTGGTTGACAAGAGTGAAACTCCTAAAACTAGAAGATCCCCCTATACGAGTTCCTTCGTCGAGAGGGCAGCGAAGAAGCCCCTTACATGGTTCCCGTCCCTTTTTTCAACGTTCTGAACGGAGGCAGACACTCCGGAAACGGCATGGCGTTCCAGGAGTTTATGATTGCTCCGACCGGTGCGAAGACCATTGAGGAGGGGATTCAAATGGCGTCTGAGACATATTTTGTTCTGAAGCAGATGATTTCTGATAAGTTTGGAGCTATTTGTAAGTCCTGTCCTGAACCAAAAGAGTGGGTCATATCGTGATGTGAGAATTGATAAGCTGCAAAATAGACACGGGCGTAGGCGACGAAGGCGGTTTTGCCCCTCCTATTACCCAACCCGAAGAAGCCCTCGACTTGCTCACCGAGGCTGTGGCCAAAGCTGGATACACCGATAAGATCAAGTTCGGCATCGACGCGGCATCGTCCGAGTTTTTCAACCCAGAGAATGGGACTTATGACCTCGGTTTCAAGAGCATAAAGGAGGGTGAATCACATTCGGACGATGTCAGGACCCCAGCTGAGATGATGGAGCTATACAAGTCCCTCATCGAAAAGTATCCAATCCCACTGCTCGAAGATCCCTTCGCCGAGGACGATTGGGAGTCGTGGGTCAAGTTCTGCAAGGACTTCTATTTCGAGGAGCTGGTGGGGGATGACTTGCTGGTGACGAATGTGGAGAGAGTCAGGATGGCCGAGAGCAGGGTGGCGTGTAATGCGATGCTGCTGAAGATCAACCAGATCGGAACGGTGACAGAGGCCCTTGATGCGTGAGTTTTCGCACCTCTACTTGTTCCCCTTTCATTGCCTTTGGGTTGGTAAAGTGATGGTCTTGCTGACTGATTTCTGGTATAAAGGGCGAAACTGGCCAAGAGCTTGGGGTGGGGCGTTTTTGTGTCGCATCGATCGGGCGAAACGACCGACGATTTCATTGCCGACTTGTCTGTCGGGCTCTGCACAGGTCATATCAAGTCCGGAGCGCCGTGTCGGGGCGAGCGGGTGGCCAAGTATAATCGGCTGCTGGACATCGAGGCGGAGTTGAAGGAGAGCTGGAAGCCGTGGTCGTATGCCGGCGAGAAGTTCCGGAAGCCGGAGGCTTTCTTTATTTAAAGCATTCTGGTGTGCTCAATGGCTTCAGCTTGCTATGTACGGTAATGATGGAATTGAGCGCCTGGGACTAGTCACAATACATAGAGGTAGGCATGATGTTGTTCAAGGAGTGACTGGTAGCCGAACCCGGAAAACACCAACCTTACACGGCAAGGCAGTATGCATCGTCACACATATCTAGCAAATTGCCGAACCGCCCACTCATCGTCAACTCTGTTAGGTAGGCCAATAGGTAGATGGCATTGTAACCAACGGACCCTATGGCTGGGTATAGATTTGAAATTGAAGTGATAACGAAGAAAGTGTACGCCCCGGAATGCACCAGGCTTTTGCGGGCTGCCTTCCTTGAATACAGGAGGGACGTAAGCATCGCCGAGGTAGCTAGTGGTAGCCCCGGCCTGTGCAAACAGAGCCTGTGTAGTGCAGCTGCTAGCGGTATATTCGTAGAAGGCGTGCCTGACAAACTCCGTGGGTGATGCTACCTATTTTAGGTATCTACAGGTACATATCTCCATTGCACTTGCATAACCCGACAAGCAAGCCGTTCAAGTGTTGGGTTTCCTTGCTTAGGAGTGCATCCAGTTACATGCACCTGCCGTAGTACGCAAGCCGTTGCATTGCTTCAAATAAGTGTGGCGAGTCCCCTTGACCTTTGACCTCGAACCTCTTTTTTCCCCAGCATCAACCCCGGCCACATTAGTCAACCACTCCTCTTTGCTGAACCAGCCAGGCCATCACCATACATTACAAAAAAGCCAGTCAATAGAGTCGAAGAACCCAGTTGGACTCATCCCCATATCTTATATCCGTCATTGACATTCCATTATTCTTCAGCCAGCGGTCACCCATCAGAACCATGCTCAGCATATATGAGGCGGCGGAATGCCCAGGGGACACTGTAGCGTTCCACGCCGAAAGGTTACAGCGCAAGTACCAAGCACAGCTCCCAGGCTCATCAGAAGGCTTTTATGACTTTCGCATCGACTACACACCCCGCCCCCATGCATACAGAACCCTCCGTGTCCGCGCCGGTCTGCCACCAAGAATGTTGAGGTTTGGCGTCAAACCTTCCACCGAGTTTGAGCTCGCATACTGTTGTACCATCACTTTCACGCCCTTCCGCGCCATTCTCGATCTCAGCAGGCCGTCCTCTGAAGCTTCCTGGGATTCAGAGGGTGAATATGAGTCAGACCCCCAAGTTGATCAGCTCAGCAGTTGCTCTAGTGGCAGTGTTCCCTACAATATTAAAACGGAAAACACCATCATCGATTCAGGACCATCATTAACAACAAACTTCGAGTCCCTCGAAGTCTCTTCTTCCGTTTCGCTTTCGGACCGCAATGACAAGGACAGAAAAACAGAGCATGACGTGCATCACGCCCAAGCCTGGCCTCCTACCGAGATAGAAATCGACTTCGAACCCTTCCCCGTAGCCTTTGGTCGCATCATTTGGGACTGTTCCTAGTGCTACGAGATCGCCGAGCTGCATGCCGATATGGAATACGGGGGTAATAAGCTGATGGATCTGATTCTCCGGTACTTCTTGGATGTCATTTCACTGCATGAGGCGCAGCGTCCAGAATTAGGCGACAGCGGTTGGGGACGGGAGCGGGAGCCGACGGTTGTGGTTATGGCCAAGAACGACGACGCTGATAAGAAGTTTTATGCCTCACACGGATTTGTGGAAAGTGACGAGGCATTGGAGGTGAGTGACAGGGCCATCGAGAGTCAGGTTTTAAGGATGGTTTTGAAAGAGGGTGTGATCAGAGCGCTGGTGAACAAGAGGAACGAGGAGCAGATGGATGATGAGGATGTTTGGACCAGGAGGCGTAGAGAGTACGAGCGGATATGGATACAGGCTGAGGACAGGCGAAGAGATAAGCGTCGGGAGGAGATCTTGAAGGAGTCTCTGTCTCTCTCGGAAGATACTTCGGGAAATGAATGCCTGGAGATGAGTGTGGGGGTGTTGTGTTCTGTGCAAGATACGCCAGGAGATGGTGCGAAGAGAGCAAACAGCTTACCCCTGCGACTGCATCCTATGACTCATATCGAAACGAGCGAGGAGCAAGGTGACGGGAGAAAGAGGGCCAAAAGCGTAGCTGTATCTGCCACGAGCTCAACCGGTCGCAAAGAGAGAGCTTGAACAACTTCAACAGGTTGTCAGTTCTCGTGCCTCTTTTCTTTTCTTTGCCTTTTTTTTTTTTTTTTTCCAAATGATGGGCTTGTGCTGTAGGCTAACACATTCATTGGCGAGGCCTTCGTACTTTTTCGGGGTGAAGCCCAGAAACTAGCGAGATATCGGGGATGATAGATCACGTACATATATATTTCCAACTTGAAGTTCTCTAGCACACGGGAGGCCCACGGGGCAGAAACCGGACGGACACGTTCGTAAAGATGCCAACGCCACAGGCATTTCATAGACATAGTCAATAGCGCAGAGAAATCATCATTCCCATAATCTTGCTATATGCACCTCTTGGGTTAACAACATGTACCAAAGAGATCCCTCACCTCAGTCGAGACCTTCACTCTCAATAACGTATTCTTCAAACTGCCTTGCTCCGACCTTCCTCTCAAACAGAATATCCAATTCTTCATACGTCCTCCCGCTCGTCTCCGGAACCCTCAAATACGACCAAACCAGGCATATCGCAGCAAGACCCCCAAAGAAGAATCCCAATTTCCCCTGCATGTTCGCCTGATCAGGGTTGATCATATAAGGAATCGCAACCGTCATCACACAGCCAAGAGCGCCTTGAGCGGCAGTCGCGAGGGCAATGCTCTTGGATCGCACCCTGGTAGCGCTGGCTTCGGATATAATGACGAAGCAGACGGGGCCGACAGATATATCGTAGAAGAAGTTCCATACTAGCATCAGTGAGGATTCGGTCCAAATAACGCCACTGGGCCGGCCAGGAATGCAGTCAAAAATGCCAATAATGATTTGAAGGATGACGAGGACTAGGAGGCCGGTGTTGTAGATCTTTCGGCGACCGTAGCGGATTAACAGGGGCCAGGATATGATAGTGCCGAGGAAGCCGACGGCTGTAGAGAGTTGGGTTTTTAGCCTGAAGCAGTGGAGAGATACCAAGAGCCAAGTGCCTTACCTAAAAATCCAATTCCCATGTCAAATGCTTCGTCGTTGTCCAAACCAGCGAGCTGAAAGAAATACGTCCCATAATTGATCAGGTAAATCCCACTCAGGACCTGGGTACAATAAACACCCATGGAAATTTCCGTCCTCCGGAGATTCACTCCCCTAAAGCAGTCCCAATAGGTACTCCCCATCTCCAACTCCTGCTCCAACCGATCCGTCTCCAAAATGACTGTCAATGTCTTTCCCACATCAACCTTGTCCGATGCCAGCCTACGCAGCACCATCTCAGCCTCATCCAGTTTCCCCTTCCGTACCAACCACCACGGACTTTCCGGCACCCACCTCAGCCCCAATAGTATAACCAAGCACCAAAACCACTGCAGCGCAAACGGAATTGAATACGCCCAATGATTGCTCAACTTGCTCGTTCCAGCACATACAGCGTTCCCCAACAACTGACCAATAACAAAGCACAAGTTCACATAGCTCGTCAACACCCCCCTAAGAGCCATCGGGCACACCTCGGACGAGTAAGCTGGTGCAATGACGGCATAACACCCCAGCACCAGACCCCCCAAAAGCTCACCAACCAGCAACACCTGCAGCGAGCGGGCGAAAAACTGGACAAAAATAAGACAAGCCGTCAGCGCCACACAAGCCCCAAAAGTCCACTTCCTCCCGAACCGCTCCATCGGGTATCCCGCAATCAAAGCGCCGACGACTTGTCCCACGGGGTTACCCATTGAGAGGCCGGTCTGCCAGGGCGCACTGATGATGTAGTCATGTTTATAGAGATAGCCAAAGTCTTTGCGGAATTGCGGCATGGCGTACAAGTTGCCCAGGAGCTGCGGGTCGAAGGCGAGCATTATGACGCCCATGGAGACAAAGGCGGACCACAAGATGGCGGAGGGGTAGAGGGTGCAGGCTTGGAGAAAGTTCAGGGACCGTTCGAAGTGAATGGCTTCGTCCAGGCCGGTATCATGGTGGACAATTGCTTTGATATCCTTGCTGGTGGCATCTGCCTTGCTGTTGTTGCCTTGAGCCATGTTGGGCTTCCGGTTACCTCGACCTCGATATTCTCGAGTGGAATCGGATGGGAAGTCAGGGCCGTTTTCTTCGTCGCTGTCCTTCTCGAGAAGTGGAAGGAGAGGTGGCCGTTCATTGCAATGGGAGACGATAGACCGTAGGGGTAATATCTGGGCGAAAGTGTGCCCGGTTGACCCAGATAGGGAATTAAAACGTCAAATGACGTTACATTACGGTAGTCGTTGGATCAGTCGATCTATCTGTTGTTGATCACTTTAGAGCCTTTATCAGTTGAAACTCTCCGGGTGAGATGCAACCACGCGATGTGGTTACACCGACAGCACCACTGGCAGGGTAGATTGGAGCCGTGTTGGACTCCGAACTGTTATCGAAGCCGGTTGAAAAACACCCATTGGTCAATATCGAGTTACTTTGTCTACCTATCTGTATCAACAATTCGGTCTGCATCGCATGGTGCCGAAAGAAGATAACGCTGCCAGTGGCCATCGGGTCTTGTCCTGATCCACAGAGGAGTCGGCCGGCCTGACCCGTTTCGTCAATGCGATTAAATGACTTCGTCGAGAGTAAGTAAGTATATCTTTGGGTAGGCTTGTCAAAGAGCCTTTCCGTTCGCGGCTATTTTCGTGTGAACAAGTAGCACACTGCATGGTGGCCAGTTCTAGGCGTGACAAGAGTCCATGTCTCAAATTGACGAAAGATGGAAGGAGGTCATAAGTGGAGAAAGTCAAACAGGGCTGCTAAGATGCCCCACCTGCACGTGCTCGGCAACGTTGCGTCTTGGCATTCCCTGTTACTTGTACCCCAGCAGCCCAGTCAACTTGCACCGCATCCAAGGGTCCATCCACAGAAGCACGACATACAATCAGACACCTCTAGTCTCGAGGGCCTCGTTGGGGAAACGCTCTTTGTCTGCGGTCCCCGCATTCTGAAGCAGACAGAGACAGGAGAATCTATGTCTTCGAGGACACAGGCGTGCACAACTCCACCCGGGCGGGATCAGAAGCGCAGGCCGGGCCATAGGGAGTGGGAAGCCTATGACGAGAAGAACAAGAAAGCGACGATGACCAACCCTACGACTACGAGTGAGAAAGGGTATAGGACTATTGACGACAACGATTGTCCAAGAGAGATCAATACGACGGTGTTTCGCCATCGAAAGACCAGTGGTGCTGCCTACTCGCAGATTATCCATCTTGCTAGCCCGGCGGCAAGATCCAAAACCAAGTCTCCTATGAGCAAGTTACCCAACCAGTTAATATGACCCTACGAGGTTGGGGCACACTGCGAGTAATAGGGAGGTGAGACAGCCTTGCACGTGTATCCGCTCTGTCGGGTTCACCATTGTCAGCACGAATTTCATCCCCGCCTGCTTCGTCACGTCCATTCGCCCGCAGCAAGCGTTCAGATCGCGCGTGCCCCAGTTGTCGTCGTCACCTACGCGCCCGCCGGATTTTTTCGACCAGGCGTCAGAGAAGATCTTAAACCACCCGCCAGAAGAACCGTCGGCGGTGGAGGCGTCGGAAACTTTGGAGAGGTAGATTTGCACCGGACCCCAGTGGGCGCCGCCGATGGCTTCGGATTTGCAGGAGCGGTCGCCTGGTTGCTGTTTGGGGGTTAGTCATATGCCAGGTAAGACGAAGTTGGAATGGAGATGTGTGGTTGGGCTGGTACTTGCAAGGGACAGGAGGGTGTTTGAAAGGGAAGTAGAACTCACCTGGTGCATCTCCACCGTCACGGTCCCGCCTGCTTTGACGGGGCATTTTCCACTGACACCCCTCGTACCGGCATTGCACACAACATCTCGGCTTCCCACGTTGGTGACGGGGGAGTTGGAGGTCGGAAGGCGGTTACAGGTGGAGCCGTAGTCGACACCGTCTACCCAGAGTTGTTGGAAGATGGCGTGGGCGATTGCATCCCTGACAGCTAGTCCGGCGGTCAGGACGGCTAAAAGTGAAGACTTCATGGCTGATGATGGAATGAAATGGTTGAGCAATGACTCGAGTGCGATGGTGGCGAGAATTCAGCTACTGCGATAGAAAAAGAGGCACACAAGGGGACTGACGCAGATATAAGGACAAGCCCGCCTACCACACAAGGAGAGAGAGCCAAAACCCCTCTTCATTGCCTACGTCTACGTCGCCTCTATCATTCACCAAGTCACGGGTACTATTTCTCTCAATCACAGCCAAAGCAATTAAGGTAAGGTCCCCACGAACGCAATCCCGAGTCACATCGGCATTTGGGCTTAAACGCCCGCATATGTTGCCTCGATTATACCCCGATGATATCTGAGTTCTCTACCCTTCTGCACCCACACAGAAAGATGGCGAATGGGGCCCCAAGTTCCGTGTGACAGCATCTCATCTACCGGGAAGCAATCCACGTACAAAGTACTTCCAATCCAGGTATGGGAGACTCTCGACGAGCGTGTGTATATATGAAGTCGAGAATATGGTCACTAGACCAACATATCCTTACTCCCAAGGGACACCAGCGCGTGGATGTAGGTGCCTGTCATTCTAATCATTCCTACCCTCTACTGTCCATTTAAACCCAGCGCTTCCGCGATCAACACTCCCTATGACCCTGCTATCGAAGGTATTCCTTCCTTCATGACATCCTTAACATCCAATTGACTCCTTTGTCTACCACCCTCTACCAATCGAAAAGCTTTTCCAATCCGTCCCACAATCGCGAAGCCCGACTCCTCCTCCGACCACCGCCATCGCCGCCGCCGGAAGATCCACCCCGACGTCCCCTCTCATAATCCATCTCCCTTCTCTTTCTCTCCCGTGAAGCTTCTATCTGACGCCTTTCCCTTTCCCTATCCCTCTCGCTCTCAATCTCCCTCTCCCTCTCCCTCTCGATCTCCCTCTCCATTGTTCTGTCCATTTCCTTGTCCCCACGATAATAAAGACGATATCTAATATCATCGTTCGTCGCGGCTCTTGACCCTGGCCTTCGGTACGCTCTCGAAGTCGGAGCTGGTGACGGTGTTAGTTGTCTTCTTCTCTCGTCAAACCCTGAAGGACCATAACGATCAAAACTGGTTTCGAGTGGCCGAGAGCGAAGGGGACGGTATCTTTCAGGAGAGCGCCCCTGAGGCCGTTGAGGTTCTCGAGAGCGGTAGAGGTCGGGTTCTTCGGTCCAAGGACGGGTGCGTTCTTGCCTACATACATGTCATGTTCGGGGTCTTTTTTTGGTAGGAATTCATCAACACGTACCATCCTGGCACGCTGCTATGCGGCATGCGTGCCCGGCGAAGCATTTCTTGATCTGGATTCGGCCAGGGAGGATCAAATTCACCCCAGTAAGGATTGGGGGGTGGCTGTCTGCGAGAGCCCATGACTGAGACTGTATGTTGTCAATATCTTCAGATGTACTGCGAATGGGTGCTTGCACTAATGGTGAGCTTTCTTGTACTGGTTCGAAGACGACGCCTTTGCTGAGGAGTTCCTGAAACTTAAATATACTCTCAGCAATGACGAATATCAGGACCACTTCGCAAGGTTAATCACAGGGCGGTGACAAAGATGCTTGTCCATAGTTCCCCCCAACGAAATCAGGCTTCACGAGCCGTTTGTGGTCCGGTAACTTCACCTTGCTCCTGACTCGTCCCTTCATCCACTCATTTATTGTTAATCGTGTGAAGAAGAGATCGGGGGAGCCATTGCGTAGGCCTTCCTTCGGTCTTGATAATTCAGTATGCGGCGCAGCCTATCGCCAAACCAGTTACTGAGCCAGCAAACACTCGATGACCACCTTGGAATCAACCGGAGATATCTACGTCAAACGATTTGGACAATTCACAATGAATACCCTTCACAGACTCCCGAATTTTTTTTCGAGTGGCGGACAAATTATACAAAAGCACCCCATCCTCAAACTGTTCCCTTCAAGAAAAACTTGCACAAAATCAACAGACCCCATCCACCAAAATTACAGAACCGCGCAAGAATCTCACAACCAGAACAAGAACGCAGGTCAATATGTCCTACTCAGGCTCCCGCTACCGCCCCTCCGGGCGCCAGGTAGCTGCACCCAATGACTCCCGGTCAAGACGTAAGCCTTTCCACCCTTTCCACCCCCATCTTCTAAATCTCTGCGAGTAATCCGCTAACCCAGCCAACTATCAAGATCCAGCGTCGTCACGCTACGACACCCCCAACAGAACCCCCCAGCCCGCCGGCGGCGGCGGCCCCAGTCACGGCGGCGATAGTTGGGCCCGCTCGTTCCCCGCAGATGAGTACCTCGGCTACAGCTCCGACGACGACGACGACGGCGGCGGCGGCTTCTACCGCCGCTCATCCGGCAGAGCCCCTTGTAGAGCCCCTGGCAGTGGCAGTAGCCGTGGCTACCAGTACGATGGCTACGACGATGGCTACGACGGTGACTCTGACCGCGGTTACAGCCAAGGCGGTGGTAGATCTCAGTCATCCCGCGCTTCCGTTGCTCCCCGAGATGATCGCCACCACGGTCACGGCGGCCCTTCTTCTTCTTCTTCTTCTTCTTCCCACCGGGACGAACAGCGCTACTACGCTCCCGGCGGCTCAAGCAGCTCTGGCCGACACCGCCCCCATGACCGTGACTATGGCCACGATTCAGGACCAAGTCCTCCTTCACGCCACCATGACGACGACATGCGCAGAGGAGACCCGAGAGCGCCGACGGAGCGTGGCATTTCAGGTCACGAGAGTCGGCGCGAGATAACCTTTCGCTATGTGAGCCCTTTTGATCTGGGTTTCGCCGGCGGATCAAGAGAGCGTGGTGGTGGTGGTGGTGGTGATGGCGGTGGCAGGAGTCACCAAGACTCCTTTGGGGAAGATTGGAACATTCCGTCGCGTTCCCGTCATGGGCGTTCGAGCGGGAGGGATGATGGATGGTTTTCTGATGGAGAGTCTGATTGGAGTGATGGATTCTGGTGAGGAGACGGGACAGATGGGCGCAATGTATGGCATGGCTAGAGGTTACCTGCCTCTAGGTAAGGAAGAAAGGGAAACTTCGGGATATAGAAATGTAGGAAGTCCGGGAGAAGTACAGAAGAAGGAATCATGGTGGGAATGGGGCACATTTTAGACAATCAAATGGAATACTGTTTGATGAGATCGATGCTTTGTGTAATCCAGTTCTTTGAAGTGGAGACGATTATCGCTTCTTATATTATCCAGGGACACTACTAATTACTATTGATTGTCCTTACCATCGACTATTTGATGGTGATATGCTGGACCGCGGTAAGCCACTTTTGCTCGTCCGTCCTGTAAAAGCAAGTTGTTAGTATCGTCAGAACCGGGTATCGACATGACACAGGAAAGGTGACTTACTTGTCAAAGTTCAACAATTTGCCCAATACCGGCACCAGCTGTGCCCGTAACCTGTTATCCTTCTGCTCCAGGAACTGCAGCAAGATGGTCTTCAGGTACATGACATCGGGCGTGGCGTTCGCAGACGCGATCGAGTTTGACCTCGCCGAGTCCACGGAGCCCCTGCTTCCACTACCTGCCAGACTGGTCATGCTTGCCAGCTTGGTCTGTACTGTCTTGAGTTCCTTCTGCACCTTGTCGTATCTGAGCCGGTAATCATCCACAGCTCTTCTGAGCTCAGCGTTTTTCTTCTCCGTTTCCCGGACAAGGAGTTCGCTAGCGTCGAGGGTACTCCTAAGGTTCGACACCGTTTGCCGCATCTCCTCGACTTCAGCATTGGATCTCTCTTCGACGCTCTCCAGCTCATCCCTGCGCTTCTTCCACTCCTTCTCCCTGTGCTCGAGTTCGTCCTTCTCGCTTGCCAAGCTCTTGACCTCTCTCTCAAGATCACGTACCTTTTGCTTGAGCTCCTCCGTCTCTCGAGACTTGCGGCGAGCCAGCGCGCTGGTCTCCTCCTCGATACGATCTCTCTCTTCCACCGCTGCCTCCATCTTGGCGCGCATGTCACGGACCTTGCTGTCCGCACGCTCATCCACGTCCTGAAGAAGACGACGCATCGTTTCGGCCTCGCGAGTGCGCTCGCTGAGCATCTTCCTCGTCTCGGCCAGTTCCTCATCCAAGCTCTCGCATTGATCCTGTGCCTCCTTCAACTGGATGCTCAACTCGGCTGTCTGGTCGCGCATGCTGCCGAGCAGGTTCTGGGCGCTAGTGTATTGGCTGCTCTTGAGTTGGACTTCCTCCCGCATCATGTCACCCTCCTTTCTAAGGCGATTGACCTCTTCCTCCAGCTCGCGGATGCGCGGGCGAAGCTTGTTAGCTTCCTCTTGCACGCGCTGCAGTTCCCGGGCGGTCTTCTCTTCACGTGCGGCAATCTCGATCTTCTCTGCCTCAGACCTGCGAAGGTCACGACCAAGAACCCGCTTCTCATCCTCGAGCTTGAGACGCGCGTTTGTCTCCTGACCAACCTTGTCGTGGAGAGCCTTGATCTCACCATCACGGTCAGCGGCGAGACGCTGGGCACGGACAAGATCAGCCTTCAAGTCTTTCTCGCGCTTCTCGAGATTGCGAAGGTCCGCATTCCGCGCCGCAAGTTCCTCGCGCACCGTCTTGAGCGTGGCAGCCTCCTGCCGAAGCGACTTGAGCTCAGGTTGAGCCTTTTGCAGAACCTCGCGCAGGTCAGTGAGATCCTTGTACCTGCTTTGGGCGAGCTGCTGGGCGGCGGCAAGGTCAGACTGGAGAGTCTGCGACTTTTGCTTGAGGTCGTCAAATTCTTGACGGAGCGATTCGTGCTCTGACTGAAGCTTGGTATTGGTTTGAGCGGCTGAAGCGGCTGCCTCCACTTCCTTTTCAAGCTCATCAATCCGGGCCTTCAGCTCCTTCTTCTCCTGCTCCAGCTCCTTCAGACGTTGCTTGGTTTCGACATGCTCGAAACCAATCTCCTTGAGACTGTCTTGCAAGTTCTCAATCTCCTCACGGAGGTCCTCTTCAGTCTTGCGTTGCTTGGCAAGACGCTCGATACGCTGATCCTTGTCAGCGAGCTCTTCTTGCAAGCGGGCAAGCTCTTCCTTTAAGCGGGCCTGCTCGGCCTGGAGCTCTGCCGTGAGCTCTGCCGTCGCAGGACCTTCAGCGGGTGACGTGGGTGGCTGATCCTCGGTGGCGGTAGGCTCTGGAGCAGTGGCTGCTGGCGTCACCGAAGCCCCACCCTTCTTCTTCTTTTTGTTGTTCTTCTTCTTGTTTAAGGATGCGGGTTGCGTAGGGGTAGACGGTGTGGGTGGTGCGGTAGTGACGGCGGCAGCAGGGGCAGTAGTGAGCGTAGGGGTGGACTTGATCTTCTTCTCCAACTCGTCAATCTTGGCCTCGTCTTCAGCCTTGGCCTTCTTGAGAGTCTCAATCTCCGAAGTCAAGCCTTCAATCTTGGCGTCTAGAGTGGATTTGGCTTCGGTAACCTTTGTAAGTTCAGACTGAAGCTCCTCGGCCTTAGACTCTGAAACAGCAAGCTTGGCAGCCTTTTCCTTTAGTCCCGCAGAGCCTTCTTCCTTCTCCTTCTGCAGTTGGGTCTCGACATCCTTGAGTTGCGACTGCGTCTTTGTCAGACGCTCCGTCAAGGATTCAATCTCAGCCTTCCTGGCCTCAAGCTGCGTCTCAATCGAAGCCTTGACTGCTGCAGCATCTCTAGCTTCACTGAGTTCGCTACTAGCCCTTTCAAGGCTCTCAGCGAGACCGGCGCTATGGTCTTTGGCCGTCACTAGCTCTTCCTTCAATGTCTTGACCTTATTCTGCAACTTTTCGACCTCGGCGGTTTTGGTCTTTAGCGCAGTCTGTAGCTCCTGGATTTCCTTGTTCTCGTCGCTCTTGACTTCGGGTGCCTCCTGCTTGTCGTCGGTCTTCTCATCCGGAGTCTTCTCGGCACTAGCCTCTGCATCCTTGGCGTCCTTCGCTGCGGCAGCTTCGGCTTGTGCAGCCTTGAGAGCAGCGATCTCCTCTCTCAGCGCAGCAGCCTCCTTATCGGCTTCCTCTGCCTTCTTCTTGTAGTTGTCCTTCTCGCCGGATACGCGCTTGAGCTCATCCATAACCATGTCGCCCTTCAGGTTCAGCTGATTTAGGTACTCGATCAATGCTTCGGGATCCTTAATCGAAGTCAAGGGGGTATTCTCTCTGAGTGCCTTTTCGAACGGTTCGATGGAAGTCGCACGGCCGTGGGCAATCCGGTAAGATCGCAGAAGCTCTGCCAAACTGGTTAGCGCATGCGTTCTGCACTGCTGCAGTATCAAAGGAGCACGGACCTGGGTATGTCTTTTCCAGCTTATCCAACTTCCTCAACCTTACCCGGATCTCTGGCGAGAGCTCAGCGGTGGTAGAAGGTGTGGTTGTCCCCGATCTTGCTGTCTGCCCTGCGGTAGACTTGTTGACGCTTGACCTGTCTCCATTCTGTAGCGGGTCCGTCCCTTCTTTGACGGGTTCGGTATTGCTGGCCGGCTTTTCAGTATCCTTGCCCTTTCCTTCCTTGTCCGTCGAGACAGGTGTGCCGATACGGGTTGGGGTGTTGCTCTCGTCTGTATCATCGATCACGAAGGCGGCCTCGAAGACGGCAGGGTCGGAAGTGGTGACGGTTCCATCGGCGGACATGTCTTGGCTTAGATTGTTCGAAGGCCGAGGTCTCCTGGACGCTTGTGCCCCGGCAGCACTCGAGGTCCGCGATAACGAGCTCGAGTTTCGTACGTGAGAACTGCCAGGAGCACCGCCTTCGAGGGCTGCTCTCGCCCTAGCCTGCTCTTCCGCAATGGTGCGGTCGATGGCACCCTTGATTCTCTGCGAAAACCACGGCATGCTTAGAACCTGTCGAGGCCATACCAGTGGTGTAGCTAGTCAAGAAGGGAGGTGATACGCGTACCTGCAACATGGTGCCTTTGTTCTATCCAAAATCACAGAGCCACGAGGCTAGGCGCAGCTGCCGTAGGAATCGCTCCGCGTCAAGCTTAAGTTGGATTACTAGGTAAGGAGGCGCGGAGGCGCGCTGACACGTTACTGGCAATCAATCTTCGCGGATGTCTGCTTCGTGGCAGGTCAAAGCGTAAGGAGGGGATATGGAAGACTTCAGGAGCTGCCAATGCACTTGTCGCATACAAGTGACGGCAGTCTAAATGGACAGTAGAGACACAGGTACCTGCGGGCAGACTGACTGTTTGGGTGTCAGATGGAATGCGCCCGAGAGCATTGGGCTGCAGCTCTGTGTGTAACAGTAGTAAAGAAGATGATAAGGGGTCAGGTATGATGATGAAGTCAGAGTTTGGGTCAGGTCGGCATGTTAGTACCTGGACTGTACCATGATGTTCCGGAACAAAGTCGTTTGGGTTCAACGAAGGACAAGAAGTCGAAATGGACTGGGTGTGTGGCCTGTGATGCCACTGTAGCGAGAAGTGTACTTTAGTGTAGCAACCCCCGGTTTAAGGCGATCGCCAAGCCGTCTCTCCCCTCCTGTCAGGGGAAGCTCAAGGCAGCGGCAGGCAAGCCGGGGGCAGTCCGTCATCGAGAGCTCGGGCCGGGCATTCAGGTGCAAAAGTCTTGGCAGCTGGGTCCGCTTCATTCTAAATGGCTTGGCAGCCCAGATGCCTTGACTGGGGCCCCCTGCTGCGGACGGTGCCTGTTAAGAAGATCGGAACAACGGGGGTTTTGCTTTTCTGGAATCCCCAAAATAGCTGGGGGGATTAACCGGAGATCAGGCCAAGTTGCAATGACTTGCATTTATCGAGCCTCACATTGGATATGATGAGATGGTGTTGTTGTTCGACTATAACACTGGCTGTCGAATTGGCTACCGTTATCCACAGATGGCCATCCTTTATTCCTCAACGAAGAGTCGGAACGAAGGCTGTTGGAGGCTGCCTGTTTGTAAACAAAGAAGAAGACATCGCACGTGCCACGTCTCCAACGGTCCATCAGTTTGGGGATGGGGGTCAGGCACTGGGTGCCGAGTGAACCTGATGACCGATCAGGATCCCACAATGATAAACCAAAGACAGCAAGAGAACGTCTGCTTAAATTCTTCGCCCAAAAGCCCAACACGAACCACATGGCTTGAGTTTCATGATGAGTTGTGCCCAAAGTCAGGGCTGCCGAGTACCGAACGTTTCAAGAGGTCGCATTGTGCACTCCACTAACACAATACGACAGCCCAAGCAGTGATCGCTACGTATCTAGGTAGCCAGCACTAACGTTGTAAGCGTGTCCGTAGCAGACGTCACCGTGCACGCGACCCTTCCTCCACCCTGCCTAGGCCCTACGTAGCTCTGGCCATCTCCAGCTGTCCATGGCGGGACAGTGTCAACGTCTCCGTTGTCCACGATCCACGATTGTCCATAACAACCATCTTGATGACGGTGGCTCTGGGACGCTGCTACGAACAGGCCACCGAGGCCATATCCAAACCATATCTTCCATTCTCAACCTTCTTTTTCTCCTATTGACTTTCACCATCTTTTGCCCTTCGCCATCCCTGGCCAATCTTCATTCGGGGAGCTACCCGTAATTAACTGCAGCGAGCTATTCCTCCATCAAACAACCCTACTGGGTAGCGATCCTCTCTGCGACAGATCCGAACCCGTCTTTATCTTGACCACACCTCGTCCCCCTTCCTGGAAACACACGACATCCCCGCGAAAACAGACGGCGACCTGATTAGTCCGCCGAAGCATCATACCTCAGCAAGCAATCAACATGGTTTCCCTATGGCCATGGAAGGTATGCCGCCCGACTTACCCAGCCTGCAAGAGGGGTAAAGGTTCATGCCCAGGGCCAGCTGACACCAAGGTCAATAGAAGGAGGACTCCTCTCCAGCTTCGTTCGAAAAGGCACTTTCGGCCCTCTCAGGAAGGATCACCGTCACGCAGACCAGACTCGAGAATGTCCGATCGACCGCGCGACGAGTAAAGGGCCTTGCGACCCTTTATCTCGGTTTCGCCTACCTCGTCTACGCCATCGTTGCGCTTCTCGTCATCGGCTGGAAAAACATGGGTCCCCAGGAATGGACAGGAATGGCCGGCGGCCCGGTGATCATTTACCTCGTTCGCACTCTATCGACCATGTTCTTCGACTACCGGATCAACGGCCTCAATGCGAAACTTGAGTTCCTCCAGACCGAGCGAGCCAAGACCATTCAGAAACTTAAGGACGCGACCCGGTACGACTCCACCCTCGAACTGCTCGAAAAGTACGGCGGACCGGAGAACAAGATCAGGAGGCGTGCCAGTAAGAAGGGTGGCGACGATGACAACGACGAAGATGGCGCCCAAAGGTCCAAGAAATCTCAGGGCAGACACGCAAACCGCATCCACATCGCGCCGCCTCCCACTGCCAACATCCAGCGCCCCGGCGCCGTCGGTCCCAACATGCCGCAACCTGGTGCTCCTCCCCGTGGCCAGCAATTAGCTCCCTCGCCTATGCCTCCTCACGGCCCGGAGCCGTCCGCCGAGTTCGCCCCGAACGCTTTTGAAACCAACCCTCGCGCGTCCCCCGCTCCACCGCACGCCCAATACCCACTCGCCGCGGCCGCCATGGCGGCGCCCACGGAATCACACTGGTACGACCGCATTCTCGACACGCTCATCGGCGAGGACGAGACCGCGGCCAAGAACAGGATTGTCCTCATCTGCAAGAAGTGCCGGCTGGTCAACGGACAGGCCCCTCCGGGGACGAAGAGCCTGTCTGAGATTGGCAAGTGGAAGTGCATGTCCTGCGGGGCTGCCAATGGCGAGATGGACGAGGGAAAGAGGATCGTGAGGGAAGTCATTGGTGGAGGTAGAAGTGAAGAATCTCTTGTTCACTCTCAGTCCGGTGACGATGCGACTAGCTTGGGCAGTTTCGGGGAGGAGTTTGCTGATGAGGAGTTGGTGGATCGTAGCGAGGCTGCGGAGAGCGACAAGGTGCAGGAGCGTCCGGAAAAGAGGCTCAAGATGGACGGCAGCAAGTGAAGGGTTACCTATCGTGTAGGAGGATTGCGCGCTGCACACTTTTTTTCATGTGTCATTTTGGTTTCCGTTCATCCATCGCTGGGCGGTATGATTGGGTTGTAAGCTGTTTTTTAAGCAGGTGTTGCGATTCGTTCCGTAAAAGCATCTGGGGCTGGAGTCTAACGGAGAATCGAAACTGCTTTACAATTGGCATGGGTTTGGGGCTTGCCTTTCTGCCCTTTCTCGTTCATGAACTCTATTCTTGGGACCATAGTAACATTGGTGCCTTTGAATGTCCGAAGCTTAAGTGACGCCTTTGCCTTTGTCTGCACAATATCTACAAGTTTCATACCGCGAATAGAATGGAAGCTACTCGCTACCTAGATGGTGAACAGTTCTGACGCGAGACTCGTCACATATGAATTGGTGTGACCAGAGATCTTTTGGTTATAATGAGTTTTCTTTGATATGCAGCCACATCCAGCCTGTGCTTTGCACACTTGTTGTCACTGGAGAATTTCATGAGGATTCTGGTTGTTAACTCGTCTATCCCAGGCCATTCCTTAAATTAGATTGTTTCCATAGGTATGGAGTCAAAAGATACTCGCCTGTCACTTGAGATTTAGAAAACACGAGGAGGGTTGGTTTTCACAAAGCCTAATTACTTACCTATTTAAAAGTCCACACTCTCGCAAGCCACTTGTTGATGATCCAGCACATTGATCTTCTTAATTAACACGAGTCTCGTCGGCAAAGTGAGGCGACACTTTTTCTCAACCTAACCTCTTTTCGACCCCTCTTCAACCTCTCTTCAACTTCATACCAAGTCTCTCACCCACCATCTCATCTCCATGCAGAAAGCCCACGTCAACAACCCATACCGCAGCCATGACACCCTTTCCCCAAGACATCACAAACCCTTACTCACTCTCTACCTTCACCCTCCCCTTACGTCCCCGCCCCAGTGGGGGTAGTCCCAGTAGTGGTGGCTGTAGTGGTGGTGAACATTATCACACTATCATCCAAGAATTCTCCCGGCTTACAATCGGCGAGTACCAAACTCCACAAGGAGACCGCCATGTGGAAACCCGCCATCAAGAGCAGCAAGTTGTCCAAACTACCACAACTACCACAACGACCACATCGAGAACGACAGCCACGGGACCCAGACACGGGAACATGGACGGGGACAGGGACATACTTCTTAACCCTGTTTCTTCTTCTGCCGTCATGGGCCCGCGATCCCCTATTCACAACTGCAGTGCCAGTTCCTGTTCGGACTTTTCTACTGTGGCGTCCAAGACGACGGCGAGGGCGAGGACGAGCCGTCATTCGCAGCCTGCCTCATCGAGTGGTATATCAGAGGTACCCTCTCAGTCTTGGTGGACTGGAGGAGGACCTTCTCCGAATCTGAAGAAATATTTGAGAACAAGAAGGGGCGCGATTTCGGGACCTAGTTGCCCTGGTCCCGCTCCCGGTCCTAGTCCTTTGAGTTTGGCTTTGAGTTCGGCAAGTCCGGCCCCGGGTTCAAGATCATCGTGGCGTTCGAGTAGTTCTAGACCTAGTCGTTCCAGAGCGTATGGTGGGGAGCGGTTGTTGTTACCTGCGCCTTCAATGAGTTCGGGTTCTTTTACTTCCGGTCCCGAATCTGGTCTCGGTTCTGAGATGAGTAGTGGTGTTACCGGTAGCAGAGCTGGTGGCAGAACTAGTAGCACTACTGGAGCTACTGCTAACCGGTTGAGCCAAGCTCGACTTTTCCCTTTCTCTTCCAGGGGCTGGCCAGACCACAACCGTAATGGCTCCCAAATCATCACTGATCCCGCTGCATTACCCGACTCATCATCAGCTGTCTCCAATGAAAGCAGTAGCAGTATAAACACCGTGCATATGTTGGACTTGCACACCTCGCCGCCGCCGCCGCCGCCGTCGGCATCCTTACGAATCAGTGCTAGTAGGCTATCGCATAACCCTCGAATCAGGACCGGAGAGATCACGCCGGAGGATTCTATCTCCCAGATTGGATCATATGCCTCTGCCTCCGCCTTACCCTCAACAGTACGGAGAAATGGAGGACAACAATCGTCGCTAAGCCTTCCGATCCGGAGCTTACCTCTACGGGATGTCCGGCACGTTTCTGCTTCTGAGGTTGAATTATCGCCGCGTATCCGTCTAGAAGAAGAGGACCGCTGGATTTTACCATCGAGTACACCTGGGAGGTTTGGGCCTCCGCCGCTTTCTGCATTTGGATCTGGGTCGTCGAGGGATTCCTCCCCGAGGGATTATCGCCAAGTCATTGTAGGAAATAGCAAGTGTCCGTCTACCACCTAAGTAGTGGGTGCATGATCCCTGGCGGGAAGTGATGTAAGTTGTGCATAGTCGGGGAAAGGGTTGAAGGCATTTTAGGGATCAACGATCACATAGCTTGTAGCTGTCAACTGGGTCGGGTTCGAGACTCTTGCAGCTGTGCCGTAATGTTTTTTGACCTTGGTAAGACGACAATAATTGAAGATAGTACTTGGCAATCATGCAAATTCGTGAGTAGGGAACTCTCCGCGGATGTGGTCAGGTGAATAAGCGGAGGACAGGCATTCTTTCGTGAGCTGAGGCTTATCGTCACATCCATGGTTGATGGTGAGAGTAGAAACGTTGGCTGACGTTGGCAAATGTTGCGCTGGGTATTATCAAGCACTAACGTAGATAGCGGTTTGTGCCACACTATTTGAGTTAAGATCCGATATACCCTGTTTGGATAGATGCAGCTGCATGAAGCCCCCCCACACTAAACTCTTTTCCAAACATGATGCGACTGTGCGAGACGCCGAGAGGTTATCATCACGTTGGTTGATGAGCCTCCTCTCTTGGACGGAACGAGTTAGCCAAGGTGGTAAGAGGGGTTCCTGAAAGCGGGGAGTGATGATGCCGCATGACCTTTGGGTCATTCCCTTTGATTCTTCACTGTTAACAAGTCTCGAGAATCGCGGCAATTGCCCCCCTCGCTCGATTTGTCGGATCATGACCCCAATCCAACCGGTTCGACAATGTTCGGGGCCGCAAAGGAATCGCTGCTCTGCTCTGGACGCTTGATCAACATCATCGACCCTGGATCAGCACATGCACTGTACCGCGACTCCGCATGCCATGTTGATTCCTTTGCAGTTCTGCTTTTTTACACAGACTGGCCCTATCTTTGCAAAGGTTATCTTTGGGCTTCAGAGAGAACGAAGAAGAAAAGGACCCGATCCGATCCACGTAGAAACAGGTCCCACGCACGGCACCTCCGAACAGGTACTTGCAGTTGAGAAGGAGGGAGGGGGCTTTGTTTACATTGGACATGGGTTTTAGGAGGGGGCACAGAGGGGTCGATCTGGCTCGCTTCATTGCATGTTGGAGCTGGAAAGCGGGAGTAGCTGACCTGTCGCAAGCTGCCGCTCTGTCATTACCTGAAACCCGAAACTTTGACCACTTTGTGAGGGCCTCACTGGGCCTGTATCGTTTCACCACGTCAGCCAGTTCCACGGTTCTGCAAAACCTCCCATCCCGATTCCTTCCCAACTGCGACTTGAACGGTACCGCAGTACTTCGTTGTTACCTAAGCTTGCATGGCGAAGGAAAACGCGAATCAGAAGCGTCCCCTCCATTCCTTCCAACCAACATGGAGCAGGTCCCCGTCCTGAATGGCACCTGCCATCTGCATTCCCAATTCGATATCATCACAAGGAAGGAGCAGCAGTGGACGGTACCCAAAGCTGGAAGCTACCCCTGCCTCTCCTTGCCTTCCATGTTTTGCCTCAAGCTCCCCAAGCTTCCTCCCTCTTTCTTTCTCAAGTGCCTTCATCCAAATTGTCCTCCTTAGTTCTCGTCACCATCGGCACTCACTCATGCAACACAACCTCGCTACTTCTTGCCTGAGGCTCCTTCTCTTCCTCCAACACTCTATTCAAGTTGTAAGGCTTCCTTGCTAGTCTACCTCCAGTCTCCAGCGGTGTTGCTGTTTTCATTGTCGTACAACTACCCATCGATCCATATCCCTCGTTTCTGCTCCTCCCATTCTTCGCTAGACTATCTTCACTTTGAGCCGTCAGCTACTTGGCGCCATGATGTCCACAGCTGTCTGACTGATTGCCATTCAGGCGTCGACAGCACTGACGACTTAACATCCTCTCGAAATCTTCGTTACCTCGGGTATGTCTACCACAGCTCTGGCTTTCATATATATATATCCCGAACATTCAGCTCACTCGTCATTAGTAGCCCTAACCACACAGGAAGGTCAACATGGACAGATACGCAGAGACCACCGTCACTACCGAGTACGACTCTGTGGATAGCGATGTCAGCTATCCCACCAATGACCTTGAGTACCATGCGCATGATTGTCATGGTAGCCATAGGAGGCGTCCCGAGGTAGCGAGAAGTGGAAGAAAGGCTTTCAAGGAGCCAAGTCCCCACAGAAGGAGGTCACCAAGGAGTAAGCTTCGTGGCAGAATGCACTGTGGCTGCGGTGCTGAAGCCGTGGTGGAACTGTCTGTCGACGACACTCTGGATTCTGAAAACGATTACGGCATGAGGTTTAACCACGAGGACAGACACTCACGCTCTTATGCATGTCATCACACGCAGCAGGCCTCCATGGCCACGGAAAGGCCAAGAAGATCAAGATCAAGAGAGGTGGAACCCCAAGTCAACAAAAAGGGTAGAGCCCCCAAGCGGACGGTGGATCCATACATCGAAGAGTACCCGGATGAGCCAAACCAACCAGTGACACCTGCACGGGATTACAAGGCCCGCGATCGACGGTTCTCGACAACTGACTCCAAGAGGTCTTCTCGCGACATGGAAAAGCCATCATCAACAATTTCTGCTCGTTCACGGGCTAGAACCGTCACCGACTCAAAGAGGTTGTCACGAGAGATGGAAGAACCTGTGGTACCTGTTTCAACTAGTCATCATCGTGGCCCTTCAATCTCCGAAATAAGAAGACTTACCCGGGATATGGAAGGACGCCCGCGTTCCAATTCGAGGCATCCTCAGCGCGGGACCTCAAGATCGGACGCTAAGAGAATATCACGAGAACTGGAGGACCGTGGCGGCTCAACCGTGTCTAGTCGCTCCCGAGGCGGCTCTCTAATCTCTGATACAACGAGGTTCTCTCGAGATATCGAAGATCGTGTGTCATCTGTCTCGAGTCGTTACCAAACAGGTACCCCCGTTACCGAGAAGCGCCGACCAGAAGGCGGTTCATCCGTGTCGTCCAGACGTTCGAGACAAAGTGCGATGTCAACTGCCATGCCTCAGGATCATCCGAGAAGGTATTCTGAGCTTGCTGAGCCACGCCGCTTCGTTGGTAAGCCGGAATAGTTGATCAAGTCGGTGTCTGTTTTTGACATGGCTAACCGACTTATGAATGTAGATCATCTTTCGGATTCTGAGCAGGAAAGCACAATGTCGAAGCGTACTGAATCCACCATAGGCCGCTCGCGATACGAATCGTCAGCGAGAGATGTACCCAAAAGTATGGCTCGAAGGGGCTCAACGAGAGCTGGGCAGCGACCTTCACTCCAATACTCGTCAACCTGGCCCATGCGGGCACCAGCACTTCACCCAGATGGCGACCAGTCCTCTCGTGGACATAACTACGACAGCACCGAAGATAGCGACTATGACTTCATCAACGACCCACGATTTGATCCTGTCACCCACCGGATCATTCGGCCAAGCCCTCCACGTGCGCCTTCACCACCTCGCGCCCCTACCCCTCCTAATATTAGCTCTGACGTCGAGCCCGAGGTTGATGAGTACCCAAGATCACGGCCATCTCGGGAGCCCAAGGAGTCCAGAGGCCCGAGGTTGAAGACAGTCCTCAGCAAGGCCAGCCTCAACGCCTTGAACAATGAAGCTCGAACGTCCACTGCTACTGATCTCTGTGAAGTATGGAGAGCTCATCCGGAGGACTGGGAGTCCCCTTATTCTTCCCTCCATCTTGGAAGTGCGGGTGATGTGAGACCAGAATCTAACAACGAGCCGATGATGATGTTGGAACTCGAAAATGTTGAAGGTGAAAAGCCTGGTATGGCGCTTGAGCTTGCTTCCAAATTTCTTCTAGCGAAAGAGGCTGAAACTGCCGCACGCGAGCCCGACTTTTCGCGTGGCTCATCTCCCGTGTACGGCAGCCAAGATCCGCGGTCCATGGCAGATACTATCAAGGCAGATCTGATGGCATTGAATCTGTCTCCTACTACGCCTACGCATTCTGGTCCACCTTCCAGACCGCCCTCGAGGTGGAGCACCACAGGTGCTTATGAGTTCCCGTTGACTCCGCCTTCGAGAAGCATGTCACCATTGTTCCACACTTGGAGGAACAGGGATCGGTTGCCTTCCAAGCTCGACGAGAATGTGACATCTGATTATGAGAGTTGGGGTAGCAGTAGGGAGCCGAGGAGTATGTTGGCTGCTGATTATCAAAGCAGTGTAGTCAGTGGGTGGTAGAAGGTTTTGACGCATATATCGGCGCGTCGGCGAGACTGCGATCGGATCATGAGTGAGCGTTTCCTAGGAGTTTCACCTGCATTTGGATATCTATTCCTGGTCCAATTTGAAATGTCAAACAGTCGTTGATGGACGTTCGGTTGCAAGGGCACCGTACGTTACCTACTCTGCATTTCTATTTTACGTCTGTTACTCATCGATGAGACTGAATGTTATTGGTTTTTCATCACCCAGTATGCTGTTAAGTTTTCGATTGAGCGTGTTTACAGGGAAAGTATTTGCGAGATGATATTATATAACGACGTTCCCTCTTTCTGTTATCTCTTCTTTTCGTTTTTTTCCCCCCTACTCACCCCCTCTCTTTTCCTTTGGTCTGTCGAGTTCTTTGGCTTGCTCTTTACGAATTGCCGTGGCCTCTGTGACATGTATTTTGTTCAGGGACTGGATGTCTGCAACGGTTCTACGGGGAAAGGTCGGATTGGTAGTGAATCATCGCTCCATCGTCGTTCAGTTGCTCTGACACAACTCGCATGCGACATCTTGCTTCACAATGCCGATCCCATAATCAGACAGCGCTGTTACTCGTCTGGGCTAGAAACGCCTCCGGGACCCCAAGCAAAGCACGGGGTCAGACTGGGCGTTTCTAGCCCTGACGAGTAGTGGGCGAACATAAGAAAGCTCCTGTTCGTCAAAACGTACTCCCGAATAGCGCGATTACGAGACCAGGACAACCGCTCAACCAGCACCTTCTCTGAATCCGAACTTCGGCCGTGATTCGACGTCGAAGTGCCCAAGATGCACCAAAACAGTTTGTCTGGAGATAGGGTATAATGGCCGGAAGAGCCCGATTTCTTTTGTTGGGTCCGGCGCGCTCTCGACGTCCCTTGAAAATCCGCAGGAGGGAATGATTCTCACGCCAGGTCGTACTCATAACCGCAGCAGGTCTCCAGGGTGAACAGCCTTTGGTTCATAAAATAATGTAGATAAGGTGTTGGAAGGCCGTGCCCTGGGCCGCCTTCACTGGCCTTGCCCATTCACTGGCACACCCTTCCGGGTATATCTAGGCTGCCTGGCTTCCGTTTCCCTCTTCCACCTAGACAACTCCAATCCATCCATCTTTTCGTTGTCGCCTCCTTTCCCTCCGATATAAGGGAAGTCGGCAAAACAGATCCGTAATTTTGGGAAAAGGATTGGCTCTAAGTCACATCGACTACAGCACGAAAGATTTTGGCCGAGGCTACTAAGGAATGTAGTGTAGACAACAGAATTTACAAGCTAGATAGATTTTATGATAATCTAATTGATTTGGATTTCGTTCCGCAGCAACACCAATAAGACGGCGACGCGAATGGAAATATTCCGCCTTGAAGCAACGAAACTCCCGCAGTGCTGAGGACGATAGTCACCTACCTTTCCGATGAATGAATAGTACTGTAAGGGGTTTCAGGGGTTTGTTAATGTTTCCGTCTGACCTGGACTTGAGACGTCATCGCTTGCATCCCAAGCAACGCCAACGAGGTTGGCGGGATCTATCTTTGGGTGGGTACAAGGGGAAGACGTTGTACACTAATTACCAGCGGCAGGCAACGGTAAGACCTAACAGCGCAACGGCACGGGCGCACACGCCGCACACAACTTAAGCCTCGGACTCGCCCATCCGATATCCCCTTGTTCCTTCTTAGGTTGCTTATCATGGAAAACCGGCAATGAGTTGGGATGAATTTTGACTTTCCGAGATCCGAGGGACTGTCAAATATGTATGTCAATGGGTCGAAGCCCGTCTGTGATGTCATTTTGGGTTTGAGCAACCGGGTGTCTCTTGGTATTTCACCAAGCAACAACGGTTTAGAACGCATCTAGTGTAGAAGCCAAACTCTAAAGCAGTGAAAGACTAAAGAGGGTCGCCAAGTTCGAAACGAATTTGGCCATATCACCAGCTTGCCAGGTTCAGCTTGTGTCGTCGCATTGTCTGTTTGTTTTACCCTGTTGACTTTGCGCCCTTTTCCATTTTCCCCCATATCGGAGAATCCTAGATCCTGTTGAGTCTGGTTGACCTTTCTCAGACGGGTTGTCAGCTTTTGCTGCGCACTGCGGTTACGCGGTAGGCTTTTTACAGGCTTTTCACGAAGCCGTCGGTTTTTTTTTTTTTTTTTTTTTTTTCATTCCCATGCGGCCTTTTCCCTCTTTTCCTAGACCGACCGACCACTTTTCCGCCTCCGCTCTTATCTACTATGTAGGCCAGCAGGACCTCCCAGCACTCGGAAGCCAATGCCGGGGCCGGGTCGTCACACACTCGCCGCCAGCCCAAAAAGAACTCATTTAAACTCGACTGGCTCCATCCACTCCTGTAAAGTTTAGTGGGCGTACAAAACAGAGGTAGTCCCATGATTCTCATTCAGCTGCCTAGCGCCACCGACTTATTCCTTCCAGCACAACATTTCAGAAAAGCCCGGGCTCCGAAGTGCCCACCGTAGAACCGCAACGGTCGTAACCGACCTGAAGGCGCCGAAAGAAAAACGAAACCCAGCCGTAAAGATGCCCATCGGGTACAGTACTTAAGGAATTGGGATCTGAAGAAGAAAAAAAAAAGACCGGGCTAGGCTTCGAACCTTTGGCACAAGCCACAAGCATGTTCCTGGATACTCTATCCATGTCACTGTTCGTGTTCAAAAACTCGAGTGAACTCCAGACTCCGGCCGACGGTAGGCGGAAAGCGGAGATCGCACTCTGACCAGATACTGACTCAGTGACTCTTCATTTTTGGCAGTGGTATGAACTTTACCGCCCAAAAGGTAATTCGTAGTGGAGAGGACGAGAGGGTGTTCATCTCCCCAACGGGCATATGTATTGTGTCTGAAGACTGTGGACAACACCCAGACGAGCCAGAGCATAGAAATGTAAAGTACAGGTACACATGCGACACAGAAGTTTGGGACGGGAGCAAGGAAGAGAAAGGGCTGAACGGTTCCCTTTGCGAAACGCACTGCACCGCATCTCAGTACCTACGTACATGTACCTTGCTGTACGTGTTATGCAGCAGTGCTGTGGAATAGCACCGTCGCACTCCGGTTTCCAGTGTTTGAAGAACCGCGCTGATGGATGGAAATCTCATCCAGCTCGGCACTAGTACTCTCCCCCTCTCTTCCTCAGCGAGGCTTGATACAAGATAGAATCGGAACAGGCCGTAGACCGCCAGCAAAACCTCAGTATCGGGAATCTCCTCTGGCCGGCCGGCGAATATGAGATATACGATAAACCTCCCGCTGCCAGTGAACCGTGTTTTGAGATATGAAAATGGTTCCTGATAGGCTGACATGATGCTGCAGGCTACGTCAATTAGAGATCGACCTCTCGTCGTCGCCTGGGGCCGTGCTGAGGAAGGCCGGCATTCGCCTCATTGCGACACGCTGTGGCCGCTGTCTCCAACCAACTTTATCAGTTCGATCACGGAGTGCTTCTTTCGCTTATCGATCCCGTCTTGGTGTTTTGGTGGGTTCGTCCCGTTGATTCTTCCTTCAGCAAACCGGCAAGGGCCGCCGTTGAAAGCCACCTTCAGAAGCTGATGCTCGGTTTTACTGTATGTAACCCCCACGGGCCAAACACGCACTAGCAATCCTGCCACGAGGTGTGGTATCTTTGGACGCTTTGGTCTGATAGTGGTCACCCAGCTGTGTGATGGAAGACTGCACCGGATTCAATTCCCCTCTGAATTGAATTCTGCACCAGACGTTCGTCAGGGCCTTATTTCCCGCGGAGGGAGTTGTTTAACGTGCCAATTGGGAAAGCTGTCGTTGCCAGATCCAGACCACAGAACCGTGCGTGACATGTCGTCGAATTCCATCCCACATGGCGTCTGCATGCAGGCTTGCATAGTTGCATCACCACTTCAGCCATGTCAGCCTTGGCAAAAGATAGGCGGCCCCTCTTCTCTCCTTCGAACCCTGAAAGGGCCGGACGGACGACGACCGCTGGCTGCCCACTGGTAGTGTTTCATAACCCACGGAGTGACGATCTCAAGTCAGGAAAACGTGCGATGGACCGAAATGTTATGATCGTCCAGAGCTAAAATAGAGTAAGCCTCACCATGTAGCGCTGCTTGTTGGAGTGGAAGCTTTCGGGAGCTTTCACCAATGCAGGCTGTTCTTCCTATCTCGAGCGAAATCTCATATCGGAGTCGGTCGTTGCGAGAACCTAATCCCTGCTAGTCGCCGGTTACATGACCTATCGTGGGGATTCCAGGGTCCCCTAGTGCGCTCTTACATGATATCAAAAGTCAGCTCAATACAATTAGCGCATAAAACAGATTTGGTGTGTACTAGTACATAGCAGATCGAGGCATATCAAAACCGCAATTTCCAGCCGGAGAAGGTTGAAGTTGTTGAGATGCAGTAAGCAGCCAAACCCTACGTTCAGTCAAGGCTCCCCTCACACGAGCCGAGCTCTTGACTTCCTGCCCTACCTCGAGACGGCAGTGTACATAGTAGCGAGTGAGTGCTTCAGAAGAAGGCGTGGCGTGGGAGATCTGTGATGCAAAAGACCGGAAAACTGAAGAAACCAATGTAACACTCTGCCGAGGGTCAAATAGATTAGCGTGATACTTTTTGCTTACATACATAGTAGTGTAGATACACACGGTACAGAAAACCAGGGTTTCTCGCCCAGTTAAGTGCCATTTCTTCTGTAGACCTTTGACTCTCGCCACCGAGCTGACGAACAGCGCCTTCATAAGATTCTTGTTTTCCAATCCCACTGCAGCAGAGGGTAAGCAAGATGTGCCTTCCTCGAGTATGTTCCAAATAGAAACCGGCCGCTACGCCGACCCCCTGGCGGCGACCCAGGGACTTGAAGAGAAGTCTAAGAAGGCACTGGACGGGTTTAAGAGGCGACTTTTGTGGCCCGTCTTGTCCCCGTCGAGCCGTCTTGCCCTCGCTGCGTGACAATATGGTAGCCAGAACGACAAGGTCATTCCTGTCATCCTGTCTTATGAGCCTGCAAGGTCCGACAGATTCGGGCCAATGCCGTCCATGCAATTCCACTTCTCGAACATCGCCGGTTCCCACATCGCCAAGGATCACAACCCACCATCTCCACGCGAAGCTGGGCCCGGGTGGCCAGCCATCCCATCTCTTCCCTTCTTGGGACGACTTGTCCGCCGCCGGTCGGGAGATAAGAAATTTTTTATCGGTTTTTTTAGCCGTTCCTTTGGGATTTTCGGCTTCCCACACGCGCGGACTGGTCCCCGGTCGGGCTAGCATGCGCCTAGGGTTCCCCATCTGGTAACGTACACTAGACCTAGGTATGTACCTCACAATCTTTGCTCTTCTGATTTATAAAGATGGGCCGCCTACCTCTAGGCCTCGGTCGACTCTTAAGGATTTCTCCTTCCTTCACCAATGCTCTTGCGTTCCTCGCTAGGGTTTGGTGAAAGCTTCGGCAACCGCTCAATGCAAACGTGCCTTGCGCGCCGTTAATAACAACACCGAACAAACCTTTTACGTCGACCGTCCTCCACCCAACAACGATCTTCAGTCAGTTAAGGGATCCGACCAAGATAATCCCCTCCCCGCCAACTCGATCACTCATTGGTCCAAGCTACAAACACTCACGAATCGTCCGTGCTCTTTCGGCTGATCGTCTCCCATTGTCTCGTCGACATTCAGCATCACCCGATTTTCGAGATTTCGCAGCTCGTTGTACCGCCTTGCAAAGATGGGGAAAGTGGGTGATTGGGTTGACACTGTCAACCGCAAGGTTGCCGCCAGCAAGGTTGGATATTGGTTCAAGCTGGATGGCTCTGGACATGTGAGCGCCGTTTTTGGGAAATGAGTGGCCGACTGCCTCTTTGCTAAAACGTCGCCAACAGCCCAAAGAAAGGAAGGGGTCCTACTTCTTCACCGAGATGCGTGCTGGTCTCGCGACCTTCTTCGCCATGTCGTATGTTTGAACCACCACCTCACACACGATATATATATACATATATATATATGTATATGTATATATATACCGGTCGATCTGGGTGCGGTTGTTAACGCTTGTGGCAGGTACATCATTGCCGTCAATTCAAGCGTCGTTTCTGACACTGGAGGAACTTGCGTATGCACGGCAGATCCTCAGGTGGATAGGTGGTGTATCAATGACCCGACCTATGCTATCTGCAAGGCCGAGGTCAAGAGAGATCTCATCACTGCCACCGCCGCCATTGCTGCTTTCGCTACTTTCTTTATGGGTCTCCTCGCCAACTTGTAAGTTCATGATTCTTTTGATCAGTTTCCGTCCTGGCTTGCTGACAATTAAACAGGCCTATCGGCCTTGCGCCTGGCATGGGTTTGAACGCCTACTTTGCCTACACCGTCGTCGGATTTCACGGCCAGGGTCTTGTCCCCTACCAGGTTGCCGTTACTGCCATCTTCGTCGAAGGCTGGGTATTCTTCGGCCTTGCGCTGCTTGGTATGCGTCAGTGGCTAGCTCGGGTTATTCCCCGGTCCATCAAGCTGGCGACCAGCGTCGGTATCGGTTTTTTCCTGACCCTTATTGGTATGACCTACTCTGAGGGTATTGGTCTCGTGGTTGGCGATACCTCGGTGCCCCTCGACCTTGCTGGTTGCCATCCCTCCTCTCGCGACAGTGTCACAGGTGCCTGCCCTGACAGTGACAAGATGCGCAACCCTACCATGTGGATCGGCATCTTCTGCGGCGGTGTTCTCACAACCGTGCTCATGATGTACCGCGTCAAGGGTGCGATCATTGCCGGTATCATTCTCATTTCCATTATCTCGTGGCCCCGCACCACCGAGGTCACCTATTTCCCCTACACCGCTGTTGGCGACGATGCTTTCGATTTCTTCAAAAAGGTTGTCGACTTCCATCAGATCAAGCACGTCCTCAACGTTCAGCAATGGGACATTTCGGGACACGGCGGACAGTTCGGTTTGGCACTCATCACCTTCCTCTACGTCGACATTCTCGATACCACCGGTACCATGTATGCCATGGCTCGCTATGCCAGCCTTGTTGACGAGGAGACTGGTGACTTTGAGGGTTCCACCATTGCGTATGTTCTAACTGTCTTCTCTGTGTTCTGTTCGTCGATTGCTAACATTGTTTGTGTCTGTAGTTACATGGTCGACTCCGTTAGTATCGCCATTGGTGCTATTCTGGGTACTCCCCCCGTCACTGCCTTCGTCGAGTCCGGTGCCGGTATCGGTGAGGGTGGCAAGACAGGCCTCACAGCCATGGCGACTGGCGTGTGCTTCTTCATCGCCATCTTCTTCGCCCCCATCTTCGCTTCGATTCCCCCGTGGGCCACCGGCTGCGTCCTTATCTTGGTCGGCTCTATGATGGTCCGCGCTGTGACGGATATCAACTGGAAGTACATGGGCGACGCCATTCCAGCCTTTGTTTGCATTGCCCTGATGGCCTTCACCTACTCCATCGCTAACGGCCTGATTGGCGGTATCTGCTTGTACATGCTCTTGAACGTTCTCGTCTGGATCATTGAGAAGGTTTCCGGTGGTCGCATTGTGCCCCAGAACAAGGAATTTAAGGACCCATGGGTGCCCGACTTTGGCAGCATTATCCCCATGTGGATGGTCAACGTTGCCAAGGGCAGGGCTCCCTGGAAGATGGATGAGCCGGTCAGATCGATCGAAGGAACTACTGGGCCAGAGCCGGTGCTGGTTGGAGAGAAGGGCGAGAAGGGTGACAGCTCCGCCGGATCGAGGCTAGATTCCGCGACTGAGGTCCCAGCTGAGCTTGTCAACGAAAAGGGCGCCCATCATTGATGATGAATAACATTGATGATGAATAACATGAAAACATGAATGATTTGGATCTAAAAATATGGCATACATTCAGGATACGAAGGGTCGTGATGAGGGCGGGCGTTTGTAATAGTTCATAGACAAGGGGTTGTAAGATAATGGCTGGCGGAAAATGATGCACCATGACCGTATGGTTGAAGATACCAGAAGATACCTAATAAACAATTCAATAAGCATCTGGGTCTCGAGTTCCTTGCAGTGCTTCAATGGGATTGATTACATCTGCCAGAACCCCCCTTCCATTAGACGAAAACACCAGTTTCGCCAGCTAGTTCGCTGCCGTCTGCGTTTGGGAATCCTGCCGCCTGGCATCTGGCTCCGAAGTTCAGTGCTGGACTTTTGCGCTGACGTGGATATTCATTTGATTTCGTTGTTGAAGGTAGTCCAGACTTCAGTACCCTCCCTTGTGGTTTTCTCAACGGGTATGAATCCTCCCCCGGAATCTGTAGAGAACTTTGTCCCACTTGCGGAGCCACAGTGTTTTATCACGCTGAGAAGGCGAAGAATGTGATTGATGTCAGTTTGTTGATCTATTTGGTGATGAATTGGAATAGGGAGCCATGGTGGATCATTGGTTGAAGTGGGGGACGAGGAGAGTGTCATATGCTGAAGGGGTTAAGGGGGGAGTTCATATCCTTGTGTGTCCATCTGATCTGTCTAGGCTTTCCTTTCTTCGTGGCTTCAGTTGCCACCCCGTATAAGACAGAACCTCTACCTCTCCATCCATAGAGGTATGTAGCTCGGCTTCTTCCTCGTTCTCTTTCAATTTCAATATCTTGTGACGTTCGTCAAATCTTTGGTGCGCCAGCCCTCTGTGTAGATGAGCTGTGACAGGAGGAAGGTGAGTTGATGAAAACATGGTTGGTCAGGAAGTGCAGTACATGATTTGATTAAACACTACTTACTATGCTATGTGCTTTGCAAACGTCAGCGCGTAGTCCCGTTTCCCTTACAGCTCGTTTCCCTCATAAACACCTATTTTAGTTTACAAGTTCATACAGATAATATCTCGATCACTCATGCTTCGGCGAACCTCCCTCAATTTCTCATGTTGGCAGTTAATACCCCCTTGTATTCGCTTTCAAACCAAACACTCTTCGCTCACGGTCCGGATGACCCAGCTTCGCAGTAAATAAACAACAAACAAAATCACACCGGCTTACAATAATTCGCCGGAAAATTGCCCCTCCTCCCATTCAACTCCCCAACCCACCAATCCTGATCAGTATTCGTCTTCTTGATAATCTTGATCTTGTCGCCCTCGTTAAACGCAAGATCTCCTGCGCCCTGCCCCGCAAACGCATACTGCGCAACCACGTACTCAACCAGTTGCTGCTGGCTTGTGATCCGTTTTGGCGGCGGTGGTGGAGGGGGTCGCTTCTTGGCTACCGCAAGAGCAAAGTAATCGTTTCCATTTCCGTTTCCGTTCCCATTTGCACTGCCAGCATTCCGAGTAGCCTGGGGGCTATGGGCCCTGTTGATCGACGGAGTAGTCGTCGAAGGAGACCTCGGAAAGGGCCTGTTGTTCTCAATCGTGCCGCGGTCTACCGAGCCTCGGTCGCCCAGGGCAGTAGCCGCGGTGAAGTCGGTAGGCGCTAGGTAATCGAGTCTCCTTTGTTGGTTTTGGCTGCCAGAGTAACCAGAGTAAGAGGAAGCCGGCGGGCTGGAGGCGTAAGAAGATCGATCGGATGCCGCGGGTGACGGGGCACGGGAGGGGTAACCACCTGCAGAAGGGATACGCAGATTGTTGCGTCCGGGTTGACTGCCCCCGCTGCTGTAGGTTGACGCCGCACCGGACGTAGACGGCATTGGTGAAGTAACGCGACGCATGTCGTTTCTCCCAGGTATTATGGCGGAAATCCGGCGGCCTGGGCCCTCAGGGGCCTGTAGAGCCATGGGTGAATGGGCAGCCTTGCCGCGGGCTACGATGCTGACGGACTCGAAATCATCCCGCGCGGGAACGAAGGCAGCTTCCCATGCCGCCACCACATCGGACATGGGAGGCGGAGGCGAGGGGAACCCAGACTCCATGCAGTAGCCGTGAATGGTCGTATAGTATAGCCCCAGGAGGCGATTCTGGATGAGAACCAAGGCTGCAAGCAGAGAAGGTACCAGGCTGAAAGAAGCGTTTATGATGGGGGGCAGGGTCGACTGGAGGTGTTCGTCTGCGATGGCGAACTCCTACGTGCATAGTTAGTATGGCTGATAATAAATCAAGTGGACTGCCTGTGGCTAGAGCAGACTTACATCACCTGCCTGGGCCATCTCCACCTCGGCCTTGGCCAACGAAGCTTCCTCCTTTGGAGTCCTTGTGTGCTTTTTGTGAAGCTTGCTGACTTTGTCCTGGGCCCTTTCGTAATCCAGTCTCTTGTTCTCTCGTTTCTTGATGGTTTTGCGAATTGGGGCGATACAATCCCGTGCTTCCACAGCCGGTCGAATCACCCGGTCTTCAATCGTGCCGATTTCCTCTGCTAACTCCGACTTGAGTTCGCCAAAGGCCTGTTTCAACCTGTATGTCCGCTCGAGTTGTAGCCGGGGTGTAGGAACTGATTCGCGTCCATGGCCGTCGGAGGCGCCAACAATCGGGTCGTAGAGGCCTTCGAGCTCAACGACAAACTGCAGTTGGTGGTGGACGATTGAGGCCCAGGCATCCTTCCAAGCTCTGGAGTTTTCGAGGAGCTGCACCACGAATCCAAGTCAGCACCAGTACCAAGGGTGGCCGGTTGAGCGGGGATGAACAGCAATGCTGAGCTTACCCTTGCGAGGAGCTGGTCCGCGTCTTCGTACTCCTTCAGTAAAACAGAGACCGCAGCATTGTTACCGGGGCCTTTGCTTCGAAGCTTTGTGAATTGGCGCTGCACAGACTGCATCGTGTCTTGTTGGGCAGTGCGAAAGTAGGCGGGCGACTGGGACGCCTTTTGTTGTGTACCTCGATTGCCTGCTGTCTAAGTCGGAATTGGAGGCTGGATAGCCAGAGACAAGACACCCCTGAAAAGATACAAGGCGAAGCTAATGCTGATCCGCCGATCAATGGGTGATAGACGGAAGCTTTTTGGGGAAGCGGTTTTCGATGCAGATGTCCTTGTCGGAGGATGAAGTGGATTTGCGATGATGACGGGCATAGGAAAGAGGTCCTGTCGTGAAGAAAAATGTTGTTCGCGACAACCCCAGGGTGTTGCCGGCAGGACTAAGTAGGGAGCTTGAATTAAGCAATGACACCACCGTAACGCTTGGCCAGAAAACTCGGTTGATGACTGTCTCAAGGTAGTATCGTAGAGCTAGAGAAGGTAAGATCAAGTGCTGAATTGGGTCGAAAAGCTGTCCCTTCGCCCAAAGGATAGCTCGGAGCAGGTAAATTAGTAACGAAATTGGACATACGTATGATAAAGAGGAAGTGGAAATTAGAGGTGACCACCTGTGAGTAGTCAGTTGTTTATGGAGACTCTACCTCGACTTCTAGGTAGCAGTAACGGCTATAGACGACGGGATAGTCATGGATGGGTACCTAGGTATATACGAGCATCTATGAATGCGTCGTCATCCTGTCCTTTTGATATTTGACTGGTACTATGGCCCAACACGAGCTGGCAGAAGAGGAAATAGGGACCTGAAAGTCATAATGATGCCGGCCGACGGACCGTGGAAATGAGGGGGCGCCGCCGTGCAGCTGCATCGATGCGCTGCAGAAACAGGTGAATCTGTTGAACTTTTAACTTTCCAAGGCCTTGAAGACATCTATCTGCCTTGATGCAGTGCTACCGACGATTGCATAAACACAGCCTACTATGTTATGTAGGTCTGCTCCTCGGTAACACTTTCAAGAATCAGATAACGACAGAAGATCTGGTGAACTTTTTGAACAGCGCCACCCAAACTGGGCTCCAGAAGTGGAATGGGAGGAACACAAATGACAAAGGGCTGCTGCCAGCGTAGCGTCACTGCCATGGCGCGAAACAGGGGGATGCCAGACTTGTTCTTGGCAACGCGGGCGGGTGATTTGCAGCACTTCACCACATTGTGGTCACCTGACTGCGCGATTGAACGCGCCTTCCTTTGCTGAAGCGACCCGTCGTCGCGTCCACCTGGCTGCGTTCAGTTGCCCCTGTGGAAATTTAGGATACCAGAGGATAGTGTAGACGACGTCTGCCTCCAGGGCCCCGAAGAGGACCTGGTTATTTTGCGACGAATGCATGACAGTCGGGCTATCCGCCACCACATCGACGACTGCCAAACACAGTCGATAGCGGGACAATAAGACGGTCGTTCCCTTGCGACATGCCCATCGTCAGCCACCATGGCATCGGTCGTGTCCTCCGGGCGCTCGGATGCTGGGGCTAACGAGACAAGCAGCACTGCCGAGGTGCTTGAGTTCCTCTGCCTTTTCACTCACGACTTGAAAAGGAAGCAAAAGAGGTGGCAGGACGGCCGCCTCAAGTACCACACCTTCAACAGGCGCGTCATGGTCTACGATGACCGCGGACATTATGTTGGTGATATGCACTGGCGCCGTGACTGGGACTTTGACGAGGGGGAAGAAATTGAGCTGGAACGGGGCGGCGTCATCGTCCAAGTTGCCGAATGTGTGGCACGTCAGCAACAAGATCTCTCGGAATTGATAGACAAACGGGCGAAAGAGAAGGAGCACCGCCAGGCGCTGATAGCATCACGGCCAGCCCGTCCTACTCCCGCGCATACACCCCTCCGAGTCACACCGAGGAATAATGCTCAACAGGATCACTTCCAACTTCGACACCGGCCTCTAAACCAGCTTCTTGGCACCCCGACAGGCCATCACGGTCGCGCTCTCGTACCAGACGAATCACCTTTTGAACAACGACACGACATCGGTGGATCCAATGATGGGGCTGACAGCTCTAGGCCGTCAAAGAGGAGACGGTATGAAGACACACCTCCCAGCAAGATGGGCTATGCACAGAGTTTGTTCGGCGCGTCCCTGACCTTGTCCGGGGCACCTGCGAGCTCGGCACCACTGCGGCGCCCTGTGGTAGCCAAAGTGCAGACTAGACGGGAACCTTCTCCGCCACAGGAGGCTGGCCCTCGGCAGCAAGATGAAAGTGATGCGCCCACTCGAACGACTCATACCATGCGTCCTAACCGCATGACGGCTCTCAGACTTGATAACATGTCACGACCGAGACCCGCACCAGCGGCACCACCTGAAGAGGGTTTGTTCGTGTCACAAGAGGACCACAGTGATCCTGTTTGGGAGACGTCGTCAAATCGTGACGACCAGAGACATCACACAGAGGACAGCAATACCCGCCCTTATGGACGTTCCAGTTTCGTTACTGGACCCACTACGAGTGAAGCAGCATACAGTTCCAAGTCCCTGCAAATTGCCAAAGGAAAGGGTACATTGCTATCGAGCATCGGAAAGGGCTCTGCATCGCTAAACAACAACACGAATGCAACCTCTGTGCGCTCTCGTTTGACATATTCGAAGAAGGACAAACAGACCATCTTCCTGGACGGCGACGACGACGACGGCGGCGGCAATGAAAATGAAGATAGCCGTAAGCAGCGCAGTGATGCCTCTCCACCTCCCAGATCAGTTATTGGGGGTAGCTCGAAACGTGCCGCTCCTGTTGCAGGGGAGATACATGACAACAAACGCAAAAAGACTACGTCCGTGAACAAGTTCGTTACCGACAAGGGAGCTCGACAAAATCCACAGAATGAATCAGACCCGGTGACAACTCAAGATGAACCAATGGCGGAGCTAAAGATCAAATCACGACAAAAGCGTGGTTTATTAGTACTGTCAGAGAAACCGAAGAGAGCCCAACGTCCAGCCAAAAGCCCCAGTAACCAGGTTGCAGTCGAGCCCATGGAGACGCGTACAACAAACAACAAATTTGCGGTTTATCAACAGAGTGTTCCCGACGACTCAGACGATGACCCCTTCGCTTTCCCGATGCCTGTCATCGACACCATTTTGCCACAAAAAAACAAATCGCGAGATAGTGGACGACCTGGACTCCTCTCGGAGTCTCACAGGGACCGACCCGTCGCAAACCAAGATCAAGGCGAGTCAGCCGCTGTCGCCGCTACGAATTCACAGGCAAGCCCAGCAAAGAATAGGAATCAGCAAGAAGGCCAAACTTTAGTGAGCGACTCCGACTACACTTTGAGATCCCACCACTCTCACGCTGCCCAGAGCAAAGAGGATGCTCAGCCAAAGGAAGTCAAAGCCAAAAAGAGCTTTGAACCTCCTGAACCCAAGGGGAAAGCACACATCGAAGTGGACAGCGGAAAAGAAGACGAAGAGATATCAAGATACCCACGAAGGCGTAGAACCACACGAATACCAACCTCGCCCGTGTCTAGTGATGAGAGCAAAACCAACGAGCCCAAATCGGCTGCAGAAAGTACTGATGAGGAGCTACCCCAAGTGCCTGTTGGTCCACGCTTAGCCAAGCTCGCCAGGAAAAGCATCAAGAGCAGAGAGGTGATTGGGTTCGTTCCTTCTAGCTCTCCAGTCATCAACATACACAAACAAGCCGAACCAGTCCCTGGTCATATCCCAGGAGAGTCTTGTTTAGTGGCTGAGGAAAGCTCAACTTTGCATAGCAGCAACACGAAAGATGACATTACGCCCCACAGCCCAAAGGTAACAGTGGCAGAAGATAACGCAGGACGCACTGAGAAGCCCGAATTGATGTTACCACTCCCTGGTTTAAAAGACTTGGTTGATCCCGCTTCCCTACAACAACCCAACGGGCTTTCTGAGAAGACCTCTCTTGTGGTTACGAGTAGTGACAGCAACAACGTCACTCCTGGAGACGGCCCCTCGGCACTATTCACGGATAACCAAGCGCCTGGCAATCTACTAACCGGCCACACCTCAAACGTTGCCAACAAAACAAGTGGCAACGTTCCGGCCGATAATGCGGCATCGGCCACAGTCCGCAAGCACAAACTACAGCTGGCGCAAAAGATTAAGGAACCTCCATTGCCTATGCCAGATCAGGCAGGCTGTGATGATGGATCAGGAACTAAGGAATTCCGAGCAAAGGGCGAAACGGCAATGTCATCTTCACACGAGAGTCGTGTGAAGGACAAACGCCAAATTGACATTGCCGTCAGTGTTCCGGTTCCACTAGATGGTTCTGTAAAGACAATGTCGCCCGTTGACAATTCATCCACCTCTGTTGCTACAGCGCGGATCGTAAATCCAGCTACAAGAGGTCGCAAGGCAGCACTAAAGTCTCATGCAGCAGGCCAGGTACCGCAATCCATTCTTCCGGCTGAGCCCGCTCCAGAGCGTGTAGTTCCACGAAACCGTGAACTATCACGGCATGAGACCATTGGATCCGGTGCTGAAGAACGGCCAAAGCGGAAGATGACCTTTCCCGGCTTCACTTCTGCTCGAGCAGGCGGCCCGTGGAGCAGAGAGGCACATGACCTATTGGAAACGGGGCGACCGGTTTGAAAAGACAATTGCCGCCATTACCTCTGGCGTGAAGCTAGCATCAAGCAAAGCTCCATTGTACCAAGCCGCACCACCATAATCCAAGCTCTCTACATGCTTCCACCCTTCAAGACGCAGAAAGCCCAGTTGGTCGACGTCGACTGTGCCTAGGAATGGATCATTATCGCCGATTGGCACAGCAGTATCATTTCAACAGTGAGGAAGAAGGACCTGCCCGCTGCAATATTGATTTTTCTCTCTTATTTTTTTTTATGTGGCTTCCCTCGAAATCGTACAAAGTCACAAGACAACATATGCATCCCAGTTGACCTTTTCATTGTGCGTCAAAAGGTGGTTGAGATTGTAGTTAGGGCCTCTATAATTGGTCGCCGGTACCTGAACGGGCACTCCTATAATAACTAAGCAATGCAGCCGACGACGCATGTCCTACCCCAGAAAAAGGGCACCTATGCGAGCAATACGAGGACCAGTCAACTATCTATGCAGCGAAGCACCGACGTGAAAAGCACCATTGTGTAGGTTGTTCTCAAGGTTGCCAATGACGCGTTTCCATCTCCAGGTACCCGGAAGGATCCGGTATTCAGGAACAGGGCTCACGACATCACCAAGACGTCCAGGTGACACCTTATTGTAACCTCTTGGCAGAGGATAATTGGGAGTCGATTGGAACGTGGGGCGAGCTTACTTCTCTCGACCTTCTCCTGCCTCACGCTCTGGTATCCGCACATTCAACGCACAAAGGCGGCGATGGCGTTCATCTGACAATACTAAAGACCAACGGCAAACATACCCGTACCTACTCCTCGAGCCCGGGTACGACGACAGCTTGACCATCGAAAAGGAGCCGGACGACCCCCACAGCTGAGCTTGGAGGTAAAGTATTTCCTTACTACCTTGCCAACTCCCGCCACATACACCTCACACCGATTTGTACATCAAGCCGACTTGTTCCATGAACGATCGGAAAATGTCTCACTGAACGGTCTGTTTTACCCGACGGATATTTGCTTGACATGAGGGACCAAGGGACGTCTATTTTGTAGGGCTCAGCCGGTCAACGCTTTAAGGCATACAACGGGGGCAATCATCATATGAGGGGTAAACATGAACAGCCACGAAGCTGTTCCGTGCTCAGCTTGCCCGGTAAATAGCTTATGTGCAATCCAGGCATGGACTTGTCAAATTCTGTCGTTGTACCAGAAAAAATTATCCAGAGTTGGAAATTGTCTTTTGGTCTCACTTCCGTGATGTTCACTGACCTCGTCCATGACAAATTTGATGAGGTCTTGAGGCCACAGCCTTCGCGGCGGTTTATTTCTACGACCATTCGGCAAAGGCCTCAACAATCTTGTCAGGGACGACCTGGCCTTGTTTGGTGCGCGCTTTACTGACCATTGAAGACAAATATGGATGGTAAAGCCTCTTGCCAAGTGGAAAGAGGCGCAGGAGACCATTATGCGCCAATTGGAAGGGCGGCCCATATTCCAAAGGGGCAGGATGAGGCTCGAAGCTGCACACAATTCGAGGTATCGACAAACGACTATAATATGAATGGACGCTGTCCCATGACGAGAATTCAAAGTAAACGTCTCTTCCACGCTTCTTATTCCCCAACTTCCATTGCTAGGAATCATCTTTGTTCAATTCACTTGTGTTTGTCGCAGTCGCGCGCACTTTCGACAGACAACAGGCTGCTAATGTCTGCCTGAGGGTGTGCCTAGCCCCCTGGTTTTTTGTGTACCGTACGTACTCTCACCGGAAAGGGTTCCCAAAAAAGTTGAAGAGGCACATACTTATCCTTCTGTTGAACTAGTTTTCCTCAACCTTTCTGTTTGCTTGCTTTTTTCATTGAAAAAGACCCTCCCTATTTTTCTTTATCGTTGATTCGGTCTTGAAACCATATTCTCTTTTCCCCGTGGCTTGTTGCCTTCAAGTCTGTTCCTCTCTACTCTTTACACGAAACAGCACCAGGCGTAGGACACTTGCGTGTCGCAGCCTTGTACACTCACATCTCCTTCATCCCCCCACCTATCTATACCAAGTCTTCGGCCTTCCGCTCAGCAGACCGATTCTATCGTCAACCCTTGTTCTCATCATTTCTTTCTCAACCCGTCTCAGCAGCTGCAAAAAAATCAAGCTATAACCCATCAGCGTCATGTTCAGGGGCGGTTCAACCAAGCCTGATCAGGGCGCTGAGGGATCACGAAAACCACACCAGAGCCCACAAGCTCAAAGGGCCTACAACCAGATGCGGGATGTCGAGGAAGAATTCAAACGTCCAGGGCACTTCAGAGAGGCCCTGCAGCAGCGCGAACGGGGAAGACAGAACGGCATCAGTGACAGTCCCTACCTCGAGATCCCATCACCCCATATTAGACGACATAGATCGCGTACTGGTTCAATCGGCAGTACTGGCCCAGCGTCAACACAAGGCTCGGATGGAGGAGTCGAGGACAGCGGGCGCAAGAGGCGTGGTCATCGTACCAAACCTTTGGAAGAACCCCAGAGACTTAGAACGGCATTTATTCGGACGTACGTTGGTGCTTGCGGAGAATGTCGCACACGTAAAGTCAAAGTATGTTGTCCACTCCACCAAACAAGCCCGTAGTTGATAGCATAGAATGGCTGACTCTTGTTTGTGAAACCGTCAGTGCACACATTTTGATGACACCGAGCTCGAGGCAAACTACCAGGCATCCAAACAGTCAAGACATCCATTAGCCCCAATGTCACCAAGGCCCCAGGTTCCCATCAGTTCGCCGGGGCCATATTCCCCAGTTCAGTGTCCAAACGAACTTTTCGGAGTTGGTAGCCACACCTCTGGTTGCCCTAACCAGCCGATCGTCAATCACCACGACCATCTACCCGACGACATCGTGCTCGAAAGCCCATCAACACTGGTCAATACTTCCAGGGAGCGTTTATTCCTTTCACGCGAAGACGCCCAGATCAGCGTTAATCCATCCTATAGCCCAACCTATAGCCCAGCATACTCTACCCCTCTTGGCTTTGATGATTCATTCCTCAACTCTGATCCCGTTTCTCCGATGCTGTCCTCGTCAGCTTGTTCTGTTGGAGATGTTGACAAACCTCTTGGCTTACTCATCAGCAACTCTGCCACCAACAACCTCATCTGGGAATGCAAACGAGGGGCCGTCGATCCATGGGCAGTTACGCGCACCGATAGCGAATCGTATCAATGCCACGCACGCTTTCCAAACCACATTTCTTTTCTGGATCATTACAGGACTCAGCACGAGCCCTTCGTCAACGAGAAGATAGTACGTAGATGTACGTGCTGCGGCTATTTCGAAGGGCCTTTCGCTTCGAGATGCACAAAATGCCAAAACAGCTTTCACTTCGTCTGCAATGCCTCTGGCCTGTTGGACACATGGTATTACGGTACCATGATGTCCCCTGCTCCCAGTTTGACGGCTGGCACATCGACGATAACCACGGGGCAAGGCTTCGGAAACGGACTGCTGGGCCCTCCATCGTTTGTCGGATCCAACTCTTCCGGACCCAACTCTCATGTATCCAACTCTTACGGATCCAACTCTTACGGTATCTACGGCAGCAGCTATGCCGGCTCCATGAGTAATCGGACTTTTGGAACAGCACCAATACCACGGTCTGAACACGCCTCTGCTCACCAAGCCCACCATACAACCCCAAAACTCGATCTTGCTCGTGCTCACCACAACAAGAACTCGATCTCTCCCACAAAGGAGGACCACCCAACAATACCTCGCCTCGACCACCACTACTACCACCACCACTACTACTTTCCCAAAAAGCCATTCTCATTCGCGAAATGCCGCGCCTTCCCAACGACAGTTTTCCTGATTTCTGTATCAGCTGAAATCTCGTTGGATCTTATAAATCCCAAGCTCAACTTCTGCCTTGCATTGGTGCACTTTCTCATCCTGCTGCTTCTACTTCCTTTGGGCTTTTCAGACATGAATCCCACCACCGCCTCCTCTTCATCGTCTATGATTGAGCGGATTGCAGAAGGGACTTTGCGATATGTTGGGTCAATGAGGCGGCATGGGCACATACCGTTCGTGCCGGTTGTGCGTATTGCCGTTGGGGTGTTGGGGATGTGGATTGTGAGATCTGGATCTCAATTTGTCCAAGAGGTTGTTGCTGTGGAGGGAGTTACAAGTCTGTTACCGATGTATTTGATTGCATAATGAGTGGTCAAAGGAAGGCGGAACCTCTTCTTCTCCCGACTCAAGACCCTGATCTTTTTTTTTTTTTTTTTTTTTCTTTCCCTTGTGCCTCTAAGATTCGGTTCGCCGTCTGGTTCTATCGCGGTTGTGTTTCCAATTGTTGATGTCTCGCTCCATCATCATTTATTCGGGGTTTGCCACTGGTCTTTCAACTCCTTGATTTTATCAAGGCTCGTTCCATGTCCTGCAGCCTCACTCTTAGTACATGCTTCAGGGAGCAGCAGCTCAGCAAGGGATGTCGTCGTTCTGGTTCATGGGCTTTGTTGTTTTGCGTCGGACCTTGCCGATTGATGAATTAAGCTAATGTAGTCAATAACATGTGGCTTAATTTACATAACGAGCCACTGGTTCGAGCAGCCGAGCTTACGCTGATTCTGATAACATGATGAGGATGGTTTCGAAGGGGACATGGAATTTTATATACTGTCCAGGCAGGACATGAGAGAATTAGATAATCCAGCTAGCCTATACTATTCTACATCCTAGCTGGAGACCACTGGCTAGCCCCGCGTGTTCGCTCCTCGTTTCCAAGTTCCAACTATGAATGGGACTAACAGCCTCACGGGCGATGTTGTCCCGATAGGACAGCAAGTGCCACTATTCCCACACACATCTACATGGTAGGTGGACGATACTGGACACCAACCGGACAAGGCTGTTAATTGTAAGGTGATGGTCGGTAATTAGCAGTGGTTGCTAGTTCGCTGTTATCAATTGATGGTTACGAGCCCCCTCCCCCCCTCGAGGTTTTCGTCTTGTTCCTTGCTGGGTTTGAGGTGTTGAAGAGTCACACACAGCCACCACCAGCAATCGCGAATGGGGTCAGACACAGCCCACTTCCCGATTCCGATATCCCACGGGGTCGCATTGATGCGATTTGCAGACAGCGTCAATGGGCGGGAAGGTTGCAGAGTCATCGATTCAAGCTTTTCTGTTTTGTCTAACTGAACCGTACCCGAGCGAATGGACGAGCAATTGTTGTCACCGTTGATGTTTGGAGAATCGAAAGAGGAAGGATGCTCACGCTGCAGTGCTCTGGGGGACCCTTGCCCGAAAAGAACCCAGCATGTGCAAGCCTGGGTAAATGGCCAATCAACGAAGCGCAATGAAAGAAGACTTGGAGCAAAGCCTGGCTTGGCGCCGCTCCCCACCTTACCCACTTTCGAACGAGCCGACCGATGCGGGAATGGCTTCCCTGTTGCGGGTTTCGGGCTCTCAAAGTGAGATGGAAACGGGCTTGTCAACAGGCACGACACTTTGTGAAAAAAAAGGCAGCCAGGACATCAATTAGTTCTCTGTGTTGCGTCGGCTACATATGTACTACCTTCCACTTGGAATCAAGGGTTCAATTGACTCATACGCATATGCATATCTCGTTGAACCCACATGATCTAGGCACACATACCTTGAGGCCAACAGGCTGCCGTGTGCTATGTACAACACGCACTGACGAATGCGACGAACAAGAAACGCCAATGCCGGAAGTCTGCAAGGCGCCGAGTTGCCAGCCCTCTCCCAACTTTTGAAGGGTTGCTTCGAGTGGAGCAAGCAAGCGTCGCACCCACCTAGAATTGCTCGCCGTGTCCGACCATGCAGGCTGGGTCGATGAAACACTGGCCGCTGGAATATTTTGTAGACATGGTGTGGCCGGACTTGATTGACATTGATGTTCAACATATGGTCAGCAGTCCATCACTACCAGATCCAATTGGCACATGTACTCTTGGACATCCTCTACATAGTGGCCTTTTCTCGAACCTCAAGAGCCCTCGCTTCAAAACTCTTCAACGGGCGAGAACCGTTATCTCACACAACAATGCTGGTTTGTTTGTCAGTTTGGCACTTCCACTATGAGTTGACTTGTTACCCTTTCAAGAGAGAATTGTCCTCCGTCTAAAGCGACATAGGATAATGGCAAGGGTTTGTGACGCCACAGAAGCCTCTTATGGGTATTCTCCAACTGATTCCTCTCTCCGTCAGCTTCAAGACCTTCAATATTGGAAGATAGGTAGGCCTTTAGCTACTAACAAGGTTGGGTCGTATGTTGGACGCAGCTGCGATGCGGGTCAGACCTACACACAAAAAAAAGAAGACCAAGAAGTAGCTGGCCAAACTGTACTAAGACCAAAGAGGCACGCCGGCTGGCCTTGCAGTGATTGGCTAGTTTTGTTATGCAAGCTCCCACTGTCTTCGCTGCGCCCGCTCGCATGTCTAATGAACCACTGGTCAAAGATTCCGTCCGCTGCTTTGCGCATTGTTGAAATATCGGGGATGACTCCCATCGGCCGACTCTTTTTTGCTCTTCTCTTTTCCTCCTTTTTCCATCGAATTGAGATCACACAGTCACTCCGGCTTCCCAACCACAGGTGCCCCTGACGGACATCCCCCCTTCGTCCTTCGACACTCAACAAGTGTCCAAGCAAGCCGTGTTAACCACCTTGGTGGACAAACCACGAGGCAGTCGTCGCAGCAGTCGAGGAGCATCCCCCGTCGTCGTCAAGCAACACGGAGATCACCCTACTGCCCTGCCGGTACCCCACCAATCTCAAGTTACCACACCCACGACAAGCAAGCAAACCCATCGGTATCGCTTAGCCAACAACAACCTTGTTTCAGCCGCAGCATTCGAACTTTTCAGAAGCTCCGGCACATATTCTCATTATAGAACCATCACCAAGAGATAGCCAATTGATCTGGCCCACCCAGGCGCAGTCACGAGACTTTGCTTACCTCAACCTCAACACTTTGTCTCCAGCAATTTATCCCCGAGACCCCTGAGACTCTGGCTCCAATGGCTGGCATATCTCGAACCAATTCGGCCAACGCCTTCATGGAGGGCTTCTCGGTCTGCCAGGCCAACCTTGGCGAGGCCCTCACCTGGCTCCCTGCCATGGGCACTCCTGAGCTCGACGACATGATCAACGCCTTCATCCCGGGCCCTGCATCCATCAAGGACAAGCGTGCCCACATCTCCATGGACTTCCTCAGCTACTCGCAGCGCACCGGGTTCAACTTCAAGTTCTACCCCGTCCCCTCGACCTCCTTTACCTCCGCCAGCATCGCTTCTTCAGCCAGCTCTTCGCAGTTCGTTGACTCTGGCTACGCATCTAGCTTCAACGTCTCCCCAGTCATTTCCGACTCGAGCGCATGGACCCAGTCCCCGGCCTCTTTCACTTCCCCAGCCGCCTTTGACGACGCTACCAGGATAGCAAAGGCCCGCTCTTCGACCTCCACCACCAAGAAGTCAACTTCTCCTAGTGGTCGACAGCACGTCGTCGACTTTGCCAACCACCCCGGCATGCGGATCATGACCAAGGATGGCCGAGATGTTACCAACTCAGCCTCCCGGGGATGCAAGACCAAGGAGCAGAGGGACCATGCTCACCTCATGCGCATCATCAAGGCCTGTGATGCGTGCCGGAAGAGGAAGGTCCGTTGTGATCCCAGCCACAAAAAGCGGGCTGCCTCGCACACATCTCCCGCTGCGACCGAGTCGAAGCCCACCAAGAAGCAAAGGAAAGAGACAGCGGAAGCACCGCCGCCTGCTCCAGTTGTTGTTGAGACCACTCCCGAGTTGCTCGTCGTCAACCACTTGGAGAACTTCGATGCTGCCACATTCGTCATGCCCTCTGTTGAAGGAATCGAGACGGTCGATGATAACTTCTGGAACCGGTACCTCAACTTCGACCAGGATGTCTTCCCCGACTTTACTCCTGGCGCCTTTGATCAGTTCACTCCTTCCCAGGAGCTCTTCTACCAGAGCACCAGCTCCTCATCGGCCGCCTCTCCGTCGCAGGTATTCACTCCAGAGACCCCGGTACACACTCGCCCTTCACCGGCAATTGCCATCGAACCGGTGGTTGCGACGGCCGCTCCGGCTCTGCCCTACCTAAACCCGGGCGTTCCGCATGGTACCGAGTTTGTTGACTTCAATCTCTACTCACCACCTGCCGACTTCTCTCTCGACGAGGAGCTCCTCGGCCTTGGCCAGCAACAGTCCAATGCACCTTTCGACTTTGGATACGCCGATCAGCAATACTTTGGCGATGCCAGCGTCGTTGCCCACAGGACTGAGTCACGATCCAGTTCATCTTCACCATCCGTATCCGGAGTGATACCAAGTCACCAACGACGGCCACTTGAGGTATACGGCGGACTCCCTGGAAGTGAAGACCTACCGCCCTCGAGCAACGTATCGCCAGCTGTACAAACCCCCGGTCAACTGACTGTGGAACAACAACAAGAACAACAGCGCTATCACCAACATGCATCAGGTAATGAGAGCAGGGTAATCCCACAAAGTTCTGATCAGCAATCTGTAACAATTGGCTCAGGAACGCTACGTATTCCAGCTTCTCCTGTCTCCAACGTTACGAGCGACACGTTGACGGCGCTGAATGTTCGACATGCACCTCATAACATCGACAGATCTGTGATGAACGTCGGCCGAACGGATCTACACCGGCGTTCACCGATTGCATTGCAGTTTGTGAATGCCGGTGAATCGGTGAACGCCGGTGCCACTACCCAACACGCATCGCCTGCTGAACAACAATCTCGCGCCGCGACGGTGGAGACGTCTGCAAGGTTGAAGTCACCAGTCAACTACAAGAGCTCTGTCCATCAAGGACAGAAGCAAGGATTTGCTGGTCTCCCGGTAGACCTCTCGACAACATCCCGAGATGTCAGCAGCGGCATTTGCCACAGTTCTGCCTCCAACTCGACCCGCTTGGGGACAACAACGACGGCCTCGTCACAGTCTTCCACAACCACCACCATCTTGCCAGGCCGACGAGAAAGCGGCGACGGAGAAGGATTCACAAAGATTGGAGCAAAGCTTTCCAGCTACACTACCTCCGCATCATCTTCCTCTCAATCCTCCTTCTTCCCGCTAGTCGTGCTTGGTCTCGTCTCTTGTCTCGTGGTAACTGCTTTGCGGACATGCTGCAGCCACATCAACGACAACTGGGGCGGTCATTTCGACCCCCTTAACACTCTGTTCATTGCGAGCATGTCCTTGTTCTCACTTTGGTTACAATCATCATTCCGATGGCCAGTCGATCCCGACACCCACACCACAAGTCATGCCTCAGTCCAAGGACTCTTCGGCTCCTCAGTTTCCCGACAAGCCAAAGCGCTTGTTGCGGGTAATTCGTCCTTTGTCCGGATGGTGTCTAGATCACGATCGATCATGATCTAAATCACCTCGGCTAAGGCTGGAGTTGGAGAAAAAGACTGGTGTGATCCCATCTGATTTGATTGTTGACAATTGTCGGGTTCCTTTCATGGCATGCAAAGCATATGATTCAGTTTGTTTTTCAGTTGTCTAGCGGTGTGCAGCGTTTGCGAATTTACCACGATACCCCAGAAAGTTCTTTTTTTTCTGAGCTTGAGACATGTTGTCGTTCTCTTTTCTTTATTCTGTCGAGAGAGAGAGAGAGGACGGTGATGCTTTTTCATGATGGCTTGCGAAGCGAGTTGACTTGGGTTGATGATGTTGGACTGGTGATGTGACAGCAACTCAGACAGGGCGGGATGAGAGGGGAAGAGGACTTGCTAGGTAGAGATAACTCGGGCTCTATTTTCATGGGTTTATGTCGCAAAGGTACTGGGCAGTGGCAGTGTTGGCTCTTACTCTCCTCGATCTGGTGTGACTTGCTCAGTCATCAGTCGATTCATCAATACACAAGTCGGTCTCCTTTGGAGGCCGTCGTAAATTATACTCTGCTGTCCCCTTCGTATGGTGAAGTGTAAAATATGGTCTTGATCAACTTCACATTGCTGTAGGTGTTTGGATCTGTGGTCTTGTTTGTGACGTCGAACTTGCTGTGGCTCGTCCACGACAGAATAACTGCAGCCGGGCCAAACCGCCAACTCGATGACAGTGCCGTAAACGCTAAGACGGATTCGCATATTCATCTTTCTTTTGTTCTATTCGTTTGTCCTTATAGTCTTCCATTGTCCTCAAAAGGTGTTTACGCACCTACTAACTGGTGGGTGTCTTGTCTATTTGCCGATGACATCGTTTTCTGGAGTCCACGTTTATGTGTTTGTCCTGACTTTGTTTGGCCAGCCGGTAGTCGCTGATAAGCTGATAAGGATTGGGTTGCAATGAAATTGTTAGTGCAAAGCGCCGCACAGACATGCAATTATGCAAAACATTACACCAGACGAAAGTGGAGCCAGTTCGCCCTTCCATTCAAGGTCTAGCCCAACAAAAGTCTGCAGCACATGCAAAGTCGCAAAGAAGGTACAACATGGACAACGGCAACACAAGTTTGATGTTGGCCCCGTCGTGGCCACTTTCGACTTGAAGTTGTGTCTGTTTGGTTTCAAAACGTTCTTTTTATACTTTTTCTGCCGCTGTCAATATCCATCCATTGTCATTTGGCAGCGCTTTGTGGCGTATAAGCGCGGTAACGTCTACCGATCTTTACGAGCGGTACCATATCGACCCTTCCTGAGCGAGGTCGAGACGGAAATTGAAGTCAATGTAGGTCCCCATTTGTTCGCTTTTGTTCTGCTGCTTCTCTTTGCTTTCCGTCCTCAAGTCTAAATTGAGCAATAGACGTGTTCCTACAGTGAACATTGAAGATGGTTTTCTTTGGATGGAGTAAGAGTGAGCAGAGGTAGAGGTTAGATACGCCCACATCCGGTCAGAGTGGGCCTTTTTTTTTTCTCGAAACTCGAAAAGCTCTCACTCACCAATCCTTGTCCTCTCCGTTCCCTGTTACTCTCTTTTGAATTCATTTTTTTTTCTCTTCATGAATGAGCGCACGACAAAACTAACAACACCAAACGCTTGCAGAGTGTTATTGGCGACACCTCACAACTACTGAACGGAGCTGTTCTGTTCTGTTCTGTTCTGTTGGTGGCCGCAGTTCGCCGTTTACATACATACTAGACAGACATACACTCCCGCAACGGGACGGAAAGAAAAAGTCACTCGTCCAAAGTTCCCATCGTTGGCCTCACACACAAACCCAAGACGGGACACAGACACACGGCAGCGTAACAGAGTGCGGACCCGGAACCGCAATATTGGATTGGGGTTGACCGACGGGAGTTGGAGAGTTTGAAAGGGTTTTGCTCCCGAGAATCCTCAAGGTGTTTATTCGTTCATCCAAGATTCCAGGTCGCTCCTTCCAATTGCTGCGCCAGCATTATCACCAGCAACCAGTGACGCACCCAAGCAACATCGATTGAGCAAGTTGCTCCATTTCCAACAAGAGCATCCATTCACCGATCCTCAAGCACAACCGTCAGAGCAGGGTGGCAGCTTGTCATTTGTTGCAAAGAAGCAGTTCGATTCGTGCTGCTGTTGAGGCAAACTTGTCGTTCTTTGCGCATCAAGTTTGACTGAGTGTCACCAGCTCGTTGGCGTCACTTGGTATTCAACAAATTACCTGCCCCTTTATCCTTAACGCTTAGACATCAATATCACGGAGAGGAACGAATAGAAGGTGTGGTGGAAATCATATCGAGAGAAAATTTGCAAGACGTGCAAGAAACTGCAGTGTCGGCAAGTGGCGGGCTTTGGAAAAGACAAAAAGGAAGGAAGGAAGGAAGGAAAGACTAAAGTAAACTGCGCGTGTCAATACCTACTGTTGGAAGGGTTCAGGCTGAAAAGGAAGAAGCAGCTTGCACCTTGGTTTTCTCTGGTCAAGCCATCGTCGTCAAGAAAGTGGTTTGCTACAGAAACCTCACTGCAAGGCATAAAAACGGAAAGAAAGGACGATTGCGACTGCAGTTGCTGTCTAGCGATTGCTGCTTCCACCTTCCAGGATGGCATATACTTTCCTGGACGCGGTCGCGGCCACTGGCCAGCGCATTTCCGCTTTCTTCCAGACCCTCACCATCTTTCTCCTCGACCATACTCTCCGACCGGCCTTTAGTTTGTTCTCAAGCAACTTTAACATCCCTCTGCTTGAGGGGCCCCCACCTCAGCAAACCGCCGCCGGAGAAGAGCAACAAGAACACCCGCGTCCCGAGCTTGGGCAATTTCAACAACAACAGCAACAACCTTCACATCAGCTTGACATCCAAGATCAGGATTCTGTCACTGCCACTCCCGCAACCACATATCAATCGCAATTCAAGAATCAATCCGAAGACGCCTCTGCTACCAATCTTAACGCTCTTCCGCAAGCGTCCTTCTTGTCGCTTACGCCCGAACAAGCAAACAGCTCGAAGCTGCCCGACACGGAACCCGACATGGCCCGCACGTCACCGGCCACGGCCACGCTGGCACCAGAACAGCAGCCGCTCAAAAAGATCCCCGTTCCCAACATCCTTCCCGCCTTGCCCCTAGTTGCCCCTGCAAAGGAGAATGCGGCCCCTGTCAAGGCCGGCTCTACCGTCACCGCCTCTGCCGATTCTGAGAACAATCTCACCGGAGATTTGGAACGTCTAAGCATTGCGACTGACGCCGCTGCTGTCGCCGCAACCGGTGTCGTCGGTTCCGGCGATCGGGTTTTGGCAACTCAGCAGCCATTGGATAACACCGCCCAGGATAACAACACTGCACCTGCCGCAGCCGCTGATGGTGCCAACGATGCCGAACCTCGGCAACACCTCAAGACCAGCGTCTTTCATGGCCATGGCCCTAGCACTAGTGTCGGTTGGAATATCGTCGACTCGCTTCCCAGGGCCCCGGTTGTCCGCTCCCCCGCTGTCCCTATCAACCATGAGCTCTCGCAGACTAGTCAGCTGAAGGAGGGTTTTACTGATAGCGCAGCCCAACTCGAGGCCGAACTTGAGACGCCTGAGGAGGCTGCTGAAAGAGCTATGCACGCTGGCTTCATGAGGGAGGCTTTGGATATGGTATGTCTCCATGCTGCTTGACTGCTCTCATGCCTGTGTCATCGGTTGCTAACTGGTTTCGATTGTAGGCCCGACTCGCCCTCAAGACCAACGAGACGCCAGTCGGCTGCGTACTTGTGTACAAGGACCGAGTAATCGCCAGGGGCATGAACGCAACCAACGTCAGCCGCAACGGCACTCGACATGCCGAGCTCATGGCTATCTGTGCTCTGCTGTCTTACTCTGGTGATGCTGATCTTGAGCCTAAGAACGCGCAACCCCAGTGCAACCACGATGAGCCTAGCGTTTGGGGCGATGTTGACCCCCGTGACGGCCACCTCTTCCCCTACGGCCAAAAACTTCACCCTGCTCCTCGCGTTGACCGATCGGTTATCTCCGAGTGCACTCTTTACGTTACGGTCGAGCCTTGCGTCATGTGCGCCTCGCTTCTTCGCCAACTTCGTATCAAGAAGGTTTACTTTGGTGCTGTCAACGACAAGTTTGGCGGAACTGGAGGTGTTTTCCGCATTCATAAGAACTCCCCTTTCTCAATGGCTTCAGCCCCTCCGTCGCCTGCGCCCCAGAACGGCAAGGGTATCGCGAGACCCGCTTTGGAGCGTCGCCCCGTTTCGGCTCTGAACATCGGCACTGGTGGAGTTGAAGGTCAGGAGCCTGAACCTGCCGGTGATGAAACCGACGAGTCTAAGCAGAATGAGACGGTGGGCGAGCAACCTGGCCAGGACACCACGTCTCTCTTCGAGCCTGAACTGCATGGCGATGGTGGCAATGTGGAGCCAGGCTATGAGGTAGAGGGTGGTTGGGGACGCGATGAGGCCGTCACCTTGCTCAGGCAGTTCTACGTCCAAGAGAACGGACGGGCTCCCGTTCCCAGGAAGAAGGAAGGTAGAGCGGCCCGCTTGGCGGCTATGATGGAGCGCGATGGCCATGCTGGCGGGCCGATGGCCGATGCCCCTGCGGTTCCCAAGCCAGAGGAGAATGGCACTTCCGTTGATGGGGATGCTGCGGCGCAGGAAGGTGAAGAGGATACGGAAAAGACGGAGGATGAGAACTCCGGTAACAGCTCGGATGCATGAACCGAGTAAATTCCATGAAGCTGCTGTCTTGGTTTCTAGCAGTCTGGCATGCAGAACCTGTGCTCTGGAAAAGAAGTGTTCAGGTTATTGATATGTGGAGGTATGTCTCCCTTCACCTTCTCTTTCCTTCTACATGCCATATATCGTATACTAACTGTTGATCCGTAGGTTATATCTTCGAGCATCAAGGAGTAAAAGAGACTATACAGTCCTAAAAAAACACTGCATGCATAAGAGCATACGGCATGGAATGGAGTAGCACGAGCTATGGCGGGGAGGCTTTTGCGTTTTTGCATCGATTTTCTTGATGGGTAGTGTTTGAGCATTGGTTTGCATGTAGATGATCAGTATCACGAGACTGTGGGCTTCAGGTTAGGGAAAAGCTATGGGTATGTAAGGAGGCAAGGAAGTGGAAAAGAGAAGAGAAGAAATTATGCCTCACGGCTTTACGAAATTCAAGCAGTTTACATATGTCGACCAGGAAGAGATATCGCGGGTTTGACGTAAACGCTATCTGGAGGCCTTTCTATTCCAAGTGAACGAGGGCTTATCACGGCTTGTGATCATGATGAGTGGCCAAGAAAAGATTGCGGGCTGGAAAACTTCAACACGCTCTGTTGGACTTTTCTGATGCCCATATGTCTGATATGTATGTACTAAACGTACAAATACGATGTCTCCTGATCATCTGAGCTCGAGTCTTGAGCAAAGATCACTATCCAACAACCCATCTTCTCACACTTGGACTTCTCCAGGGGCCTCGGCCCTACAGCGAAAGCCATTTCTCTTTCCCAGTGCAGTCCTCATATAGAGCCCCTGCCCTTCCACTACCTCCCCCTGCTCCTCATCTACGGTAAACCTCCTCCACAACCTCCGCATTCCGCCTCCAATCCACCAATCCCTGCTCCTCCCCCTCCTCCACATCAACAATCATAACCTCCCTAATCCTCTCCACTTCCTCCCTCGTAACTCCCAACCTCTCAATCACATACTTCTCCGCCCCTCCATACTCCTCATCAATGTAATGCAACGTAGCCAACATGGACTCCTTCCGGCTGGAGACCATTCGTTCGGCCGCTGCCCGGTCCCCGTCAAAGGCTGGGTCGAGCATCACGTGGTCGACGATGGCGGGCTTGCGGTGCGCCAGGCCGAGGTCGGTCAAAGAGTATTCGTGCGCGATGATGGTGGGGGGTAGGTGCAGAAGGGAGAGGAGAAGGGCGACAAAGAGGCCGGTGCGGTCTTTGCCGGCGCTGCAGTGGACTAGGAGTGGACTGGGGGATGGGGAAGAGGAAGAGGAAGAAGAGGAGGCGAGTTGCTGGAAGATGGTCCGGTAAGGGGCGTAGGTGTTGTGGGGGTCTGCGGCACCGGCAAGGATAGTTGAGTAGGCGCGGACGAAACCCTGTGTTTTTTTTTTTTTATGTTAGTGGTGGTACTTTGAGGAGCAACGGGGGGGGGGGGCAAAGGGAAGAAAGGAAGAAGAAGGGAAAGGGAAGAAAGAGAGCAGAAAGAGATTCAAAAAGACAGAAGAAACAAAAACAAGATAAAAGACAAAAAAGCAGAAAGAGGGAAGAAGAACATGGGCGCTGTATCGGCCTCGTAGGGCGTTTGTGCAAAATCGACTATGCATCATCGAAGAATACGCCGTATCCATCAAGGTTCTTGAAGCAAAGTCGTACATTGTGCCTTGCTTGCTGTCGCATAGCCGTATTCGCAAACAGAGCGAACGTGGAAAGTGATATGATGCAACATGAAAAGGGAGGACGTGATGGCCAGGCGACGAAGGATGAGACGCAACACGCGCCAGCACAGCGGAGGATCCGTCCTATGTGCTTCACAGAAGCTTTCATCATGGCTTCATGACAGGTTTGTGTCATCTACAAGTTCCCTGTGCCCTCTTGCCTTATGTCTAGGAATCGCGTTCCCACACGCTTTGGGACAAGCCTCAAGGGGGGCGGGTAGTGCAAGCACCGTTTCAGGTGACCCCGACTCCCGCCTAGAAATAGTAGATAGTCCAAGATGGCACCACCTACCCCCTTTCCGTACTCTCTCAACACACTCTCCTCCCCCGAGATCCCTTCGCGTCTAGAGACGAGGGAGGAACAAAAGAAAAAAAGAGGGAAAAAAAATTACAGAAGGAAAAAAAGAGGAAACACAGAAAGAGACTCACCGCCGGCCCATCAGTATAATCTCTAAACCTAGAATTCCTCAATTGGAACCGAACCGCCAACGCCTCCGGAGACATATCCGCGTCGGGAAACACGGGCACATGGCACCTCTGCGCGCCCGCCCACTCTTTGGGTTCCGTCTCGGGTGTCTTGCCAAACTCCAGCTTGGACCGGAAGTCGTACACGTGCGTGATTCCCAGCTTTTGCATCACGGCTACGCCTTCGTCCGTGAGCTGGGTGGGGTCAGCGGAGCGGAAGACTACACCTTTCCGAACCATCTTTTTGCGGCCGGAGGTGGATGGGATCTCGTAGCCACCGATGTCGCGGAGGTTGATGAGCCCAGGTGCGGAGATGAAGGGTGGAGAGGGGAGGAGGAAACTGCCGACGACGGAGGAGGATGGGGTTGGGCCGGGAAGCTGGCTTGGGTGAGGAGACCTGGAACCGGAGCCGGAGCCGGGCCCGGCGGTGGCGGCGGCGGGGGCGGCGGCGGCGGGGGCTTGGACACTCATCTTGTCGGCTGTGATGATATTATGATTCTTGGAATTTGAGTTCCGGAGGAGCGGTAGCCTTGTGTGGCGTATGACTTATGTATGACCTCGGGAATCGAGAGATATGGCGTATGAGTGGGTGTGTGGGAAGTGAGGCCTCTTCTTTTGTGTGTGCCAAGCCGTGATGTTGAAACTGCACTGGATGCTCCTTCCGTAACTGTATCTTTCTCTGCGATCTTGGTGATCCTGTACAGTATAGGGTCAGTTCTTGGACTATCGAAGCCCCAGTGCCTTTTTTGAAATCTAAGATCCTCGATTCTGCTCGTCAACACGAAGGTTGTTTGGTGGTGCGTCGTTGTGGTAACATCTGCACGGGGCTGCCCGGATGAATGGACCCGCGCCTTTACGCCGCTGAGGTATCGGAATTATTGCCAGCTGCTATTCCAGCATGACAGGGGCAGCTCCACTGAACCCGCGCTCGATCACACCCTACCTGCCGAGTGGAGTGGCACTTTCCAGTTTCCAGTCGACCAGACATACTAACAACTTTGCGAGCATGTTGCTGCTAGTGTAGATAGTGTAAAGAAGTCGAGGAGGCTCAGCAATCAGATGGCCCCCAACCGCCATCTCTGGAACCGTCACTTTGATCTTACCGGCACCATCATGTCAATACCATTGGAAGTCTTGTCGGGTCCAATTGCCGTCTCCAATTCTCAAGCAGAACAGCGGTGAGTGGAAAATTGCGAATTGCTGGCCATGATGGTTGAGGTGGTTGATTCTTTGTCGTCAATGGAAGAAGATGGTCCGCGGACTACCTACCCATCCTTCTTTTCTGGCCCGGCTACTGCTGTACATGTGGATTATTCTCATTTCCAGGATAATTGATACCCTGAAGACTAAGCCTTAGGTGTTCTTTAGCGGACTTTTTAACTGGATTGGCCTATGGTCTCCCTTCGGCACTTCAGTGCACTGCCCCCGGTACGTACTACCTTGAGGCTCCAAACGGAATTTTGCTTGCGGCATGTAACCCACCCCCCGTCTTACTCTTTTCCTTCCATTTCTTCTTCTTCTTTTTTTTTTTTTTTTTTTTTTTTTTTTTTTTTTGGTTGTTTGCCTGTTCATCTCAACCTATCCAGTTGTTACTATTTCCAATCAAACATGAAGCACTTAGAGCACCAAAAGCCATCATGCATAGATACTGGGCGATTTTATGATTCTGTCAGCCTGTCCCTCTATCTTTACCCTAAATTTTCCGGCCCCTTTGTCTCGAGTTCACACAGGATGGTGTAGCTTCTTCCACTCTAAGGTATTACAAACCTCAGAAACCGGTGAATACAGGGGGCGTCATATGTTTGCCTTGGGTGCCTTGGGCCTCTTGGGAGCGATGACGTCCACTCGCTGGCTCCAAGCCGCTCCGATGCCCTTTTGAGAATCGTTGCATGGCTGAGTGCGTGGACTCTTTTCTGTGTAAAGATAAGTGGAATGACGTCCGACCCGCGCACTCTTAAAGCTGCGATCATGTTTTTGTATTCTGCCCTTGCGATTTGTTTGTTCCTATTTATCCCATCGATCAGCCCGTTGAGCCCAGAGACTTGCCTCGAGATCGCCTTCTAATAGTTAACCAATGGGTAATGTGAAAGTGTGGTTGCCTTATTTGTCCTCACCGGAAACCCCCTTGTCACTGTGGTTGTGAATGACCATTCGCAGCTCTTCCCGATGAGTTGGTCCTCCCCCTTTTGAGGCTGACCATATCCTGCTACTGTGCCTAATAGTTAACCTGGGGAATCAAGTCCAGTATGAGAAACATGACATGCTTAAAGGGCGGTGGTGAAGGGATGGGAAGATGGCCGGCCCGTGTAATATAAAAAATGATTGTCGACTCCCTGCCCGCCTTGGACCGGGCCTCCTGCCTAGAAGCTTGGTGTATGACTATTTTCCATTCATGGGCCCCTGACATGGTGAACTGGATAGATGTGACCACTTTCTAAGCTCTTTGGCACCCATATCAGCGAGTGTCGCAAAAAGTAGTGATTTTTGGACCATTTAGGTTGGTGAAATTAGGTATCTCCAACCCCCGTGGCGCCTGAATGTGGCTTGCCATCACAAAGTATGTCGCATTTAGCTAACAGTTATCTTGGTGAACACAGATGTGTTTTAAGTACTGTGTGACTGGTGGCTCAAGTATATCTTCAGTTTGGAGTAGTTTGAATAATAATGGGTCAGGCTTGGGATAATTGGGACCCCAACTTGACCACACTCAGAATCTGAACAAATCTGCACCGTAAGTTCAGTTAGAAAGCGCAGCAATAAGAAAAATGCAAAAACCAGAAGCGGAGAGAGAACGGATGACGAAGAGAAGCAAGCACTACACTCCGGGACTCGAACTCGGGACATCATGTGCGATATTGAGTCATATGAGTTTCTTACTCTTTAAAAACCAAGCATATCAACAGATACGAGAAAGGCAGTGGATGAAGGGAACAAAGACTTGGTTTGGATTACCGAGCAAGATCACCGCCGTGTTGTCAAACTCGTGATCAGAAAAACTAAAACAAAAAGAACACAAACCCGGACGGGAAAAAGTCACCAAAATAAAACTCAATTATATTACATTTCTAGCTTAGCTGTTTGCTTTTCCTCCATGCCAAAACACCCAATATGGAGAACTCCAGACCTGAATGTGAGCGCCGTCGGAATATCGATGGTTGACGTGAGTCGAAAAAAGATCTAAGGATAGGAGACCTCCATGGCTCGGAATGTGTAAGAGATGACTGATGTAATGGGAGCTCCAGAGGGTGCCGAGTGATGTATTGAAAGCGTTACGTGATATCAGAGCCGAATCTCTGTAAAGGACCATGATGTTGAGGTGCCGCATGAATTACTCGTAGATCGAAAAGGCATCTCCATTCTTTCAAGCTTAGCGCTTTGTTGAGGAAGATGAGCAGGAAGGGGATGCCGTATCACGGACAATTTGGTTGTCCTTCTTGCAACTCGTGCATTGGACGTGCTGGCAGCTGGGCTCGTAGCATTTCGAAACCCAAGACGAGTTGAGAGCACCACACGAGCAGCAAAACCAATGCTTATACTCGGCAATATTGGATGACCCCTAGAGCTGTTAGTGTTCGGTATATCAGAGCGATCAGGAAGGCCAAATCCTACCTTGCTGCTGTTGTTGCTAATATAAGGCATCTTAAGGATAGGAATTTATGTATGAGGTGAGTGGTGGTGAACACTGGAACGGAGAACAATAGACAGACAAGGTCGAGTGGTCTTCATTCCCATCAGCATCCCGCTTCGTGCTCATTTATGCAAAATCTCAAGTCGCCCAAGGGGAAGCCTATACGATGGCTTCCTGTTCACGCGACAAGCCAGGCGCCCTCTCTGTCCTCCTTCAAGCTCAAGGCGAGCCGCATGGCCACGATGAACGCCTTGATGGCTCATGGAATTTTGTCTGAATCTCCAGGAATAGGCATGGAAAAAGCTTCAAGCCGAGTGGATCATGGCGAAGGGCGTACTGGATAGCGCAGCTTGTGGGAAAAAGCCAGTGTATGGACCCCAGAGTGGAATGAGCTGTTCGGTGAAGCTCAGATGTCCCCTTGACTAAACGTTGTGTTGCAAAAATTGTCAACTTGTTCGTTGACGACGGCATCAAAGCCAGCCAAGCCTCCCTTTACCGACCGAGAATAGGACACTCGTGAGCTGATTGAGACTAATCGACCGGTTCTTGAAGGTGAGTGACGCATCGATACTCTTCTCTCGCTTCGATCGCACTGTAGATGTGACGGCATGACCATACGCTAATGATGACCTCTCGCCTTGAATCCAAGCCTCCTTTTCTGTACCACGTCTGTCTCTATCGCCATGATCCATGGCTAGACTGCAGGTATTAGGCACGTTGGATTGAAGCCGAGATGCGCATAGTTGAAGCGCATGGTGACAAGCTCTGACTGAACTTGTATTTCCATGGAGTTTTTCTGTCCAATGAGAGTCAGTCAGTACAAGTGGCTCTAAAGCAAAAGCGCACCAAACATCGAACACAACAGAAGCAAACTTGCCATATATGGGAGTCCTACTACCATTTCGGCGAGACGACTGTTGAGACTCTGTGGATTGTAAACTCATTTTTGTGGTCAGGTATTGAAGTAGGGTGGCGTTGATTGAAACTAATCAGTCCGCAACCAACGCGGGACCAACTAAGCCAGAGTGTATGCAACTGCTCAGATAGAAGGACTTCCTTGATCGCGGTGAGGACCATGTTGCGCCATTCCCTTCAGACCTCTTTCAATCACAACATGAACAATGTTGGTCAATCGATCTCATTGGGCTGCCAACAGGCGCTTGTAAGTTGAATCGGGTAGCATAAGTCGTCCAAGGAAAACTGTTCGTAACGGTTATTAAAAATCTTTCGGCGTATGTTGTCCATTTTTGATGTCTCGGACCATGACATTGAATCTGCAGTCTAGTTAGAACAGTGATGCGACCTCTGGAGGAGAACAATCTTTCCACACATCACGGAAGTGCTCATGGAACCTTCTTCGATACCCTAGCAACACTACTCCTCAGACACCCTTCATCGTGAACAGAGTCGTCGTCGACGCCATCATAGGGCGTTAAGTTCTGTCGGCTGGAGCATCACAGTTGAGGACCAAAACTTGACCGCTGGGTCTATACTGTAAGGTAAGACCGAACTTCTTCAGCAAGGCGATCTCCCCTTATATAAGACGCCAGGTCGCCAGTTTGAACCAGCCGTCATGTTGACAGCCCGCAGAGCCTCACCCTACCATCGAGGGGCTTTGAGAGTCTACAACTGCAGATTCGGATGCAGTCAATATCGTCCCGCGGGACTTTGCCCGGAGGGGCAGTTTGTCTGCCAAACACAGCAGTAGTTCAACCAGGCCGTTGATAGTGGGGAAAGAGCCTAACTGGCATATTCAGCGCTACCCCCCGAGTGTCCCACATGAGACAGCTAGCAATTCTTGGGATTGCGCGTGCAAGTCTGCTCACCTTGAAAGTGTGACTTCCATGTTCTCATGTTGTTGCTATCGCCAAGAAGGAAACGCGGCGAGCCGAGGCTCTGAATGCAACACTTGATTCGAGGCGGATTCTTGAGGCCTAAAGTCAGTAGTGAACTAGAATAGTAGACAACCAGAGTTCAGAAAACCGCGCTCATCCATATTGATCTTCTGTCCCGACAAGGAATACGAAAGTTAAGAAGATATAGACGGATGGCTTGCAGTTGGAATAAGGTTGCCCTGGTCATGGCCAACCCCAACCCAGGAACAACGGCCATCGAAACGTCAAAACGTTAATGATGGGATTGGATGATGAGATCATGTTGAGACTGCGCAAGATGCATACAGATGATTACAGA